GTTCTGAGAAGTTTCAATCTAGATGATTTGAGTCATATAAAATACTCAAATCACATTCTCTGAGAATATACACATTGAAAGAATCAGAGAAACAGATCTTATACAACTTAATAAATGATTCATAACTTATAAAAGTAAAGATACAAGATCTGAGTGAATTATGATTATCTACAGCACTATTGTCAGTATTGAAAAAGAAGAGACTTACAATTAAAAAGTCTCATAAGATAAGAGAAATCATAGACACTTACAAATCAGATAATCTCACTTATTCTGATCTTTTCATGATTATAAGAAAAGAATGAAAAGTAATAAAGAAATCAGGTGAACATCACACTTTAATAAGTGATGAGACTGTAGTCAGTTGTATGATAATATACTGCAGACAGCAGACACAACATAGTAAAGAGCAGTCTTAAAGCAGTAAACTTGCATGTGAGTCAGATCACAGAAGAAAAAGAAATTCAGAGTTGAATTTAACTGTTTACATCAGTTCAATTACAGAGATCACAGAGAATGAACTATCTGAAACATCTGTGAATGCATGAAATCAAGTCATCTCAATCTCTGAGAACACTCAGAGATTGAATGAGATTAGTTTCAATGAGCTGTTCACTGTAGTGATCTGAGCAGGTGAGAAGAGACAGTATAATACATGAGACAGAATCACAAAAGATGAAAGCTGCTGAACCTAGTCACTGAACACTGTATTATATAGAGATTGTGTAAGAGTAGTGACTAGCAGATAAAGAAAAAGTGTAAGAAAAGAAAAGAGATAATAAATTGATCATCAATCATAAGAGTCAGCTGTAAAAGACAAATATTATTATACACATCTCATTCATTTTCATATATCACATGTTTAATCTATTTCTCATGCCATGTCACCTGAAAAACATTAAAAATAAAGAAAATCTCAAAACTCAAGATTCATAAGAGATTCAAGAGCTGCAAGCTACTCTTACAATAATATTATACACATCTCTGATTTCTCTACTGCTCTGTATACAACATTAATGTCATTTATCACAAGATTGACTGGAATGCTGATATAGAAATGTGTATACATATGCATAGAAAAATTGAAGAAGAGTGTGAGACTCACAGAATCAGAAGTCAGAGCAGAGAGAGCAGAGACAGAAGAAATGAAAGAGAGAGATACAGAATCAGATGAACAATAAGAGTCACTCAGAGTCAAATGCTTATAATTCAGTGTGTGTACAACCTTTTCTGCAGAGAAGAGAGAGAAAGTGATGAAAGAAGCTTGAGAGTGAGAGAGAATAGTCTCAGTGATGTTATCATCTTTGATTAGAATAGTCTCTGACACTGAAGTAACTAAGAATCATTGTTAGCATATGAAAATTGTAAAATCAGAGATAAGAATAGTTACTGAATAAACACTCACTGATCTTAGAGTTATACATGTAATTATAACACACACAAGGCTTCTCAGAAAGAGAGAGAGAGACATAAGAAAATGCAGAAAGCAGAACACAGTATATGAACAGCTCATTCTCATGATAACAGCTCAGATAAGATGTATGAGTCTCACATCTGCAGGTGTAAAAGAGTATGATATTCATATTCCTGTTTCTGAAAACATGGATATCTTTTGTCTGCATCACAAAGTCAGATGACAGATACTAGAGAATAGACTGATACAGAGCTATCATTCTGAAGAAATTCATTAGAGTAGATATCTCTGTAATATTGAACTTTACAGTTATAAAAAGCTTCTTAATATCTGTGAACATTATAACTTCATACACAGTAAAACTTATAATGATTTTCTCTAAGAATAGAAAAATCAGTATCAGAAAGAAAAAGATGAAAAAGAAAAAGACTTATAATCTCAATACTGTTGAAGAGAGAGATGATTCTCTGATATGAATAAATAATTATCTCATTATAAATATTTAAAATGAATATAATAATCAGTGTCTATAATCAAGCTTCAGATAGTCATGTTATACACAGTCTTTATATAATAAATTATTCTGAGAGTCAGTAAGAAGGACAGAAGTGTATATACTGAGAAACATGATTTATTAAGTCTATATAACATCTCCTTGAAACAGGGAGAGCTGATAACAAAAGCAGAGACAGTAAAATCAGAAGTAGCAGAAGTAAGAGTCACAGGAACAGAGATAGTGAGAGTGAGAGAATCAGACACAGAGACAGGTGTAGAAGATTGAGAAAGAGCAGTAGAGAAAGAAACAGAGAGAGCAGAGAGAGATGTAGAAGACTCAGTCACACATAATATAAACAATTTCTTCATTATTACATTCTTCAAGTTCTTAATCAATGATTTAATATTGAGTTCACTATTATCAGCAGATATAAATCTGTTAATATATGAAAATTCTATATAAATAAAAATAACATATCAGTATCTGTATTTATGCAAAATTGTGTCAGAAAACACAATCAGAAACTCACTGAGAAGAAAAAGATTAAGAATGTATAAGAAGATGAAGAAGATATGTCATTCATAATAGTATATTCTGATAATTATTAGAAGATAAACAAGTTCTGATCATGTTTCATAATGTATTATACTTACTGCTAATAAACTGCTCAGTATGAGCACTATGAGAATGCTTATTATAGAAATGAAGAGTCATTGTCAGAAACATATACAATATAATAGATAAACAGATGAAAAGAGTTGAACAGAAGAAGAAATAGAAATCTTGAATAAGATAGTAACATTTAATAATAATGATGATGAAGAAGATGATTGAAGAATGAGAAAAGTTAGTGAATAAGTAATGTAATATAGTGAAAGTTTCTTTATAAGAATGTATGCAGAACACTAGCTGAATCAGAGATAGATTACAAGATTATAAACACTAGTAACACGCTAATCCACATGAAGCTAGAACAGATGTCATAGTCATGTAAGTATGACTGAATCTAGTGAGAGAGAATTAGACTGACCGTGTGACCGTGTCTGAGATCAGAACCAGATTTTTTAATAGTTTCATTATCAATTCAACTAATCTCATTACACAGTTTTAACATTAGATAGTAGTCTTATACTATCTCAGTGAAACTTACTGTCTACTCTTATCACATTTTTCAAATAAGATCATGATTTCTACTTCTTAATTTAAATTATTTTTATTGCTTTAAATGACTTTAAATCTTATTTGAGTATTATCAAAAAGTGTTACTTTTTAAAAAATTAAAAATAGTCTAAAAAAAACCTTAAAATGTCTAAAAATAGTAACTTTATGCCAAGAATAAGACTAAATGAGACTAAATGAGACCACTTTCTTATTTTTTTCAAGTCATGGTTTCATTTTAAGATCTGATATATAGTCACTTTACATGTTTTTTTGATAGCCAGTCCCAGCGGGATTCACGTCAAGAAATGTATGGGACCAGATCAAATGGGATCAAACATGAAATTCATGGTCCCGGCGGCCAGTCTAGAGAGGATGTGGTTCAGAAGAATGTACAGTGATTCGGAAGAACATATGACTGTCAGATAATAACACAGCTGCTTCTGAACTTGCTTATGAGTGTAAAGAGGCCATAGCGGCCACTAATTAATTTAGCATACGATATTATGATATATAAGAAGCCAGCGTACGCCTGTAATCGTACGCTGAAAGGCAACCTTTGAATCACAATTTCTAATGAGAAGATGATGAATGTTTTTCTAGTATAAGAGGCCTACACTGAATAGATCAGTATAATATATAGGTCTTATATAACAAAGAGAAAAACATTAGAGAAGAAAAAGAAAGAGAAAGTGTGAGAATCAGTGATTAAAGTGAATATTTATACACATATGTGGTGATATATGCAGTGGAGCTTCGGGGCGGAAGAATCTATACACGTTAGTAGCAGCCAAGGATCAGCAATTGAGAATGGCTGAGAATCGGAGCATACATGTTTGTGGCGGCTGAGGATCGGTGATCAAGAATGGCCGAGAATCGGGGCGTACGCGTTCGAGAATGGAGCGGTTGGAATCTGTGGAGTGTAACAGAATAGTCTATATGATTGATCGGGCGCAGCCCGCCACAGAAGAAGAGTATCTGCTTATTATCTATATAGAATAGCTAGATGCTGACTCTTTATCAAAGAAGTCAGTGATTTATTTCTGACTGATAATATATATAAGAGTTACTGCATTTCTTATACAATCTTTTTAGTATACTAAGTACTATATCTATAATATTCTCATAATAACTCTGTAGCTCATGAGCTTACTATTCAAGTAAGATAGTCAAGCTTACTTATACAGCTTCTCAAACAACTATCTTTATATAACACTACTGACTAGTCATCACTTCAGTTCTATCATATTATATTTTTTAATTATAATAAATAATTACTGACTAACAGAGCTTGAAATATAAAAATAAATGCTTACAGACAATTATTCAGAGATTCACAGCTTAACATAATATATACTTATAACTACTAAAAGTATTTATAATAAAAAGATAAATATAAAAATCAAATGTATAATAGTATTCAACCTGAGTTATGAACTTGTAAATAGTAATTATACACTTCTGTTTATATAAATTGTATATAGTCATGAGCTGCTAACTCTATTAATTATATAAGAGATTGAAATAAAAGTAAAGAATTTACAAAAAGTAGAATTTCTTACAGAAAATTATAATTTCATATTAAAAATATAATAAGAATAAATAGTAGATTTCATTAAAATTATATAAAACTACTATTTAATCTCAATATTATATATTGAGATCAATTAATTTAATAATGTGATTATTAAATATTTTAATTCTGATTTCAAATATGATTACTCTGTAAATTTAATCTCTTTATCAGTTTTCAGAGAAATTTATATTCAGAGATCTTTATACTCAAAAATTTTAATATTTAGAGCTGTTTTATAACTGAAGAATCTATATTTGAGAGCTTTATACTCCGTACATAGAAAGTCTCTTCTGAAACTGTACTTAGAGAAAGAAACTTTATATTTCTATGTCTGAGAGAGATTTTTATACTCAGAGCAGAAGAGTAATACTAGTATTTGTTGAGAGATCTGTGAGAAGTGAAGCTCATAGTCTGAAAGCCAAGACTGACTAAATCATATATAGCAATATACTAACTATATTTGAACTAGTGTAATTGGTGCGTGACTATAAAATCAGTATTATGTGGAATTAATTAAGCCTTTACACTGCCATTTGACACATTTGTCACTATAGACTGCCTAGTACCCCAGCGTGAAAAGTCGTATCTCGCTCTCCGAGATACCTTGAGAATCCGTCCACACCTTGAACTCTCTTAATTGCTCCCGCTAACCCCTTGATCCAACTAAACCTGCCGGGGTTAACTCCAATGGCACCTCCTACCATTTCGCCTGTCACCGGATCATGCCAACACCCATCTTGCGAGCTAACTGCCCCATATATCGCGGTATTTTGGTTTCTTCTAATGCCTTCCAGCCATGCTTGGCATATCTCCGCAGAATCAAAAAGGACATTCGTTTCTTGCGAGTGGAAGATCGATTGTGTATCAAGATTCCCATTTCCTATAAATGGGATTTTAATTAATATACAATGGTGTTATGCCAGTTTCACATTTCATAGTTCTTACCTTGAATCGCAACGTGCTCGTCGATGACCATCAGTTTTATATGACAGCTCCGTTTTTTGAACTTGTTATGGATAGGTTTCGTTTGATCCTTCGCCACATAATTGTATATCTGAAGCCTGGCCTTCTCTTCCTCAGAGGTAAGAGAGTTGTATAGGCGATTTGATATCATTTCGTTGGTGCCATTTTGGAATGGAAGTAGTTCTCCTGCGTCATTGTATCCCAGGGTAAGATAGCAGGTCACCACAAGACCTCGACGAACTGCATTAAGGATAGGCTCTAGTAGGCATTCTGCATTCATATTCGGGGTTTGAATGAAAATGGACTTCTGTGCGTTGCGGATAGCTGAAAGGAATGCCACGTTTTGAGGAGTGTAAATACTCGAGTGATTCAAAGCTAACAACTAATGTTAGTCGTGGATAATACTATCTCTATGTCAGAGTAAAAACCTACCGGGCCATGGCTCTCGACAGACCAGTGCCATTGGAAACGGATTATGCGGCGCATGCAGAAGGTAAGGTGTCATTTCATTTTGATCAGACCATTCGGGGGCATCGCCTGTTATGTCAGGGCGTTTAACAATATCTGCGTTGAGTTAGCGAGGCAACCAATTCGCATATATGATCACAGCTATACACACTCAAGTGACGAGTGACGCCTTCCACTCTACTTTCAGTACCTCGAGGTCTGACGCTAGCTTGGATACTTGCGGCTTCTGACTCAATGTCTGGGTCATACTCTCCGGACTCCCGGGTCAATTCATTCCGGCTCTCTAATTCCTTCGATTGGAGCCTTCAGGGCAATCAATATGTTAACTCGAGCAACAAAAAACAGCAATTAAACGGATGAGCTTAGCTGGGCCGCACCTCTCTAATTGGAATGTATTGACAGCCTTCCCGGTGAGTTTCTGACCGGCGTGATGAGCAAAACTTGGCGGTTTCTCTGTCATGGCGGGTGAATTAATCATTGGAAGCATTGGTGTCAACTTGGTATTCCATTGGATAATCGCCAGATCATAGAAAGAATCGACGATGGGGCCTTCCATTCGAACCATCATTTCCAAGTTATCATTGTCCTAGCACAAGTTAGAACCCATAAGAAGAGTTGCCATTTTAACGTACGGTACATCAATACTGAACGAAACAACACTGCAAGCATCAATCACCAACCTGTATGTTGTTACTTTGGAGCAATGCCACCCTCCGATCCACCACCATGAATTTTGAATGAAATGTCCCCAACAAAGGTTTGTGGTAATTCATCACTTCAAGTTCAAGGTTTGGGATATGTTCCGGGGGAGGCATTTGCACATGTACGTCTGTGACCTCCTTAGGATAAACGAGCTGGCGGCTGTTGATGATCTAGCTGTTGTTAAGCGTTGAAGCTCTTTCGCAGGGGGGATAAATGACTTCTACCTTACCTGTTTCAACTGTGCACGATCATACATAATCTTAACAACCACCTTAGTCCCGCGTCTCCCAGCGCGAAGGGATAGTTCCTTCAGAGCATCCGTGATGAGTGTCGAGCAGCGGGAAAAAGTCCAGTAATTTGTGGCCAGGAACACCTCCTTTTCTGCCCGAACAATGCAGTGTGCCATATGACGACAGATATCAGGAGTCGGAGCAATGATGGTCAGCGGCACAACTCCGGAGCTCCCTAGTAATGATGGGGAAGCGCAGCCAGCCATCGGGTTGCGGTCAAGAGCACAGAGCACATCGTGATATATCTAGCGTGGATATTGCTAATTAGAATATTTCCGCAGATAAAGAATTGTTTTTTTTAAAAAAAAAAAAAATGGCTCTCGTGCTCTATACCTGAAGAAAAAGATCACTGGGCCTTCTAGAGCCCCATTTCCCGCACAAATATGCCTGCTGCAAATCAAGATGTCTATTCCCCTTCTCCTTTTCGCTGCTCCGGCACCTATCGCATAAACCATTCTGCGGCTTGAATACCCTGTCGATTATGTCACGAGGGGCGCTTTCAGGTTCAGTAGCAAGCTCTGAAGTCACGTTCGTACCATCACGGCAAAGTTCATATATCCACTCCGGGAACATGTTGTTGTAGGTCCAGCGTCCACTGGTAGGTTGGGCTAGAAGAAGAGCAACGAAACCGAAGAAACCCAAGAGCGCAGAAAACCCAGCTGCCGAAAGCCTTATCAACCCAACATGGGACGAAGCCCAGGGAAAACAAGATAAGTAGCAGAAAGAAAACAATTGAGGCATGATCCACAGTCCGGATTTGGATGGAGGGAAGGCGCCGAAGAAAGGGGGAGGATGGAAAGCGACAGGAACAAACAACAACATTTTGCACCAGTCCGCTCCTCAGACTCGAAAAACCCGGGAAGAAGGCGTTTTAATAAGGGATTGACAGGGCCCGGAAAGAGTTGGATCATATAATTATCATTGTAATTATCGGAATTGTGGCGTTGAAGCTGAAATTCGTCTCATACCTGGGTCGGGCGCAGGAATTCATCCTGGAAATTTTCAACGTCATTCTTTGGTAAGCGATCAGCAGAAGTTTGTATTCAGGGAAACTTCCATATAATTATTTAAGACGTATAATCTAATGTAGGGCGTTTTGTTGGGGGAGAACTTTTTTTTTTTTTTTTTTTTGAAATCATATTTTGGCAGCTTGATTATGGTTGACATTTTGGAGCGGAGGTAGCTTAACCTGCAATTGAGAGATTCTATTTAAGTTATAACCAAAACGATAGAAGTTAAAGCTCATCTCTTACAGTACATGGGATGGCTGGCCAGTCATGCATCTAGGGGGGATTCTCTCCTAACAATGTTGAATGGCAGTTGTTGACATTGACGGCGGCCCTGACAGGGCCGAAGCTGTAGATAACAATTTCTGCCCATCATTAGCACACTTTCACTATGAATTTGCCTGGCAATCATATAAACTATTGAACCGAAGCAAGCACCGAGACGACGTGTTGCCCGCCTTCCTTGCCATAGGGTGTGTCTCAGAAACAATGTCCGCAGTGGCTAAAGTGCGAGAAAGGGTCAAACTCAACATTTACTGGGACGGTAATAGAATATTGAGCTTCAGCAGTGCGATGTGAGGTGAGTATCCGCTGATACAGTCCAGGACTAGTGGAGCTGTATCCCGCTAAACAGTAAACAGTCGGCTCCATAGCAGATTATAACTGAAGACAATCGGCAGGTGGAAAAGGATATGTAATGCATGGGCAGAGTCCTGGAAGAAGGTTCCAAAATTTAACATCGGAATGGGCATATTCCGGGATGAAAATCGATTCCGCGAGTGAGAAGAATTGGTTCCGTTATCTACATAGTCACCAGCAAAAGAGGCGTGCAAAGAAGAATCTCCGAGATGAAGATTCGGCGGGATTCAGGGGGAGGAAGACAGTGGGTCACGTGGGGGTACCCTAGCGTATCCAAGTAGCGCAAGAGCTTTTTCTGACTTCTGTCCGGAAACGCGCATCAGACGGTGCTACCAGAAGAAGTCCTCTCAAGGCGATTGCAAGGTCTGCATTGGACGGACAAGCCCCTAAGTTTGGGTTATTTCGACGATGACAGCCAGAGCTAATCGTGTTCCTCCTATCAGAAAACCTGGCATGACGGTTGCATCTGAAATGGGACAACAGCCAGCTTAAAAGAAAGGGAAACGATTTCGATGCAGACGGGTCTGCCATATTTACACATGTGCGAAATCAACTCCGCGAGGACCTATGTTAACAGTTTTGCCAGCGGAGAGATTTTTTTTAAGGGGAAATCGGTCGCCGAATGAAGTAGCTCTGAAAATGGATGGCGCTCAAGCGTGCTACTCATACCTCGCCGTCGGGGTAGAGTCGATGCTCCGACGAGTAGGCAGGCGTGGAGGTCCGTGAGCGTAGGATCGAAATTGTGCGAAATGAGGCACAAATACGATACCTGGTGTGTGTTCTTTCATGCGACAGTGTCTGCGCCTATTTGTAGCCAATGCCCGGTTTTGAGTATGTTGATATTGTCAAACCCAATAGCCGCTAACGTTTCTCTAGGAGATGCAAATGTCCATGATATTTGGACCCAAGGCAATACATGGGGAGCTAGTGCTTGAGTGCCGAATTTTCAAAGGAGGAGCTGAATGCTGAGTCCTTCCTACAGGTTGAACTAGGGATATCCAGCTTAATCTTTCTTCCCGTATCGACATCAATCCCGAGGGGGGTGAAACCAATGTAGGCGGATGTGCGGAGAGGGCCACCCTTATCATGCACAGTTGATGAACTACGATAAACATCTCCGACCCACTGAAGCTGGGAGGAATCTCAAGGATAGCTGGATCTGATGAGTAGGATGCCCATTCTTCGAGTTCTTTGACTCTGTGCAAGGGAGGATACCTGAGCTTCCAAACAACCAAGAACAATTCTACGCAAATCAAGCTGGATAGCTGCCTTACATTGCTTACCAATTACGTATGCACAGACGGTGGACTACGAAGCCTTCGGAACAATACAGGCAGGTTGAAGGAAATCAATCCAATATTTGAGAAGCTATGTACGCTACTTTCCCATATTCCCCTCATATCACTTATGTTTCTTCCCTTTGTCGCGCCCTTCTGTCGCCCTTCCCATCCAGGCACGGAATCAACCTTGAGGGAGTTGCGCGATTGCTAATAGATCCTAGGATATCCTTTGAATTCGAAGAAGAAGGAGGTTACCTTAGCCCACCTATATCGTCTAGCGGGAAAGCATAACACCATCCGTCCGAGACCCGCTATTTCTACAATCAGAATCGATACCCTACAGCGTAGATATCTTGGTCATGACTGGACTGTTGGGCCGAGGTTTCTCCCGTACCCACACGATCCCCTTCACTAAGCCAAGAGTGGCCTAGCGTATCCCCGCATTCCCGAACCCCGGCTGCTCTAGGACGCTGACTCAGCACCCGACCCCTCGATTTCGGCGTTTCGTCTCCAAGCTTGTTTCCTTTCTCTTCCTCTTCCTCTTTCTTCTTTGTCACCTTGACTCGTCTCTCCTCTTTCATTCCTTCATTGAACAGCTGGACATGAGCTGATTTTTGCTTTTGATTCAACTCTCAACCCCGTTCTACTGGACTTTTTCTAAACTTCGATAGAATCTCAATCCAATCATATAAGTTAATCGAATCAGCATCCTTGCCGTCGCTGCTGCTGAGCTCTACTTATATCTCTGGGATTTTACATATAAAATGTATGAAACTTACCCCCATATATAAGGTTTGATATATTCAAACATGCTAATGTGCAATATGTCATGTTTAGGGTTTACACAGCATCTTTTGCGTTCTTCGAGGCGCTCTGGGAGGTTGGTTCTCACAACTTGACTTTAACCCCTTGATATTTGATATTGATCAATACCTGCAGGCCGGTGTCACCCATGTCTTTGTCAATTTAGGCTCTGACCATCCCTCTATCCTAGAGGCTATCGTCAAAGGTCAAAATGAGAAAAAAGGACAATTTCCCAGAATCATCACATGTCCCAATGAGGTAAGGGGTTGAAGTTGCCTGCCTACCCCCGGATATCGTCGGGCCGAAAAGTCAAAAAAAGAAAAAATTTACTTGTCTCCTAATGGCTACTAATCCCGCATGAGCACAGATGGTGGCTTTGTCTATGGCCGATGGGTATGCTCGGCTTACCGGTAAGCCCCAGTGCGTCATCGTCCATGTCGACGTTGGCACTCAGGGGCTGGGTGCTGCTGTCCACAACGCCTCGTGTGGCCGTGCCCCTGTCTTGATTTTTGCTGGTCTGTCTCCATTTACGCTTGAAGGGGAGATGCGGGGCTCCCGCACGGAATATATTCACTGGATCCAAGATGTCCCTGACCAAAAGCAAATTGTATCTCAATATTGTCGCTATACTGGAGAGTTCAAGACTGGCAGAAATGTCAAGCAGATCGTCAATAGGGCCCTGCAGTTTGCAACCAGCAGCCCCCAAGGTCCTGTATATCTATTTGGAGCTAGAGAAGTGCTGGAGGAGGAAATCGAGCCTTACACTATTAACCAAAGTACATGGAATCCCGTCGCACCAGCAGCACTCCCTCAGGATGCGGTCGCTGAGATCGCAGAGCTCTTGGTATCCGCCAAGCAGCCACTGGTGATTACTGGCTACAGCGGACGAGTTGCATCTGCCGTGACAGAGCTCGTCACCCTGGCAGACACCGTACATGGACTCCAAGTTATCGACACGGGTGGAAGCGACATGTGCTTCCCGGCCAACCACCCAGCTTCACTCGGCCTTCGCTTCGGAGTGCACGAGAAAATCCCAACCGCTGACGTCATCCTCGTTATCGACTGCGATGTGCCCTGGATCCCAACCCTTTGCAAGCCCTCTGAAACCGCCAAGATCTTCCATATCGATATTGACCCCCTGAAGCAACAAATGCCGGTCTTCTACCTCCCAGCCCAGGCCACCTACCGTGCCGACTGTACCACCGCTTTGCGCCAACTTTATCAACACATCTCCAGCAACAACTCCCTCCTCAAGACCCTCACAGCTCCAGAATACACCTCCCGCCGCACGGCCATCGAAGCCTCTCACAAGGAGCGACTCCAAGCTCTCGCCGCACAAGCCGCAACGCCAAGCGGCGGCCCCACAGCCCCTTTAAACGCAGCCTACCTCATCTCTCAAATCCGCGCCGCCTGTCCTGTGGATACGATCTGGTGCATCGAAGCTGTGACCCTCACTGGCTTCGTCGCGGACCACATCCAAGCCACGCTGCCAAACTCCTGGGTAAACTGCGGCGGCGGCGGTCTCGGTTGGTCCGGCGGTGCCGCGCTGGGCCTCAAGCTGGCCTCCGATGACCAGCACGGCGGGACTGGCAAGGGCAAATTCGTCTGCCAGATCGTCGGCGACGGCACGTATCTGTTCAGCGTGCCCGGGTCCGTATACTGGATTGCGCGCCGGTATAACATCCCCGTCCTGACGATTGTGTTGAACAATAAGGGGTGGAATGCGCCGAAGCGGAGTATGTTGCTGGTCCATCCTGATGGAGATGCGTCCCGGGCAACGAACGAGGAGCTGAATATCTCTTTTGCACCGACACCGGATTATGCGGGCATTGCGAAGGCGGCGGCAGGGGGTGAGTTGTGGGCTGGAAGTGCTGGGTCGGTAGAGGAGCTGGCGGATATGTTGCCCAAGGCTGTTGAGAGTGTTAAGAGTGGGAAGGCGGCGGTGTTGGAGGCGCAGTTAGAGGGGAAAGAAGGGAAGTATGTCGCTGAGAAGAAGTAAGTGTTGGAAAGAATGGGGTATAGAGTTGAACATACTGGGCATCTCTTTTGTATTTTTGTCTTGCTCTACTCTTGTTAATTTTCCACATGATCCATCAGATATCTCCAATGAAAAAGATAGAATGAATATGACATGCTCGCACCCTACTATATTTATTATATGTCCACGGGCGGATTAATTGCAAAGATCGAATTGGCCTGATTTCATTTCCCCCTCCTATTGTTTCCATGCGCTCAACGAGAGACCAGGGAGACCTCCTTTTAAATCCGATATTCAAGTCCATTGTTCAATGAGTCTCGGAAAAACCATTTCCAACCAACCTCCCTATATACCTGCAATTTCTCCCACACACCTTCTCCAACACTCCACCCGCGACTCCACCCCGTGCCCCATCCCTACGATACGGGGTTTCCGCATTCCGAAACCTAAACACGGATATGCTCCCCCAGAAAACGCTCTATTATATATCAAAATTAAATATATTGTTACATGCAAACCCGTACCAATAATAATTGATCACCCCCCATCCCTCCAGCCCTCCCCCATTCCTCAAACATAGGCATTATCGTTAACTACTCGAAAAGGAATTGCCCAAAATATCGGCTCCCTCCAGTTCACACCCTTCCATGCAAAGCTGCGCAACATAGGAAAATAAAAAGCAAAGGAAGACAAGAAACAAATGGGATGAATGAGGCAGCGTGGCGCCATATTACTACACCTCCCCCACCTCCAACTCTCCCCCCCCCCCATCGTTCGCCACCCTATCAACGAAGAACAGGTGTAATATCAAGTTCACCTCGCATCTAATTCTTTAACTTGACCACAGTACTAGCGCTAGCAGGTGGCGGTTTAGGTAACGGTTTTGACTTCAAGCTCAGCTGTCTAGGCTTCAGGTCACCTGTTCCGATGTGTACCTTGCCGGTTTCTGCTTCAAAGTATTGCGCTCTTCGTTTATTGCCCGGTTGCTGTTGTGGGTAAACTGGTTAGTTTACACTCTCCGTGAATAATGGATGGATGAGGGTGTTGCTGGCGTGGCAGACGGATAACGTACATGTACCTGGCCTCTGGCCGCCGTCTGGGGTGACGGGGGACTGATTAGGCCCTGTTTCGCCGTCCGATCGACCTTTTGGTCAGAAAACTAGCAGGTTAAAAGAACAGAGCATTAGCACGAATAGAACCGTTGCCCGTCGCCTCTTTTCTCTCGTCTTACATTATTAGTATTATTAGGTTGTTGGTAAGGATTAAGTATTGGTTTTTGTATCTAGTAATGGAGTCAACGTTAGCTAACATAAACCGTGACAGTGCATCGAACTTGAAAAAGATTTAGTTCCCTCACGTTTGTGATATATTTGTCATGATCGTTACTTTGACATGGTGTTGCCCTCTGTGAGGAACCATTTACCCCTGGCTATGGATAAAAAGCTTTAATTTAATTTCTTCCTCTTCATTTAGGCAATTATCTGCAGGAAGCTCTAATACTTACCGTCTTCAAAGAGCCGCTCCCGACCGGTTTCCGTTTTATCCGTATTGACCGCGCCCGCGCTCTATCACCGAGGAATATGGAATCTATAGATTCCGAACACTTGGGGATATTGACAACTTGGATCACGTCTGGCGGAACCTGCTGGGCTGATATAGTTCTTCGAATCCCCTAGCAGAAAAGGAGAAGAAAAAGAGTTAGAGCATGTTCAATTATCAGCATAGAGAAATATTAGCTGCTTTTTTTTCTTCTTCTTTTCTTGGTGATAAATTTCCGTGTTGGTGACATACCACATCCGGTGTACTATGTACAGGTGGGGACGGTCGAGTGCACTCCTTAAAACAATCAGTGACCACGCCACAATTAGGTGTTTAGGAACGATACGTTTAGGGATTTGTCAGTTCTAACCTCCGCCATTAATTCGGAAAAATATACTTGTTCCGGCGGTTGTATTATCGGCTGGATGCATTTTGAGTAATATTAGTACCATGAAATCTCAATTAATGTATAAATAAGGAGCGCCTCCCGCCATCGGGTATTAAGGCGGAGGTCGTACCCAATGAGTCTTATTTTGTCGCTGAGGCCATGTTGCGCATTTCTGTTGCCACATCGAATTATATACTTGAGCACCAAAGGGTGTATGGCCATAATTTCAACAGGGGGGTCGTTTCTCTTACCACAGCCTCTCCATCTTTCTCAGAAACATGTTTTCCCTGAAGGTTTCTGCGAAGCCGGGTTTGAAGCGCATTTAATGATGCTATGCCGTTCTACTCCAGCTCCTATTAGTTAAAAGTATTGACGAAGTGGTAGTCGTGAAATATCGAAGTCAAACTTACACTTAGCATCGAAGTCTTCACATCCGTTTCTGCTCCCCCCTGTTTAAGAACCAGGCACATATGCCTTGACCGAAACCTGCCATAAATTGCTAATATACCTCCAGCAATTCCCACAATTAGGTATACAGTTCCAAATAATGGATGTTTTAGAGATATCGACGGCATGACATTCCTTGGGATCAGTGCAGTAACAGCCAAGCCTCCAACCCGAGCTATTGTCGCTACTAGCACGATGAGTGCGATTAAAGCACCATGCGTGTACAGGCAAAAGGGAGATGCCATGAAAAAGTACAGCATAGTCGTCGGTAGCCATGCTTGAATGTGCGACAAACTTAAACACATCAAAATAATCCCTATACAGATTCCGGCCGCAAAGATAAACAACGCTCCGCCTATAAGTATATTTCGTCTCGGGCATGTTTTGGTATATGATGCGCCAACAATACAGATACCGACCAGGGAAACTTGAAGGCTCGGAAATGCCCAAAGCGCTGTGGTCAATATAAGACCCGATGGCTCGATGTAGAATTTAGATATCGTTAGGATAGTCGCGGTGATGGTTAATGAATCTGTCAGTACTATCCTTGTAACTTCGGCGTCAGTCATACCCTCTGTAAGAGATTCATCTCGGCCACCAAAATAATAGAGCTTTGGCCAGCGGGAGCGATTGTTTGTATGGTATATCGCAAAGACCCCAGCGACGGAAGGCATGTAAACTCGCACACATTCCCAGGTAATTGCGTCGACATAAGCACGAAATCCCCGCTTCCAAATAAGAGGGATATCCCAGATCCACCAGAAGATATTGATAGAGATAGCAGTAGTTATGAAACTACCCCAATGTAGGGATTCGGAGAAGTTATACATCGGAAGGTGGGAGTTGGATGTGGAGCACGGTTTCAGTCGTCGATTGTTTTTAAAGATTTGTTCGATGCCATTTGAAATGCTGATATTCCGTCTACGAGAGACGTGACAGGCAATGAGACCCTGTGGCCAACACACGCTCGAAAAATCTCAGCGATTATCCTCGTTCTGCGTTCGTTTGGAGATAATGCTAACCCGGAAATCCCCTCAATGACAGTTATTTATTCCATGATGCTCGCTCTGCGGATGAATATAAAGAGTATCTCCGGAATAAAACAAAAAATGGCGTAGTAGAGAAGAGAAACAGATGCGCGGGCGGGAATCAAATCTGGAGAGCTTCCGTCTCCTAGGATCATGGGGATTCGTAATCAACCAAATATTTGCGTTATGGGCAGCTTGACGAGCCGCAGATTTCGAACTTCGTATCACCTTTCATTGGATGATTGACTATGTGGCTGCCTCTATGCATGAGGGGCCGACTGGGCAAAGAGCATCATCCAAACCCATCAAGTGCTTGAAATCAGACACCCTCTGCGGAAAAGTTCAACCAGGTGGTTAGGAGCAAGGATAAATGCTGACCATTGTCATTATTCTATGTCGGGGCGTAGTCATCGGCAAATACGCAGTGATGGCGTTTATATACCACAGTCGAAGTGTAGGTTTGTAGCCAGTTGTAATGATATTATGGGCAGCACAGCCTCTCCTGAGGAATTAAAGGCAGTACCAACCCAGAAAGGACGATATTGTCATTTAAGGAAACGTATAGCCGTCAAGCAACCCCTGGTGGTGCTCCCCAGTTCTCCAAATTGTATAACAATTGAATTAACGATGTTCCAGTTCGTCCATTTTAAGTCTAGCACCAACAAAAGCGCGAGATATAGAGTAACAAAGAACAGAAAAAGCAAAAAACAAAGAAAGCAAAGATGACATAGGAAGGACACGTCTACCTAACCATTGCAATGCTGCAGCCACAAAGGACAAGCGCCTCTGAAGACTTGGACAATAATATAAGCTTTATTGAGGGGGCTTTGGTGCCGCTATCATTTTGCTCTGCGCCGCATCTTGATCGGTGATTTCAGTCAAGTATGTAGCTAGCAGTTGGCCAACACGCGAAAATGATTGGACGAAACATGATCGACGCTGGGCCTCGAACTGGGAGATGAGTTGAATTCAAGTAAATAAGTCCGACGCTATACAACCGTTACACAGATCAGCAGGTACCATGAGCCCCTGACAATTGTAACGCGAGAATGCCTACCCACGCCATTTTCTGGGCTTCGATAATATCCATTTTTCAGGCGCTTAGCACTGGTTGGGAGTAGTATTTGCAACCCGGAAAACAAGATGAAAATGCCAGCTGTCGGTCATCATCTCTCCTATGTCTTCGGGCTTCTATTCTGTTGTTCCCCAGGTCGATCAATGCACAGTATTTGGATGTTCCGAGGTCCGACCACCGCATCACGCAATTGTAGGAACTTTGGTGCAACTAGAGGTTGAGACATACAGGCGGCTAGTCGGCAGATCGCACACTACTATCCCCAAGTATATCTAACCATGTTCCTGAGAGATGAAACTGCACGGGGACGAAGCTTGTCCAACGTCAACAGTGGCCAGCAGTTAGGGGCGTATAACGCAGTAAATTTCACCCTAGCATGATCAGGCTGTCCATGTGGGCACTGACTGGATCAAGAACATGCCGAAAGACCAGTTGCCCTTGAGACAACGCGGTTAGAGGCGAGAAAAACAAGATCAATTTCTGAGCCTAGATGCGCACTCGGTTCCGTCATATTTGAGTCGTTTCAAAATGTTTGTTTTCGATTAAGTCGCCAAAATGTTAAAACAAAGCAACTATGCGGTATCTCACGCTTGGTGACTTCAAATAACGGCATAGATTCGCCCCAGGGGGTCAACAAGTAGTCCGCAGAATTGATCGCGCTTATGGAAACATGGGTAAACAAGCATAGTGTTCCAGCAGGACGGCAACCAAGTCCAATAGACCCATGCCATGTCTCTATTACCTTTAGCCGAAAACAAAGTGCTTCCAATTTTCACCAAGGACCCGAGCTCCATGTTCCAGATCCCATTCACGAATCGTACATATCTGACGCACAATCGCTTCAATCAAGTCGTCCATCCTTTCTCCAGCGCAGTGAAGATCGCTTTCAACCAGTATTCTATCATCAGGAAGCGCCTTGATCACCTTGATCACCTTTGTTGAAGAATCGTTTGTAAAGTTAATGATGTTAGAGAAAGAAAAATATATATCTGCCGGATTGGATTTGCGAAGGAACTGTTTCAAAGCGTCTGGAGGCCCAGAGTATGAGTGCATGCATATCCGTGGTGGAAATGTATGGGATATAGGGCCCGGCAATCCTTTTTCATCTTCAGCTTGGTCATTATTGCTAAGTTCGTGGGCTTTGTCTACACTTGGTCGCCTCTTTCGTTGCCGATTTGAGACACCTTTCTTCTCATGGCCCGACCATAGTTCCTGGAGTAGGTCAAAAAAAGCACCGTGTGCTTGAACGCTATGAACAGATACCGGCCGTTGCATTTCCCCTGCAAGTTTGAGTTGGGCTCTAAGGATTGCCTTCTGATGGGTCAAGGTGACGCGATGGGGAGACAGGGTTCTTCCTTCCCTCGTGCCAGGTGTGAGGCTGGTGTCTCTATTTTTGATCTCATGTGGAAACCAAGCATTTGGGATGCGAAATGAACGGTCAAGGCCGATTTCCCCAACAAGAGCGTGAGGGTGTTGCTGCAGTCGAGCTCTTGTTTCAGATACCAATTTCGACAATGGGAACGGTTCCGGGAGGCCATGCAGCAGGTTCTCATCCTTGACTGGGGGGGTTAAAACATTTTTATAATGCTCTTCTTTGGAGATTATGGTGCCATTGCGAATTTCCATATTGACATCGTCGATAATTTGATGAGAGAACCACGGATGCCATCCGAAGCAGGGAATGATTCTTAGATTTTGATCAGCAGAGTTTTCCGCTGGAGAATATCTTAACGCAAGCTGGGCAACTAGGTCCTGATCTTGACCACGAGTAGCCATGACAGTCAAAGCAGCGGTCTTCATCCGGGAGATATCATCGATAGATGCCATTGTGTCTGTTGGATGGCAATGGGCGTCATAAACTCCTATATGCCAAGGAAAGGGAGCATCCATTGTGTCTGGCACCCGGATGAATATCCACCAATGAATGCTAAAAAAGAAATTGATTCCTCCCAAGCGGCTTTCAAAAAATGAAACGACCAAATTTATCTATATACAAACACAGCCCTGCCCTGGTTGGGTGAGGTTGAAGTTAAGTTAAACTCTTGCTAACTACAACAAGCGGGTTTGGACGCCAAGCCGCGCGCAATCTTATCAATCAGCGATCACCCCAATTCGCCTCTCTCAACTTCCATGTTTAACTATCTATCCGTATATCATCTCTTATTTACAAAAAAACATTTAAATCAGTATGCTGTGATGGTCCGAAATATAGTCATTCGCTCTTCTGTCCCTAGCAAGATAGGGCCACTACCCCTTCTTACGACTATCTAGCCCCTAATGGAGGACATCACCACCCCATCGCTAGTCGAGAGCGCCATTCTGCTATTTCGTACAAGCTCATCACAATGCTGGGGACCTACATAACCAATCTAATGATCCTTCCCATAGCTCTCCTAATCACCATCCCGCTCGCCTTCATCGCTACAATCACAATCACCATAGCCTTCACAACCCTCTGCCTGCGCCTCTGTCTAGTCTATCTGGATTTCTTCGCTGCCCTCGCCCGAGCATACGTCCACACCCTACCAGCCTCCAACTCAACAACAACTACAGCGATATACCCCCGAAATCCACTTTTACACACCATCTACAATAACCCCATCCGCCGCCGCAGCCGGTTCCAACCAGGCACACAATTACCAGCTGAAAACCAAGTATCCCCAGGCAACATCTACCGCCGCAGCCCATATCTGCTGCTGCGTAGAAGCTCTACCCCACCCGAGCGGGCGAGGAGACTCAGAAGACAAAGTTCCCATGGTTCTCTTACACAGATAAGCCGCTTATCACGGAAATACAGTCTCCCAACGCCCGGATCGCTCTCATCCTTTGTGGGTGAGCCGAATTTGAGCGGGAATTTTGACCCGATTGACGGGCCGTTTCAAATACCCGCTGGGTCTGCCTCTAGTTCACAGATATCCTCGGCCTCGTCCGATAAGGCTGGCGATGATGAACATGATGACCGTGATGATGAACATGACGCTGCGGCTGAGATACTCAACTATTGACGGTGAGATGGATTGTTGAAAAGCAGGGCTTGCTGCCCTGCCCATGCTTGGAAGAGTAACTATCCTACCGCCCGGCCCGCCAGTGGCGCCCAACTCTACTACTCTCTAGGGACCTCCCTTTCAAGCAGCCCGGGATATCAACTTGGTGGGTCATAGAGTATATGATATGTTAAACAAAACAATTGCACTAAACAGCCGTTTTTTTCGTTTTTATATTTAACAGAAGTCCAATTGACTGCGAGTTGGGACCAAAAATCGCGCATATCAAGTCAGGATAGCAAAAATCAGAAACTAAAACCAATGTGCATCTCTTCAGCGGGCGTTGGGGCGTTTAATCATGAACACCTATTAGTCTCCTGGTCACGGAGCATCTTGATCACTTGCCCAACAGCAACGGGGCAAAAAGTTCTTTTTTAAAGATTTTCCTTTTCTTACATTTTCTCTGAAACTTCTGGAGCGAGCCATAGTGATGATTTATATATATGATGAGTGATTTATATTTTGTAGTACAGCTCAAAAATGGGATGAATGATAAAAATTAGGGGTTCTATTATTATACGGATCTATCTTTTCGTAACTTATATCTTCGTTTCATGTGCCATTTTGAATACTTTATATGATAGATCTTTAAAAGGAGGAAAGAAGGAGGGGCCAAAAGTTGGAGAGGGAAGAGCCGGACGACCTAAAGGAGAGCGTGTTTTCAAATATATGTGTGAATGGGCTCGTTAATGAATATTTATTATGCCAATCAATCTCTATAAAATGAGAGAAAAAGAAAGAAAGAAATGAACAACGAGAAGCAAATAAAGCAGAAAATAAAATAAAATAAAATAAAATAAAAATAAAAAAAATAAAAAAATAGAAAAAACTCCAATAAAAATCCTCTAAAACAACAGAAATTGAAAAATAATCCAGCATATATATATCCCACACTCCTTAAAACAACCCCTTCATCCAAATCAAGCCAACCAAACTTCAATAGCTATACAAAACTCCCTGTCCCTCCCTTCTCCTCTTCACATCCTCCCCTTCTCCCTCCGAACTTCCCTCGCCTCCCTATCAACCCCCCTCATCTCCTCCAAAATAACCTCATTGAATTCCTCCCAGCCATCCAAGTACAAATGATGGCCCGCATTCTTAATAATAACGACCTTCGCAGAGCCTTTATCCGCCGCTCGTTCTTCGGGGCTCGCGTCACGCAGGATCCGCGCTTTTTCTTCCTCGATGCGCGCTTGTGCCGCGTAGCCGCCTGCTACGTCCATCCAGTCGTGTTCGCCGTACATGAGGACGATTGGGATGCCGCGTTCGCGGGTGGAGGGTTGGGGTGGTGATGGGTTAGTGGAGGAAGGATAGGTGGAGGTGGAGGTGGAGGTGGAGGATGATGTGGATGCGGAGGAGGATTGTGGTTGTGGATGTTGTGGTATGTCAGTTGATGAATTAATTGAACTCTCCTGGGAACTGGTCGGGGTATCCTTGGTATCTTTGGAAGCACACCACTTCTGTGTTTGTGTTTGTTTCTGTGTCTGTGCAGCAGCTGCCTTAACATCGACATCGACATCATCAGGCCTCAGCACCTGTCTACCCACGGCATGAATGCGCTTAATCAATGGGTTCCGAGCAAACGCGCCAGGGGCTAGGATATACGCCAGTGCGTATTCGCCGCTGCCGCGCATGCGAAAGAGGGAGTATGCGTAGTCGTGAAGCGCCTGGGCCTCGGCTGGTGGCAGGTGTGAGAAACGGCGCGATGTCCAGCCAGACACGAGGCGGGGTCCAAGAGGACCGGACCAGCGTACCAGGCTGAAAGGGGAGACGTTGGCATCCCAGAGGTATTTCAGCCATTTGGGTAGAGGGCGGCGGGGGGGAGTGGATTCGCCGTTAACTTTGTTTGGGGTGTTATTGTTGGCTGATGCCGGCTTGGTGATATTGTTTTGATCCTGGGTGAATTCGTTGCCCATCGTGGACTCGGAGGGTTCGGGCATGTCAGCACTTACGGCGAAGGGATCTTCGGGAATCCCGACGGGGGAGGCGAGAATGAGCTTGTTGAGACGCCCGGGGTATTTGAGCGCATATGACACGGCCATATAGCCGCCTAAACTATGTCCGAGGAGGGTGAACTTGTCGAGTTTGCGCTTAATGCGCCACTCTTCTAACGCATCAATGAACCAGTCTTCAGCCTCGCTGATGGCCTTGTGGCGTTGTTTAGAGTGGATTTTAAAAGGTGGCCGTGTACTTCGACCCATTCCCAGCATGTCGAGGGCATATAACTGCCAGCCCTTGGCACGGCTGAGGGCTTCAAAATTTTTGTAGAAGAAACCTAGACCGGCACCGTAACCGTGAAGGATTACTAGGTTCTGCTCTGTTTTTTCGCCGACGCGCTCGATTGAGAATTCATTCAGGGCACGGTTATTCCCGCTCAGTTCGACCATGGTGGACCGCCATATGCGAGGCCCATGGGGGTCATCGATGGATTTGGCGGAGACCTGGAAAGCCTGGCTAGGGTCTGCTGCGGTAAGGCTGTCTGTAGATTCATTCGGGGTCACAGCATCTTTTCCGGTTTGTTTGTGGGTAGGCGGGTGTTGTAGATAAGGGATGAAAGAGAGGACTTTGTGTTCAGCGGCAGCAGCAGGGATACTTGCCCACTATTTTAGGTAAATCATCAGTACCAGCAAAAAGAAAGGGACAAAAAAAATGAGAAGAAAAGTGAAGGCCGATCAGGAGGGTGTGAACCTACCCACTGGTTGAACCCCTCCTTATAGCCCAGAGGGAAAAGGGGGCCGGTAATTCTGTTAGCCAATTTACCCCGCGGGGCCTCTGGCATCTGATAGTTGCCACTCAAGTCCTCAGAAGACCCCGAAGCCGTAGAAGCAGCAGTAGCCATAGCCGGATGGAAGTGTATAGGAGATGAAGACGGAGAAGCGCCTAGCGATGAGGCCTGGGGGTCGGACGGCGAGTGGGAGAGGGAAGACTCGAAATGCGCCTGGAACGGGAATGGAGGGACATTTAACTGCTGCGGGAGTAGCGAAGTGGCATGGACATGGGAATGCGACTGGGCCAACGAGAAGGGACAGGTCGGGTCAATCGCAGGCCTAGGTCTTGCCAGGTGCAGGAGGGGGTGGGCGGAGAGGCGGGTTGGGGAATACACTTTGGAATGAGGTTGAGTGACAGAGAGACGCTGTCACTCCAGAACGACATAGGCATGAAAACCAGAGGGAAAACGGGCGTTCTGGGGAATTATAACTAGAGGTTTCAACCCCGGTACTTGGAGTGTGTTTTGAGGCGCGTAGGGGTTAAGACGGAGTTTGCGCGGAAAAGGGAGATATGATATGGACAAGCCACCCGCGGCGAAGGCAGCAGGATTAGTTAGAAGAAGCGATTCGGGCCGGTGGGCTAAGAGTTAGGCCGAGCAGAGATGCAGCTACGTCGTCAGAGGCAGCTGCTGCCTTTGCTAACTTGTTATCCCGCAAGGTGTTATTATTAATTATATCATTATTATATCAGGTAACGTCTGTAGATAATCTGTATGTATATTGGAGCTGAGGTTGGCGATGTTGATGCCGGAGTTAGGGATTGGATAACGTAAGCCATTTACATGTACTGTACATAACGTGTACCTATATAAAGATACTGGCAATGTACAGAGTTATTTATTAGTTTCATGTATAGTTACAGCCTATGGATTCATATTTAGCTTTGACCTTGCACTGCTCTGAGCAATGATTGAGTATTAAATCAGTTGCGAGGTTTGTTGTGGAATGAGCAGACTCAACTCAACATTTCAATCAACAGTTCTATATATTGATATATTGATAGATTGATAGATTGATAGAGAGCTTCAACAGCTATTATGAGTGCTTATGAGTGCTGATTAGAATATTTCACTTCTATATTCCTCTCTTGCATCTTAATTGGGAATTCTGCTTATTATTTATATACTTCACCCGCTATTAATGTCAAATAAAGATGATGAGCAGGTGTAGGAATCTGAGAAATTGAAAATATTTATACCCTTTTTCTTTTTCTTTCAGCAAAATGAGATGCATTAAAATTTCAAATAAAACTTTCTGTGTATATATATTTATATGTATGTGCAGTACATGTATGTTGAGCTGAAGAACCAAACCTTGAAAGTCTGACTAAGGAATTGATGGAAATAAATAATATTTGAAGTAGTTGAATATATTCTCTTTTATTCTGCTAATTATCTGCATGTATAGAGTATTTGTCTGTTATTTGTATAGTTAATAGTTGTATTTAGCTGTCTGGTTGTGGCTATTTTTTAGTGCTACAGCCTCATCTTCAATTCCACGATTTTGATATCCACAAGTCCAACTATATAATATTTAACAATATTTCCTCAACTTCTTCCTTCTCCACCATTCAAAATAACACCAGTGCCACCAACTCCATCGCCTCTCTACACTCGTCCTCCGCAATAACCATTTACCCAAATCAATACCAATCGCATCGATCCCTAGCTATGCCTCCCCCGTCTCCCACATAAACCCCCAAACCATGTCATCCCGCCTCGACCAAGTCATCGCTCCAACCACCACGAACCCCCTCCCGCCAACCGGAACCTCTTCCCCGCCTCTCGAACACCCTCAAGAGCAACAGCAACAACAAGACTCATCGCCCCCAGAAGAGACACCAACCCCCATCACCGTCACCCCAGACCCCCTCTCCACCCTCCCGTCCTCCCCGCCTCAGATCTACCTTAACCTGCTAATCCTCGAAACCTCCCTGCGCTCCCAATACCTCGCCCTCCGCGCCCGCAGGCGGCAAAACACCTTCTTTCTCCTCCTCCTAGCCCTCTGGATCGCCTACTTCTCCTACGCGCTCTTCCTGCGCCCACGCGAAGATGGCCGCGGCGTCGGCGGCTCCGTCTACTGGGTGGTCGAGATGGCGGAGAAAATGGCTCTGATGGGCGGGGTGGTGACTGGCGTGTTGATATGGGGAACGGGCCAGTGGGAGCGCGGTGTACGATGGCCGCGCCGCTGGCTGGGCGTTGCGAATCGCGGACTGAGAGGGATGAATACGAAGATCGTGGTGTTGAGAGGCCCCTGGTGGAAGGAGGTGTGGTCGTATCTAGCCTTTGTGTTTCCGTTTCCCTACGAGGTGTTTTTCCCGTCATCGACAACTTCGGCGTTTCATTACGTTGAGTCTACTACGTCTGCTCCTGGTGGTGGTGAGAAAGGGTGGAAATCCCGCCTCTACGACGACGAGAGCCACTCGCACAGCGACGCTAGCACGCCGGGCACATCCATAGTGGAAGAAGACATCGCCCCTGGCGGTGACTACATCAAGCTCCTCCTCCTCCCAAAGTCCTTCTCCCCCGCCTTCCGCGAGAACTGGGATGAATACCGCACCGATTACTGGGAGAAGGAGAACGAGCGACGCGCCGCGCTGCGGCGGAAATTGAAAGAGCAGCGGCGCGAGCATGCGAAGATGGCGGGCGGCTGGCTCTGGTGGACGCGGCTGTTATGGGGGATGAAATCGCTGCCCATGCCAATATCATCGACGTCGACGGGTAAGAGACCGGCCACGCCCTCTTCTGGGAGTGCTCGTCGCCACTCCCATTCGCATTCCCATTCGCACTCGCTCCATCATTTCACACACCTCAGAGACCCATCTACAACATCTATGAAGCGCCGCTCAACACCCTTACACCAAGACCGTGATGCCACGACGACGCACTCCCGTACCTCCTCCCGCAGCACAACGCCCAACCCCCTCTCCGACGCCGATGATACGCCCCATAACAACAATAGTAGTAATAATACCAGTAATAATAGCCCTGGTGGTAGGCGTAGAGGTAGCTCCGTGACGTCGACTTCGGGGAGCGAGCGGAAGAGGAGGAATAAATCAGCGTCGTCTGTATCCAGTGGTGGTGGTGGTGGTAGCGGTAGAGCACCGTCACCGTTGACGAAGATTGAGCCGGTAGGGCAGTCATAGTTAGGATACGTGGTCTCTGGACTGGTCTCTGTTTGATGTATCAGGTTGTGTCTCTCTTCATTTGCCCACATCCGGACCCCCCCCCCCCCTTTTTTTTTTTTTTTGTTTATTATTATTATTAACTTACATACGCGAAATGTGTGGTGAGATTACAGCCCAGTCAGTGCTTTTGACAAAGTTCAGATTATCATGATATGATTCACTGTTTTCCCTAGTTTTGAAACCGGTTTCCTCTGTGATACGCAGGGGATTGGCTCCATGTGTTTTTGAATGGTCTCCGTATGTCTGCTCTAAAATATGGGAATATAGGAAATACAGGCTTCATCACGGATAACGTGGAAGACTAAATAGAGGGTGAAACAGAATGCAAAAAATCAAAGATGAAACGGTAACACCCTCCTGTAGATAGATTTTTCTCCGGCTTTATTGATGCCCTCGATTTGTTATTATATGCTATTATCTAACATCAAATCAATACAAGGGAAGTATATAAATAAATGCCAGCCCAAAAGAAAACCAGTTCCAATGCAGAGAAGACATCCTTCTAGGGAACCGAAAAACCACTCATACATCATGCATAGGGAAAGAGATACGAAAAGTTCACGCCCACGCCATTAAACATTTGCCTGAGTAAGCAGCGCCCGCGTAATCATTAGTAAAAGGAGAAGTTTTGTTCAAAGAAAAGAAATATCCCATCAAGATTCCGATCCATCCATCCGCCCTACCCCCTCGCAAAATAAAATCTGGCGAAAGAGAAGTGAACATTGTTTTAGATGCGATAAACGGTTTCATCACCGAGATACCTATGGGCACCCGTGTTAGTCTAACATCCTCGTCCCTTATAACGGAAACAAAACAGAAAAAAAAGGGGGTGGGGGATATACATAATCTCATTCCTCTCATTCATAACACCCAACGCCTGTATCGCTTCCGCAGCCGCAAACACTCTCCCGCCCGCAGCACTAATAGACGCATTCACCGCCTCGATCACGTTCTGCACACCTGCCGAGTCTCCTTCGAACAACTCAGATCTCATGAGCGGGCCAAGCGCCTGCCGGAACGTTGCCAACCGCACGGACGATAGTGGCGGTAGCGATTCCGCCGATGCAACAGCCCCTGCAACAGCATTGGCCTGCGGCTGCGACTGGCTCTCATTATCGTCTGTCTGCGAACGTAGGAGTTGCGACGCGGGCTGCGACGAGGCGAAGGACATTTGTGATTCAGATTGCGTGGTGCCTAGTTGGCTCCGGGTTTGGCGAGAGGAGGCTTGCGTGCGGCGGGAGCGGGGGCTAGAGTCGTAGAGACCATCGTAGTCTTCATCGTTGTCGTCATCTTGGTTGGTGGTTCCATTGCGTTGGATGGCACTACTGCCCCTAAGGCCTGGTCGCCGGCTTGAACGTGGAGCAGCAGGTGTCTGTTGTGACTCCTCTGCGCCATCGTCAGAGTCGTCCGATTCAGACTCGGATTCAAGGGCTGCGGTCTTTCTCCGCTTGCGTCGTTCGTCTTCGACAACTTCCTTGAATAGCGCGAAGCGGAGGATCGATTCTGCTACCTTGGCATCCTTCTCTTCGACTCTGCTAGAGAGACGTGCTTTGGCGTGCGCTGTAGATAGACGAATAAGGGTTTCTAGAGTACGGGCGGTCATGGGGGAGGTTTTCCTTTGGTTTCCAGATAGCTCATCGTTTCGGAGAGAGGAGTAGGTGGCAACGATATGATCGGCGGCTCCTTTAGTGAGCACGGGCTTGATTCTTGATTTGGCATATTGAATATATTTCTTGATAAATGGCATGCTGATAACCTCAATTTTCCGGCTTGGTCCCCGGCCAGTAGTGACGGACATGCCTGCATGAAGCATAACGTTGAACTTCTCATACACTTCAGTCGGACGGTTTGAATCTTGGTTCTCTTCTAGCCCGACCCCGAGGCTGTTATTGACCTGCTCGCGAACTGGGGCTCCTTCCTCCATACCGGGATGCCGGTACCGGTGCATGCGAAGCACATGCTCTGATACCATGCGGTCCCTGGCATCCTCAATATCATCCGTAACAACAAAGAGCAAATCAAAACGAGAGAGTAGGGAATCGGGGAGGGCAATGTTTTTGTGGGGATCTTTGTGAGTATCGTATTGCCCATAGATTGGGTTTGCGGCTGCAATGACACTACACCTAGCATTGAGGGAGGTATGGATACCCGCCTTGGCGATTGTGACGGTCTGCTGTTCCATCACTTCGTGGATGGCTACTCGATCAATGTCACTCATTTTGTCGAATTCGTCAATGCATACAACACCTCGATCTCCCAAGACCATAGCACCAGCTTCCAATCGCCGCTCACCAGTCTCTTTATCGGTCGTTACAGCAGCAGTGAGACCAACCCCAGAGGAGCCTCGACCAGTGGTAGCTATGGCCAAAGGAGCTGTGTTGAGTACGAAACGAAGAAGTTGTGATTTGGCCGTGGAAGGATCACCGACCATCAGGATGTTAATGTCGCCACGAAGATGGGTCCCGTTATCCAGATTCTTTTCCATGCCCCCTAATAACATCAAGAGAATCGCTTTCTTAATGTAGTCATGACCGTATATACTGGGTGCGAGGGATTGAGACAATAGATCGAAGACATTCTTCTTCTTCGCAAGTTTATTAATGTTGCGAATGTCAGTATCTGTTATCGTTGTTTGCGCAATTCCACCACCCGATTTAGAGCTGAGTTGGATGATGTTGTTTGCTAGAATGACTGTACGGAATGTAGAGCTGCTTGTACTGGCGTTTCTGTTTCCGAGAGATCTATGAATTCCGACCAATTGGATCCGGTCGCCGGGTTTGGTTCTATCGACTAAATCATCGTCAAGGATGACGTCGACGCCTCGTGGGAGCTGCCCTGCAGGGGCTCGTTCGGGCATCTCCTGTATCGAAATTGTTTGGTGGTCACGATATATACAATATCCATACTCTATGATCAGCTATTACGTGTTAGTCAGGTAAAATCCTTCCCACTCATGGATCAAATACACATACAGGATTACCGTCATCATCCTCCTGAGGGTATACGTTCAAATTAGTCGCCCCGCTAGCCGTCATAGTTTGATCTTGATATGTTCTCATCAAAAATTCCTCCTTCTTCTCACTGTAATGTACACTCCTAATAATCTTGGGTCGAACGAGCGAACATTTCGTAACAATGCCTTCAAGACATATCAATCGGTTTAAGTGGGATGAACCAAGGGTGCGGGGATTGCAAGCAAACTCGCCGAATGCGCCAATGTAGGCACAATAGTACACCTTCCCATGTCCCCCACCATCAGTATTCCAGTATCAAAATCATACTACTATCTGGTTACGTACCGTATCATTTGAGGTTTCTTTTGGCGATCGATTGGGCAGCGTGTTGATGATTTCCTTCAACGCTGAATTAAAAGCTTGAGTGTAATCGTGCGGCGATGTAAGGAGGCTGTCAATCAATTGTAAGAACTCCATCTGGACTGTAAACTAAGGGATAACAACATGGCAAATTAACAACGAACCCATTGACCAATTCTGTGCTATGCGCTCTAATCTCATCTAAGCTGACCTATATAGGTTGGACGACAAGAAAAGGTTAGCCATTTGTTTTTTTGAAGTTTCTGAAGCTAGAAAGTAAAACCGAAGATCAGATATCCCGTACCGTGAGTCTTCTCAACCCGCGATTGAGCATCAAAACAATGTCCGCCCGATAGCTACAGTACTTGTTAGGAAACAACCTTCATTCTCATCCCAGAGCAGGAGATCTGTTGTGCATATATACCTTCTCGCTCGTGGATCAGCTAGATAGAAGGAAAACAAGAGCTGATTAGTCCTCTTCTTATAGTGCCACAGTATTTTGAGAAAGAAATTTACTTACTCGGATCGAGAAATTCCGTGGCAGCTCGGATGCGATCTTGGGGATCCATGATGAAGGTAGGAAATCTCCACGAACCCGCAAACGTTGAGTCTAATTCACACAACAAAGAAGGACTTCCTCAACTCTCTGCTATGGCCTAGAATTCGTATGGATATATGTGTGTTTCTCTGTTGTTGGGAGAGCTGTGGAAGAATTGAATTTGGCGAGAAGATGAGGTTGAGGTCAAAGAGACCGTCCGCTCTCGCTTTTTCGCGTCAGTTACGCGTGTTTCGCGTTTTGCATCAGAATCATGTGATATTTCAATTATGCCCAATTGGGAAACCCACCATATCAAACCATCCGAGGTCCCCACCAGACTATATAGAAAAATCACTGATTGTAATTTTAAAATATATAGGAACTTTATATCCATGCGCTAAACCATCGTAGATGACAACATATATATATCTAACATACACACATGAGGGGAAAATGATGCAAAAGATGTTAAAAAAAGGCCACAAATAATGTACAGAGATATATCTACATGATGGGGCAACCACCTCCAAAAAAGAAATCCAAAAGATTTTCCCCAATCAAGTGTCCTGATAAGCTAGCTTGTAAACCTTCGCCATCATATCTCGGATCTGGTTCAAACGGGTCTTAGCATGGTAATGGAGGCTGTGCGCCTCCCGGTCCTGATCACTGGCAAACTCGCCATCCACACGATCAGGCCGTGGTATCTTCTTCCGTATCCAATTAAGGTCCTCTCGCCACTCCCGAAGACCCCGCCAGCGTTTACTTCTATTTTTCTCGTGGTAGAGCATCCAGTCAACTCGCTCGTCCTCTTTCATGTGTCGCCAGATTTGCAATCGACACCAGAAAACCCATTCCTTGCGGTATGGGTCTTTGATGTCGTACGCATCCTCCTCGAGACGGAGATACTGGAGGATCAGGGGCAGGTTCTGAGCATCGATCTTTTTAAGCCATAGCCTCTGGTTGCGTGCCGGGATCCAATCCTTCCAGCGTCCACTTTTCACCTTTTTGCGCCACTCCAATTCCTCTTTGCGCCACAGGATCCGCTCCTTGCTCAGAGTTTCCTCTTCCTCTTCCAGCGTCTCCCGAGATCGTTCTGGTAGCTCAAGGTGTGCATGCTGGATGAGGCGGGGTGTGTTGAGCAGCCCCACTTCTCTTAACGCATGCCAATGACCCGTTTCCCTCCCTTCGCCACGTAAGTGGGGCGGTAATCTAGGGGGAGTTCCGTCCAAAGACGGGTTGTCTTCTAAAAATTGACGTCGTTGGGTCCGTCTTTTGTATTCAATCTCTCTCCATTGGACGTCTTCCTCCAAAAGCGTTTTGATCAGAGCCATGTCTGGCGATGTTTCCTTGGCCATTCCGGCAGGTACCGGGATGAGATCATACGGCGATGGAACGACAGAATTGGTGCCCGTATCGACATTGGCATTGGTCTCCTTCCCAGTTGTCTCTGATGAAGATTCAGTTTTAACCAGCCCTTGCTCGTCAAGTCCAGGTTCCATCACAGCCTTAATAGGGCTAGACTCGACGACGTGTTGAGCTTCATTCAATATCTGTCCGAATCCACCTTGGGGGTCGTGTATATTTCCCATGGCAATTATGGTCAAGGGAGCAGACAGGAGTATGGAGTTAACCTCTTCGCCGGCATCCAAAACCGAGCGTGCTCTGGCATCGACTAGCGCAGCAGCCAGGCGAACCATTGTGTCGTAAGATGGTTGCATGTGGTCGGGTTCAAGCTTTGACCAAGCGTAACTTTCGCCGTGGCCCATATGGTCAGGCCGGCGGGAGAAATAGTGGTCTCTGCTTTCCTGGAGAGCAAATGTGGAAGGTGTATGGCTGGGCCGTGCGGTCGATCTCGCCCTTACCTGTTTCCACCCGGTGTAATTAGGAATGAACAGTTTTTCAAAGAGAATAAAAGCATTGAGTCGGTCTTCTCGTCGGGAGGAAACAGCTAGCAGTTCAATATAGAATGACCAGTTATGAGTCGTCAAGGCGAAGCCAGCCTTTTGAACTTGCGATATGACAACTGCGATTTTAGAGTGGAGATTCTGCTCTGCGTAACATTCCATAAGTACTGAAAGACATTCAGAGAGAGAGAAACGTTGAGTAGTTGACATGGAGCCCGTAGTGATATGTTTGGGGTCGTCGGGGTCGTCGGCGCGGTTGGGAGTAAAAGAGGCTGTTACGGCAGTTCCGCGTTTGGCTTGATCAAATGCTCTGCTCCAGAGCTTCTCCACCATATCGAACCCTCTATCTCTCATTTGGAGCTTCATTCTTTGAGCCAACTGACTAAGGGGCACAATATTCGGGTTATCGATAAGGCGGTTTTGCTTTTTCTCCAGTTTCTCGGCCAATTCCTTAGCCCTAGTGGATGCATCGTAACCTCTATAGGCGGAAATGAGTTCCTCGTAATACGCCGAAGGAAACGCATCGCGTACAGACTTCTGATTTGCCCCAGGCTGTGGAGCCTTCGTAGCCCACTCCCTGATTCCGAAATCTTTCATAATCGAAGCTAGGAACTCTTCTGCATTCACCAGTCGAATTTCGTTATTATGCCCAACATAATTCCCTTCCTCGATCAGCCTCTTGTCCATATGAATTTTCCCCTTAAGAACAGACAGTCTCGAGCTGAGATTCAAATGGCCGAATTTTTTCATGATTTCATTCTGGGTGTGCTCAATCATTTCTAGGTCGCCGATTAAAGCATAACCGTACAGAAGGATAGAATAGTGGAATTGGGTCACGGACACTTGGTGGAGGTTTTCAAGTCTTCGAATAACACGAATAGCATCGTCATGGTTTCCAGTGCGAACAAGCGCCAGAATGGTGGCTGCATAGGTCATATGGTCGAACTTCACTCCTAGTTTTCTCATTCGATCATGCACTGCTAGCATGGAATCTAGGTCAGGCAGGAAAGCATAGTGCCACAGAATAACATTCCACATGCGCGTAGTAGGGCCGGGAGCTTGCAGTTTCATCACAGAATCAGCGAACTGCTCTGCAGCGGCGTATTTTCTGTTGTTACAGAGCGTCTCGACCACTGGATGGAGCATTGCCATGTTGAGTTGAATATCATATCCCTTCGCGACCTGCAAGAAATCCATGACACTTTCCACGCTTCCATCCTTCGCAAACAATCCCATTAATATACCAAGTGTATGCGAATCTGGCTTTAATCCTGCGTCAATCATTTCCTGATAAGTTGATAGGGCGCCCTGCTTGTCGCGGGCTTTCGCATGGGCAGTCAGGACAATATTCCAGCTCGTCACGTCAGGACTCAGTGAGAACTCGCTGCGGAGCCTTTCTAGCTGCTTCCTGGCTTGGTAGACCTTGCCGACTGCTGCATTAACGTGTATGAGAGGGTTAACCAAACTAAGCTTCCTGGGTTGGCCGTAGTGGCCCACATAGGAGTTAAATAAACTAGTCACTCTCCGAAAATCTCCAAGTCTGGAAAATCCCGTGAGAGCAATTTGATATGCCTCCTCTGACGGCTTTTCATAGAATAATCGAAACTCTCTGAGAAGCTGGTTAGTAGCCTCTGGCTTCCGCAGTACTGCTACAACCTTCAAAAGTCCAGCGAGAACCTTCTCAGGTGGCTTAGTCGTATCCATTAATAAACGGAAGTGCCAATAAACTTGGAGTGCGCGGGTGGTTTTCAATTCGATATCTAGATATCGTAGCGTTGACAAGGCCCAGAAGTAATGTTGACTCTCAAGTAACCGAACGGCGTTAAGGCTGTAGAACAATAATAGAATTTGTTCAATGGGGGTTTGCCGCAGTATCGTTTTCTTCTTGATGACCAAGTGGACTAAAAAGCCTACCAGTGGAGTAGCTTCCAAAAGGTCCAACTTTTTCTCTCGTAACAATTCAAGTAAACTTAAGACTCTCTCGGGCAAGCTGAGCATGTTTGATAACTCGTGGAATTTGATTCGTTTGAAGGGCTGGCTTTCCGGGAGAGAGGGTTTGAAAGAGAAAAATTGGAATGCCTCCTTCCACTTCATCTGGTCCACCAGCGCAACCATGGCAATGTCCCAACACTTTTCTCCTTTGAGTTTTAACACCGCCTCCTTACATATATCCCTTACCAAGTCGATATTCCCGTCGCATTGAATAAGAGATTTTGTCACGTGGCCATAGTCATCGGGAGTTCTCTGTTCAATCTCAATGGCTTCAAATGCAAGTCTCGAACAGATTCGATCTAAAGGCTCCCGGGATTCCGAAAGATACGCAAGGACGCGTGAATGGTACTCTGGCTTTTGGTCCTTGACAACATGATACAATTTCCATACAGAGCGATAGTTCAGTGGAGAATCTCCGCTCAGATATCGATCAAGCCGCCGAAGAAGATTAGGATGTATCTCTATCTCCCCATCCTTACCGACTCGCGGCCGTTTTTTGACTTTTGCCCCGCGGGGGAGAATCGTGCGGAAGCCCTTAGTTTTCCGAGAACGTTCCAAACCCAGTTGCTTCATCCGAAATCGTGACATCGTCTCACGCTGGAGCCGATAAAAGTTGCAATAGGCCAACCCGAACCTCACAAAGGGCAACAATGGAGACGCCCGGCGTTTAGGAAGAATAATTGGTTTCTTGGCGCTTTTGTAGAGGTCATAGTACTCAAATGCATCCTCTCGTTCTACCAGCGACTCTCCTAGATTTTCCGACGCTTCAAAATCCAGTTCCTCTTGAACTTGAGGTACAGCCTCCTTGTTGTGCGGCAGGGGTTCGGCAATTTCACCAGAATTCGTTGAATAAGGCCGACTGCCCAATCTTCTCCTACAATCGATGGAGTTTTTGATGATGTGAGGAAGACAATATCGTGCAAATACTTGTGTTTCCGGCGGGTACAAGAATTCCAAGTGGGTATTCTGAAGGTGGTTATGAGGTAGGGTGAAAGGCTCTGCGGCAGCTGGTAAATGTCGAGCGGTGGACGGGGAAGATCGCGGTGGCTGCATGTAATCGAAGCTCCACAAGGGAGCCTCGATGTCAGCAACGCCATGATGCCAGAATTCCGGATGCAAAACACGTCGGCTGCGAGCGTGGCGTTTCGAATGGCGGAAAAGGCATTCTCCTGCGTTTTCAAGGCGCTGAGCAGCTCGCTCCAGCATCCCCTAGACCAGAGCCGGTTATATAAAGAAAATGGATTTTCACAGTGTCTATAAACGGAAACGCATATCGCAGATGGCTACGCCAGGAAGGTTAGTGCACCAGCTTTAGTAAATGTTTAATTGCCTAGCAATATAATATTCAACGAAATTTATGGCTTCAGAATCGAAAACAAAAAATTAAGCAGCAACTTACTCGGGATTGAGAGCAAATTCAAGTTACTATCCTCGACATCGACAGGCGCAGAAAAGCTCGGGAGGAACCACTGAAAAACGCGCGCAAAAGATTTGAAAGGAGCAGTTACGCTACAGTTCAATATGGGTACAAATATCGAACGCTGTAGCTCCAATGGTGTAGGCCGGATGCTTGACGTTTGACTGCAGCTGCCTGCCAATGCGGATTCTAGTTGTTCGTCCCGTCCGGAGGTATGTATCGTAGTAGTCGTCTTGTTTGTGGACGGAAACAAAATATGTTTTTTTTGGTGGTTGAGACCCAATTCGATGTTTCCGCGGGCCACAGGTTTCTCCGGCGCCGACCACACAAGCGGCCATCATCGAATTGCCCTCAACCTCACCGCAATCAGCGTCATTTTTCAACCGCGAGTGGAGTGGGGATCAGGCGTGGGCTGCTTTTGTTTCTTTAATACTGCGACGCTTCTATCCCTGGTTGCAGCCATGGATATCACCAGCTTTATCGTCAGCCACAGAGAAGACGCTCTCTTGGCTGGGGACTACAACTCGTACCGAGCACAGTTGTCCCGCAGATTACACACCTTACGGAAGAAGCTGGGACAGACAACCCCGCGGGGTAAAAAGTACTCTCCGAAGCCTACAATAACAGCAGAGAATATCGCCAAGGACACTAGGTATGCTCCTGATGAATATACCCTTCATTGCTCTATGAAAAAGAAAAAAGAAAGATCTCCTGCTGACAGCCAACTAGCTTCGCATTTCTTATCCTCCTCAGCGCGGAGCGAGCATGGGCTACCGCAATGCATATGAAGTCGACTCACTCCGCAGACCCATCTACCAAGGGCATCGTCGGTTCGGCAAGACGACATATAATATCGCGTCTAAATAAAGCGACGATTTATGCAAGGCAGCTAGTCTCGGTCCTTCAAGATCCATCAGCGGCTTCCGCATCTAACATCGACCTCCTCGAGGCACGGGGTTATCTGGCTTCCCTCCTTGGAGCGTTCTGGATGGAAAAGAAAAGATGGGATTTGTGTTCACAGCAATATTCGCTTGCAAAAGTAATCTACGGCGCGCTTAGCACTAAAGCGAAAAGGGAAGCGTATCGGGACCTTTTGTCCACCACGATCGACCCTGGGCTTCGGTATGCAGCTTACCAGTTAAAGCTTCCCAGGTCCGCAGCTCTAGAATCCATCGCGATCAAAAACATACCATCCGATTCGGTAGTCCGCGGGGAGCTGACCGCGATCGACCCAGATTGCCTCTCGGAGCGGGGTTCAGATAAACAGACGACCGCTGACGGCGGCGCTATTGAGGATATCCCACAGAGCATTACTTGGAGATCCCGGACAGTTGTGTTGGAAGATGCGGCTATATCACAGGCACTAGCAGCTGCGTCTCTAGCGGAGTCCCACCTAGCTTCGTGGCTATCAAGCCCCGCTGGCCAATCATCCTCGCAGAGCGAAAAGGCAGCGAATTACGATAATGTGATAATTGCTAGTCAGGACGCAGTAGATGCGACCAAGACTGCTATTGATGAGCTTTCTGCGGAGGGGATTGATCAGGGAGACAAACGCATGCAAGCACTGCAGGTCACCTGGACGGCCGTGAACTATGCCTTGGTGGGCTGGCGCGTGGGTCGCAATCGGATGCTGTGTGGCGCTGACGATGGTCTCAGTTTCGAACGGGAGCAAGTGAAGGGATCAGGTGGGAAGCAAAAGTCTGGAAATAGTGGTAAGAGTGTCGGCCGCCGACTCGCGCGGTTGCGCGAACGCACCGCATTGTATGACGCGACCCTTCAGAGTTTGGATTTCATCCGGGAGCTGCCTGGTGTCGCAGGAGATGCCAACTTCATGGAAGAGCTCAATGCAAAACACAATTATTTCCAATCACTACGGTATTTACTCCTAACCCCCCTCCCCCCCCCCTTAAAGCCAACAAAAATAAACCCCATATTCCGGTAGTTGGTTGGTAGACCTGTATGTTAACACCAATATCAAAACAGATGCCTAGCAGTCGGCCGAGCGCACTCCTTCCTCTCCAACCCAAAGAATGCCCTCGCTCTCTTCTCTCGCGCGCTAGACCTCGCCTCCACGGCTCTCCCACCAAACACCACCCACAACCAACAAGACCAAGAGCAACAACCAAACCTAAGCCCACCACGCCTCGACGTCTCCAGTCCTCAGGTCACCGCCCTCCGCACCCACCTCCAAAGCCTCGTCTGGCAATACCGCGGCATCGTCGAGATCGAACGCATCTCCTCCCAACTCAATCATTCGTCCCCGTCATCGCTCCAACTACCGCCCATGATCGAGCGTCTGGACGAGTACCCGGCATCAGACAGCCATGTGGATCTGACACGCCTAGTGACATATCCGCCGAAGATGGAGCCGATACCTGTTAAGCCGCTGTTTCTGGACGTGGCATTCAATTACATCGATTATCCGCGGGACCCTAAGAGGGGACTTCCTCCCGGTGCTGGTGCGGATGGAGATGTCACTATGCAGGATGGTCAGACATCGGACGCGAAGAAGCCGGCTAAAAAGGGGTGGTTTGGGTTTGGGCGCTGATTTTTGTATTGTTTTTGTTTTTGTTTTCGTTTTCGTTTTCGTTGTATATGCTCCTTTGTCCTATCTGAACGACGTCGAATCGGTATGGGATTGAACTGGTTGATTGATCTCCAGATAGATGCGCAGTGGGATTACATTGTAGTGTAGTTAGGTTACAAGCGTACACGGCTGCTACATAGCTTGTATCTGGCGATAACAAAGTTTGGGCATTCTTTCTTGCTTTCCTTCTATATATCTATATATATCTATACATATTATATAGTCGATAGAATCAACCAATCCACGGATAATCATTCAGCCAAACCAATGAAACCATCATCCACTTTCTCTTCGCGCAACCTTGAAGAACAACCTTGGGAAACATCTTGATTCCACCTGGCCAATCCGTTAGAATCAAACTCAAATCCCTACATATGAGTCAAACCTCATTATTGAGAAATAGCAGCCAGCACCGACCCACACCAGTAAATGGCCATCAAATGAAGGCTAACTCATCAGACTCAATAGTGACATCTTCTTGCACCAAATATTAATGACATCATTGCTTCTATGTTGAGATTTGATATCAGATGAATATATATATCCTCACCCAGCTCACTTCTTATACAATACATCAAAAGAACTGTTTATCAGATGATTTCACAATGTGGTTTTTTATGACTTGATGAAGAAAAGACAAGAAAGGGGCTTGTTAGAAACCGAGGGAAGATTTCGTGTGCAAGTTGCAAAAAATCCGCCTATTTAGATTGATGATACAAGGCATCGGCCAACAAGTGCGACGAACCGTCCTGGTGGTAAGCGACTCTGATAGTTATATAGGTTTCGCTGAAGATGGGACCGCATTACCGCAGCGTATAACTATCTAAAATCTCGACGCCGCAAATCGCAATAGCATCGACGAATTCTGAAGTCGGACGGGGAGGGTTACACCTTTTTTTTGCCGCTGTGGGCGTTGAGGTATTAATTAATATGCGTGCTCATAAACCCCCCCCCCCCCCCCCCCATCTATCCAAAATAAAAATATCTATGGAAAGGCTTCTCTTTCCTTCTCGCTGATCACAACTAATAAATTTATTATATATGGTGTTGAGAGGGCATAGTTTCAATGTTGCTAAAATTCTTACACAGTATTTGGATCAAGAGTGTTGACTAGTTGACTGTATTTATGTTTGAATTCATATTAATTATTAATAATTGTGTTATAATCCGTAGTTACAGTCAGTCATGGCATAGTTACATAACTACATATAATAGAATAATAGAGCCTGCTAAAAGGTCTGATCCCTAGTCACTATCTCTTATATGTAATGTACTACTGTACATGTAGTTAATCTAATGTAAGGAGCAATACACTCATGCAGTAACAAGTAGCATCACAGAATAATACACAAAAAAACAACCTTGTTAGGTAGTTACTGTAACTATCTATGTATAAATGTATAACAATCTAGATGCCTAGAGAAGTTATAGATGCCCCTGCATAAGAATATATGGTGAAATATGATTTCTAGCATGATGAATCTCCAACAAGTCAAGCAGATGCACTATTCTATTCTCCATGAGGGACCCCCCCCCCTCCTGAGAGTCTCTATTCCTATTCTCTTATAATTAATTAAAAGAAGAGATATGGGATGGATGGCACTCAATACTAATACTCAAATGCCAATATCAGTTATCAGTATTTCAGTTATTTCAGCTTAAATTATTCTTTACAAGTTAGCCCAGCCATCCCCTTCGTTTCTCTCCCACCGGCTGCCGCTCGGAACATCAAGATGCCGAATCACGCGGTTTTTCCCATTGTTATCACTATTATTCTTATTATTTTTTGTATTCCTGGGGCGCGCGCCGGCCCGCGTTAGCTTGATTTAGAATCCAGCAAAAAATAAAAAAAAAAAAAAAAAAAAAAAAAAAAAAAAAAAATATGAAAATAATTTAAAATAATTAAAATAATAAAAAAAGAAGAACCACTAGATAAAAGAGAGTTTGTCACCGGCTGCTGGCCACTGGTTCCAACCAACTGCACTGGTCATCGGCGAGATATGATATTGGGGCGCGGGCTGGCTTTGCAGGGTTTGGTGTTTGTTGGGGGCTGATTCGAACCATTCGACCCATCGAACAAGTCAAGAAGCTTTTGCCGCCAGGTACCAGGGCTTCTTGATTGGATTTATGATTGCTTTTAGAGTAAACTAGGGGGGGTTATGTATGCATTGCTGAGTATGTGTGTTATTATGTATGTACAGCGTATGTATGTATGTATGTATGTATGTAGGTGCTGCTGGGATAAATTCAATTCCCGCCAAAAGCAATATTTTATCATTTGTTCCGCCATATAGATTTTATATTATTTGGGAAGACTGGAGGGTACTTTCAAGATTGAGGAAATAAATAATGGATAAATAAGTCTACATAACGCTGGGAAGGGGAATAATGTTGCGATCTTCTTTCTCCTGCTACCCGCATTTACCACAAGGGAATCCATAACTACCAACAGGGATCAGCTTGAGGAAGCGAATTGCCTCCACGTTCTTCCCTGGAAGCTTCCTTCCAGCGTGTGGCTTCGTTAGTTATAGTCATTTATTAATAAATAATAATGGTGTGGGCAACGTTAACGATTAGCAGCGCAATATAATAATAATAATGGTAAAAAGACAACAGCACTCCATAACTACAGCGTATAATATACTATTATATATATACTCTTTTCTTGAGAAATGAAGCCAAATCCCTGTACAGCCTGTACGCAGCGTAATAATAAAACATCCCGTTCGTCGGCGCCCGGACCAGGCAGAACGGGTTATCTCCGCCAACCTTGGACTTTTGCCCCCACTTCCTCCTGCTTAGTCATGTAGATTCCTGGCTGGTGATTGGTTCATTGGGCATCCATCAAGGATGCTTCCTTCCCCTATTACTCGATGTCTCGATCGGGAAGAAGTGAGCCGTTTTAGCGTGTTTCGTGACCGTATTTTATTCTGACGTTCCGTTGCTTGCGTAATTAATTCACTCATTGTGAACCAATAATGAATGATGATTCTTCTTCCTCCTCCTCCTCCTCCTCCTCATCTTCTTCTTCTTCTTCTTCTTCTTCATTTCTTTCTCCCTTTCTTCCTTTCTCCCTTTCTCCTTCTTCCTTCTCGCTTCAATCATCATCCATCCCCCCTTTGTTATATATCTTTAATATCTCCCGCCTCCCTCTTCCACCTCGTTCTTGTATAGCTGCTCTTGTACGTAGTAGCACATGGAACTGTCCTGATTGGCCGTCTCATCGATACCTGCCACTCAGAGACACACACAGACAGACAGACAGACAGACAGACAGACAGACAGACAGAGAGAGAGAGAGAGAGAGAGAAATAGATAGACAGAGGAGAATCGAGGAAATATCCACCTCCTGCATTCGCCCCTTTTTTCTCCTCGCGTCCTCCCTCCCCTTCCGTTAACGCTCGACTCCTCCCAACATCTGTATCCCTTTTGATCAGAGCTGCTCAAACCAAGCCCTCTCTCTTCAATTGGCCATGGCGACCGTCAATGAGACGTTTGCCTCGCCCGTGGCTGATGCCGGCCTGGCTTCCTCAATCACCCAGGATCCCGCTGGCTTGTTGATGTCCATCTACAATGGCATGACCATCTGGTCCGCCCTCTTCACCATCTTCCTCCTCCTCGTCACCTACGATCAAGGTATGCTATTCCCATTCCCATTCCCATTACTATTACTATCATCATCATCATCATCATAATCATCATCATGGAAGACAACGCTAACAGTTACCCTCCACCGCTGCACAGTGAAATACATCTGGCTCAAGGGATCCATTGAAGGCCCCAGGTTCAAAATCCCCTTCATGGGCCCCTTCCTCCAGTCCGTCAATCCAAAGTTCCTCGAGTACCAGGCGAAATGGGCTAGCGGTGAATTGAGCTGTGTCTCCGTTTTCCACAAGTATGCTCTTTTCCCCATCCCTTTTTTTTATGACGATATATTGGTAGTTCAACTGTGCTGAACAATCTGCGCGCCCCGTTGTTTCGCGCGTTTCCCCTGTAGGTTCGTCGTCATTGCTTCGACCCGTGATATGTCCCGTAAGGTTTTCAATTCGCCAGCATATGTGAAACCATGCGTTGTCGATGTTGCGCACAAACTTCTTGGCAAGGATAACTGGGTGTTTTTGGATGGCAAAGAGCACGTAGAATATCGCAAGGGCTTGAACGGCCTTTTCACCAGAGCGGCCCTGACCAACTACATGCCCCAGCTGGAAGATGTCTATGATAGATTCTACAACATGTTCGTCCAAAAATCCGAGGAGCTCGAGATGAAGCCGGAGCCGTGGATGCCGCATTTCCGTGAATTGATGACCGCATTGTCCTGCCGCACGTTCGTGGGCCATTACATGTCTGATGAGGCCGTCAAGAACATCGCAGACGACTACTACCTAATCACCGCTGCCCTCGAGTTGGTCAACTTCCCCATCATCATCCCCTTCACCAAGACATGGTACGGAAAGAAATCGTCAGACATGGTCCTGCGCGAATTCTCAAAATGCGCTGCCAAGAGTAAAATTCGCATGGCCAAGGGCGAGAAAGTAACCTGCATCATGGACGCCTGGGTCAAGAATATGCTGGACTCCGCCGCCTACCGCGAGAAGATCGCCAAGGGCGTGCCCGTGAACGATTCAGATAAACCAGCCCATCTCCTCCGTGACTTCACCGATTATGAAATCGCCCAGACCATCTTCACCTTCCTGTTCGCTTCACAGGATGCCACCAGTAGCGCGTCCACCTGGCTCTTCCAACTCATGGCTGACCGGCCCGAAATCCTCGACAAAGTCCGCGAAGAGAACCTGAGACTCAGAGGCGGCGACCGTAATGTCCCCATCAGCATGGAGCTGCTGGATCAGATGACCTACACTCGCGCAGTTGTCAGAGAAACCCTCCGCTACCGCCCACCAGTAATCATGGTTCCCTACATGGTCAAGAAGGACTTCCCCGTCACCCCCACCTACACTCTACCCAAGGGCTCCATGATCATCCCCTCCGTGTGGCCCGCCACTCATGACCCAGAGGCCTACCCGGACCCGGACTCATTCAAACCAGAGCGATGGCTGAACGGTGAAGCGGATAAGGCCGCAAAGAACTTCCTCGTCTTCGGCACAGGCCCGCATTATTGTCTGGGTCAAACATATGCCCAACTTAATCTGATGGCTATGATTGGTAAGGCTAGTATGTTTCTCGATTGGGACCATCATATCACCCCTGTATCGGAGGATATTCGGGTGTTTGCTACGATTTTCCCGCAGGTAAGTTAAATTATATGTCTTCTTTGCTTAGAGATATATCAAAGATAAAAGCTAACCCTTTTAAACAACACCAGGATGACTGCCCCCTCGTTTTCCGCCGCAGACCGGAATAGATGAGCTTCTTTTTCTCTCTTTTCTGTCTTTTTTCATTACTTGAATTCGGAAGTTTCTCTCCCTCTCAATACCTTTTTAACGCATCCGTCCATCTCTCTCCGCTTTTCCCCGTCCAAAGATGGGCAAACTTTATACCCATGAAAGTTCCCAATATGTCGACTAAAAAAGAAAATCAAATACGAAAATACAAGGACCAGGCCCCGGTTTTTGAAAATTCGATGAGTGGGATGAAAATCAAATCAAATCAGATAAACAACATTGACGAATGAAAACAAACACAAACAATAAATATTGACAGGTCATGAAACAAACGGAAACCTACCCAGGTAGGTAGGTAGCGTTGGATATGAGGGGGAAAACAAAGGAGTTGGAGTGGAGTGGAGAGGAGAAGAGGATCTGATTTGGGGCGAAGAGCAAGGTGGGGGGACTTGAGAATGAACACAAATGGAATTACCAATGCTTCTTTTATACTAATTTTTAATCACTAAATTCAACTCTTTTTTTTTTTTTTTTTTTTTTTTCCTTCTTTCTGTGATGCAGAGCAAGCAAGACTGAGCAAGATGAGAGAACAGAGTGATTTGTCTCGTCTCTATAAAGTATATGTACTCTTGATTGTTTTTATGTTTTATGTTTCTGTTTCTTATTACTGCATCTGCATTCAATCTATTATAAATGCATATATTAATATAATATTTCATTAACTTATATTATACTGTGTATGTTTGTCATTCTCTCATGCATCATTATATGAATATATTATTTTATTTTCTCACTTCTTTTCTTATTAAAACAGATACATCCTGCAGCAGAACTTAGTCTGAATGCATATTCAATTTAGTAGATGAACATAAAACTCCTTGAGTGAGCTATGGAAAAAAAGGGGAGTTAACTTAGTTAACAAAGTTATGTCCTCCGCTGACATCATCCCGCAATCGCAATCGCCGAAACCCTGAGCTGAGGATTTTATTTTTCGTTCGCCGAACAAGAACAAGAACCCCCCCCCCCCCAAAAAAAAAAAAAAAACAGCTAAATCGATCATCACTCATCCCGCCGACTTCAATTGTTTTTTTGTACACCCTCCATTTACCCCCCTAACATTTACCCCCATATATATATATATCTGTATATCTACTACACTACTCCAGAAAACGACACCTTTCAGCCCACAATACAATGTCCGCCGTCGCCGCCGTTCCCCGGCTACCCTGCCAGCTACTACGGATACGGACGCGTACGGGTGTGGGAGCTTCTTCACGGATAATAGCTGCTGGGCATGGGGTTGCTCGAGGACAGGCGGCGCAGGTGCCGGTGCAGCGGTGCTGGAGTGGTAGCTTGAAGAATGCTGTTGGTGTTGGTGTTGGTGTTGGGCCCTGTGCGGGTGTGCGGTGGTTTTCTACTGGGGGTGTTTGGAGGCAGGATGCGTCTGGGGAAGCGAGTGGGAATGGGGAGCAGAAAAAAGAGATGGAGTTTAAGACGTATGGGTTTGAGGAGGTATGTATTTATTTTTTAACGGAAGCGTGTGCAATGAATGGGCATGTAACTGTTTGTTTTTAGCTGAAATTTGACCCCGGTTGACGGTTCCGGTTCCGGTTCTATAAAATCCATTCGTCTCCTCCTCCGGGAGGGGGATCCAACTACCAACTAACAAACACCCCCATGAAAACAGATAACCGCCTCCCTCCCCACCAGCTCCAGCAGCTCCAGCTCCAGCCCCCCCTCCCCAATCCTAATCGACGTCCGCGAACCCGCCGAACTCACCTCGACCGGCATAATCCCCACAGCCCACCACATCCCCATCCGCACACACCCAGACGCCTTCTTCCTTCCCCCCGACGAATTCCTCACCCGCTTCGGCTTCGCGAAGCCCGAGGCTGATGCGCCACCACCATCCCCATCCCCATCCCCATCCTCTTCTTCTTCAACAGCAACAACAGCAACACCAACGAAGCAGAAACCCGACATCGTCTTCTACTGCAAGGCGGGCGTGCGTGCGCGGTCGATGGCGATGCTGGCGGCGCAGGCGGGGTATGATCAAGGACGGTTGGGGGTGTATTATGGGAGTTGGTTGGATTGGGAGAAGAGGGGGGGTCCGGTGGAGAGGTGGGAGGGGAATGGAGAGGGGGAGGGATAGAGGGAGGGAGGGAGGGGAGTTTTCTTAGGGTGATTAGATGGTAATGGATTTATAAAGGATTGATTGAAAAGAGGAAAGGAAGGAGGAGAGGGAAGGAGTTGTTGGTGGGGGGAGGGGGGGGGGGGTGGCTTTTGTTCTATTTGGCTGGATACGGAAGTAGAAATGAAATTGCGCATGCTGTGTAGGAATGATTCAAGCAAAGCTGAAAGAGTACAGTCTGTTTCTTGGAGAGAATATTTTTTCTTCTGTTTTCTTGTTTTCTCACTATGAATGATTCACCATTTCCATCATTGCTTCAATTGAAGAGGAGAGAGTTCATGTATTATTGCCAATTGCCAATTAATGAAGTTTGCTAGTGTCGCCCTGCGCTTATCATCTCTTTCAATCATTATTTTTTGTTTTTTTCATTCATTTTGTGTTGTAGATACATAACATCAAAGAAGATTTAGCTGCCGTTTCCCAATCCACGTATGAATGAAGTGGCTGTTGGAGACATGAAAAAAAAAAAAAAAAAAAAAAAAAGAAAAAAAAGAAAAAAAAGGAGCCATTGAAGTAGAGAAAGAGAGAGAGAGAGAAAATGGGAGTGAACAAGAGGGGAGAGGGGAAAGTAAAATAAAATGGTTTTTGATATAAAGAAATCAACATGACAGGCTTTTTTTCTTTTCAGAACCAGGTTTAAGTTACATTAAAAAGGAAAGCAGACAAAAAAGATCAGATATGATAAACGCATCGCCGTCTTTATGAAGGAACCAAACCAGATCAAAGCACAAGAGAGCAAGAGAGAGAGAAAATTGTAAAAACGTAAAAAGTCCTCATTCTTAAAAGACATGGGGTGAAAAAAAAGAATATATATATAAAATAAAAAACGAAATCAAGGGATATCGAACAACGGCTTCAACTTCTTGATAAGCACCCATTCATCCATCGAAACATCAGCTCGATAGAACTCCTTGAGCGTATCAATGCTAGGCCGCGAGATGAGAGAATAGAGCGTGTCTTTCTCCTCGAGCTGGCGCCCGTAGAGCGGTTGGTTGGGGCCCTCGATTTTCACGGCCACGGACGGTTGGCCCTTCTTGCAGAGAGGGATCTGCTTGTGTTCGCGCTCGATGGATTGACTATTGGCACAAAAAAAATATGTTAGCTTATTTTGTGATTTTAAAGGCTATTATTTTTTGAGGTGTTACTTGTTTTGTATATAGGGGCGACGGGGGTATGTATGACTTACACTCGGCCTAGACTAATAATCTCCTTCACGCCAGTGACTGGGTTGGTCTTGACGGCAGCGATGGGTGTGAGGAGGCGCAACGAGCCCTCGACGACATCCACACCGATGACGATGGGGTCCTTCTTGTTGAACACAGCAACGGTATTGAGGACGCAGGGGAACACGGCGAGTAGTTTGCTCTCCTCCTTCTTCTGCTCGGCGATCTGCTCCATGTGTTTGGTGAAATCGTCGAAGAGATGGTAGATGATGTCAGCAGTGAAGATCTTGATCCCGACTTCGTCAGCGTATGCTTGCGCCTCTTTGTCAACTTTAACGTCGAAACAAAGCATGATGGCGAACTGTCTGGCTTTCTCTAACATAGTACCTGCGCGCATGACGTCGCGTTTGTAGACGGGGCCGATGGAGATGTTTGCGACGGGGATCTTGGAGACGCGGAGGAACTCGAGCAGCGCTTCGAGGGAACCGAGGGTGGAGGCCTGCACGCTGACGCCGCGGTTGTCCTTAGAAACCTTGCTGAGTAGATTCTCCAGATCGGACATGACTTCATCTTCAAGGTCTTCCTCGTCATCGTTCGGTCCAACGACGAGTAGTCGGGAACCAGCAATAGCATGTTCAAGATCGTTGGCCGCAATCTTAACACCAAGCGCTGCTTTGACTTCCTTGTTATGTACGTATTGCGATTTGAGACGCAGTTCCTTAAGTGGTGCCGGTGTTAGTAGTGCGCGGATGTTCGTCGCTATGGGTCCGTTTAGACCACACATTACAATGCGATCACCCTCGCGCAGCACACCGTTTGACAAGACAACGTCGATGGTTGTACCAAGGCCCTCGATCACTTTAACTTCCAGAACAGTACACTCAACCTCAGTAAGGTACATGAGTTGTTTGGTCATGCGCTCCTGTGTGAGGGCAACGAGCAACTTGAGCATATCGGGAACACCTTCGCCGGTATGCGCGGAGGTAGGAACGAGAGACACGTTACGAGCCATGGACTTATTCTCCCAGTACAATTCGGAGTTAAACCCTTGTTCGGCGAACGCGAGCTTGGTCTTGTCGACTCGGTCTCTGAACTCATTCTGGACGCCCTTATTCTGCAGAGCCAAACTATCTTGGAAGCCGTTGTTGTCGATCTTCTTCCAACCGTAGAGTCGATCGATTTTGTTCAGCGCAACGATGAAGGGAGTTTTCCGGTCACGAAGGAGTCTCATGGACTCGAGAGTCTGCTGTTCCAAGCCATGCATAATATCAACTACCAGAATGGCGATGTTACAGAGCGAAGAGCCTCTTGAACGTAGATTGGAGAACGACTCGTGCCCGGGTGTATCAATAACAAGCAAACCAGGAACTTTGAATTCGAAAGAGCCGTCTTTGTTGACAACGGCTGTCTTTTGCTTCAGGGCCTCCGTGGGGAAATATGTGGCACCAATCTGCTGGGTGATACCACCAGCCTCTCCCTCCTGCACATTTGTCTGCCTGACTTTATCCAAGAGCTTTGTCTTACCAGTATCGACATGTCCAAGAATACAACAGATAGGAGAACGGAGATTATCCTCTGACCGTGCCGCAAGGGCTTCTTCATGCTGCTTCCTTCGTCTTTCCGCTGCCTCTGCCTTTTTCTGAGCGAGAGCTCGCTGAGTTGCAGTAGCCTCCTCATCTTCCTCGGATGATTCCTCCTCAGACTCTTCGGGGGATGTTTCCGCCTTGGCGGCGCCATTTGCACCTGGCTTCTCGTCTTGGTCCGCCTGGTCCGCATGGTCCGCCTCTTCTTCGTCCGATGAAATATCCCAGCTTTCTTTAATACCATCGTCCTCGGCTTCTTTCGCAGCAGCCTGGGCAGCGGCTTCAGCAGCGGCTTTCTCTTCTGCACGCTTTCGCTCCTCTTCGGCTTTCTTAGCCCTTTCAGCTTCAAGCTCTAGTCGTTGAGCCTCAGCTCTAGCAGCAGCGGCCTCGAGGTCATCCTCTTGTTTCTTCACGGGGCGTTTCTTCTTATTTTCATATACTGGCTTCTTCTTTTCCACAGGCTCTTCTAATCCCTGGACTACCGCACCGGCCGCAAGCATCTGCTGCTTCCGGAGCTCGTTGCGCTGTTGCGCCTCCTTCTGCGCCTTGGTGAGCAATTTACCCTCCCTTCTCAGCTGTTCTTTCTTTTCCCGCTCCTTTTCCTTTCTCCTCTGTCGAGCTTCCTCCTTTTTCCGCTCCTCTTCTTCTATTTGCCTCTCCCGTTCTTCAGCCGCGGCCTTCTCTTCAGCCTCTAGGCGGGCAATTTCCTCTTGTTGTCTCCGCAGCGCCTCTTGTTGCCTCTGGATCGCAGCGAGATGGGCCGGGACTTTCCTCTTCTTCGCACCAGTGTCCGCAGCGGGAGCAGCGGAGGGAGCGGCAGGTTTTTCTTCAGTAACAGGCTTAGCGGCTTCAGCTTTTGGCGCGGGGGCAGCAGCTGGGGCAGCGACCTTCTTCTTCGCAGCCTAAAATAAACCAAAAAAAAAGGAAATTGTTAGTTACCATTATCTTTCCACCTCAGAAAATAGCGAGTAAATAGAGAAAATGAACATGAAAATATGATAAATGAAAGGGAAAATGCCCACCTGCTCCTTCTTCCTCTGCTTTTCCCTCTCCTTCTTCTCCTTCTCCTTCTCCTTCTTAGACTTCAACCTTCCTCCCTCCTCCGCCTCTTTAGCCTTTTCTTTCATCGCAGCCGCTTTGTCTTTCGCCCGTTGCCGCGCAGCAGCATTCCCCGAAAATACATCGTCCTCATCCTCAAAGCTAGCTTCTTGCGGCTCTTTGCTCTTAACAGTAGCAGCAGCAGCATCAGCAGCCATTGGATCTTCGCCTTCGACAAAGTCATTATCCTTGCCCTTCTTGGCTTTCCTGCTCCGGTTCTTCTTGAGCGCTGCTAAGAGGCCGCCGGACATTCCGTCGTCGTCGTCATTGTTATTATCGTTTGCATTTGCATCGTTGGTAGCATCGTTGCCGTTCTCGCCGGCGGCAGCAGCGTCGGTGGGTGGGATGGTTTCTCCAAGCTCAGCCTCCCAGTCCTCCTGCTGCTTCCTGCCGCCCTTCTTCTTGGGTGCCATTTTTCGAAAATTTGGATGATTATCAGGGTTTGTTTTCTCCCCTGATTATTTTACGATTTTTGCTGACGTTGTCTAGAATATATATCTCTGTTTGTGGGGTTGTGTGTGTGTGTGTGTGTATTGTGTGTTTGTTGTGCCTGCGTGTGTCTTGTAAATGTAGCGAGGTTCTAGGCCAGGTATATTTATGTGGTCCGCAGCCTGTCTCTTAACGAGAGTGGTGATAGCGGTGGTAACGGTGGAGGCGTGCTAGTAAAATTCGACGTGAGGTTTCTCGAAGGCAAATGAGGTGACATGAGCAAGAACTAAAACCGAGCCCAGCGGCAATCAAAGGCTAAGCTAAATTTGCCTTTCCGCTACCTGATTCTTCTGTTGGTGGTAGGTAACTGAAACCGAGATGGAGAATATGGAATATGGCCTGGAGGTGATTTGCGAGGTTTTCAGATGAGGAACAAAAAGAAAGTTATTCGTTGTGTTCGTTCGTTCGTGCTGCGGGTGGGGGACAGCCAAGCGAATTGCCCGGCGCTGGAACAACGAGAGCAAGGACGACAAAAGGGGGAATTTTATTTTATTTAATATTACTTAACTATAGTTTGATACTGTAAGAGTTTTATATTAACCTCTATAGCTTTTGTTATTCACTTATTATTGTGTTTCTTGGCAAGGAATATTCATCATCTCGTCCTATATCAGCTATTTAGGCCTATAAATTATTCAATCATCCTGAATCCTGAGCAACCCAACCACGTAAATGGACAAAGAACAACCTCTCACAGGAGGGCTTTTGAAACATGTGATTGGACATCTTCATCTCACTCTCCTTAGATGTCAAAATATTCAATCAAGTGTGAAGCGTGGATAAAGTCACTCAATTCAATCCTTTCGCCAAAGGGAGGAGAAGAAGAAAGGGGGAAAATGGCCAAAGCAGAACATGCTGAGCAACCCTCTACATCCATGCTTTTCACCTTTAAATCGAGCTGTTTGTTTCCTGGTTTTGCCGGACTCTGGAGAAGCGGACAGAAATGCGAACATGCCAACGAATTCCCAGTTCTCTTTTTCCAGGATCGTAAATACCCACCCACCCAAAAGATGCAGGTCACAGGGAAATTTGTACCATAGACCCCATCCATGCCATAACAGCAGCAAACGGATCCTCAGCACCCGGAACAACCGCAGCCGCAAACTCCATAAACCTACTCACCTTCTCCCCACCACCACCACCACCACCACCACTACCAGCAACCTTAGAGCTTTCAGTCATGCGGTCCTCTTCTTCTACCCCCATCATCCGTCTCAACTGCCCTATGCCCCCCTCAACCAACCGACTCAGGATATCCCCATTAACATGCAACGACTCAGGCTTGGAAACCGTAACCTCCCACGTATCAATGGAGTTTCTCCGCCTGCGCCTTGCCAGCGGACATATGGACGGTTCCTTCATGCACACATTCTGGATAAAGCGTAGTAAGCGCCACTGCGGCTCGGAGAGGGTTGTGAACCTATACACCGTGCCGTCGATTGCGGTGCCGTATGTCACCTCTAAGCCCATGCCTGGTGTAGTTGCTGCTGGTCGCGAACTTCTGGATAGCCGAAAGACTGACAAGGGCATATGGGCTGTGAAGGTCTTGTGGATGAGTTTGTCTTCGGGTGTGAGGCCGACTTCTGTCAGGCCGACGATGGCGCCACCTAGGGTTGATGTTATGGTTATGCGGGAGTCGTCTTGTAGGTTAACGAGGTCGAGGCTTTCCCTGTCGGAGCCGTCCTGGCCATGTAGTGTGAGGCCTGTGTCTGTGGCCTGGAGAATGCAAAGTGAATTTTTCAGTGTTAGGACGTATATGTAAGGTTCCCGCACGGTGATGGCCACGGCATCGGACTCCAGGTGATAGCCGGGTCGTTTCCGCCATTTCTTTGCAACAGGGTCTATAGTTTGGAAAATAACTTGATCGCCAACGGCTAAGACCAAAGAGCTGGGTTTGAAGGGCGCTATCGCTCTGACAGGGGCTTCGTAGTCAAGAACGTATTTCACTGACGAGTCTATCTGACCCGGAGATCGAGCGCTGGGACGAGCTACCATGTATATCACCCTCCCCATATGGGCAGAGTGTGGTTGAGCCGTTGCGGCAACAACCATATGGTGCACGTTATCACCGCTCGAGACACTCCAATCCAGGAGTGCTGTGACCTCTTCGCCGGATCCACCAGTTGGCCTCCATGGCCTGGGTTCAGCCTCTGGTGTACCTTCCGGTTCACCACTTAGGGATATGGAAGACGACACACCTACTTCGTCGTCCGGGTCGATGAAGTCGATACGAGGGCGTCTCCAGCGCTTCACGCACTCTGCAGTCTCTTTGAGTTCAACGGCATTATATGCCACAACGAGTTGCTTCAAATATTCCGAGTATATTATTCTCTTTGGGCTTCCCGGGATTGCAATATGCCGCGGAACTGTTTTTGGTGTCTTCTCTAAGATGCAGCACAGTAGCTGGTTTCTCGTGATACATACCAGCGAACCACCAAGTCCCCCCGAGTTGAAATCGGGACGAGAGTCGATGCAGGTAAACACATCGATCGTAGCTTGCACGCGGGCAGGCTAAAGGGGGTAGTTAGCATTAAAAAATGAGTTCCTGACGGTGTATTTTTAGAACTAACATTGTTCTGGTCAGTGACCCATATCTTGTGAAGAACGAACTCGTCAGATTCTTCATCCTCAACATCAGATAGGCGCCATAATCCGCGGCCACACGTTACAATCGCAAAGGTTGCGTCTGATTCGTATCTTCGAATCCGGACAGATGTATTGCCCAACTTGCGGACGTCGGTTTGGACCAGTGCTGGAAAAGGGGGCAAAAGAATTAGCGGGTTGATAGGGTTTTTATAAATCCGTGCATGGGAAAAAACATAAGCATACCAATGTTTCCGGAGTCTCTCTCGAGCCGTACATCGAACGAAACCATGTTGCCACTCCGAAGTCCGCAAAACAGTGTTGTTTTCGTCCTTCCACGTCTAGGGACGGAAATAACCGCGAAGCTTTCGCAAACTGTTGATTCGTCATTTCCAGGGAAGAGGAGAATGGATTGTTCCAATAAGGGTACAAGGCCTAGAATGGGATCAATCCGTGCAGATAGGAGTTTCCCTTCTGTGGTCCCAATGAATAGGACAGGCTGGGAAAAGATCACTTCGATTGTCAAGTTAACCGGCTCACAGGCCAATGGCAGGGGTTGCCCAATAGTAGGGCATTGGAGGTTACCATCGTTTATTTCTACCTTCCGAAGATGAATATGGATACCCGATGCTGTCCTTACTGCCGCGGCAAATAGTGATAGGGCTCCGCTGACAGCTGCGGCGATAATACGTTCAGCTGGATTTTGACACCGTGTTGAGTAGCGAAGTGTCGTATTCTCGAGAACGGATAGGTGTATCGACATCTCCGTGACTTGGATGACCACTCCCTCGCGGGAGCTTCCTGCGGCAATGGTTTGGGTCTCGAGATCAATGCCAGTATCTTCCTCGGTCATCACATATAGATCGTCCTCAGTTTCGACGGGAACAGAAATGACAGATGATGATAGCGGGTTCGAAAACAAGAAATATGTCCCTCCTGTTTGCCGGTTTGGGCTAGTCCACACGTCTAGAACACTTGACGAATCTTCCTGATCAATAACTAGCCCGACTCGGGCCTCGATTCCATGACGCAATTCTGTAATTGACCCGCGATAAAGGCCATCCCACGAACATGTAAAGATCCGATCGAAGGCGAAGTCCACAGCCTTGCGTCCATTTTGGTAGTTTTCCGTGCCCTGAGAATCAGGAGCCTTTATCACAACAGAATCAAGAACGGGAGCCCAATTTGGGATCCTTTGAAGACATCTCGAATTTTTTCTAGCACCCAAAAGAAATAGGCCACCGTCACCCATAGAGCCTGCAGCCACAAGTATATCACCTCCAGTTTTAAACCCGGAGTCGAGGATGGCAAAGCCTCTGTCGACATTACAGCCAATTGATTTTATGCGAATGTCTTTCAGAAGCCACCATGACTCCCCAGCCATTTTCTTAATTTCCAGATATGACAACTCACCATCCTGGCGGCATAGGTAAAGGTCATCTTCTATTTCGTGGTGAGCAATGTTCCTCTTTGGCCGAACCCAGGCCGTACATGGCTGACCTCCCCGGTCATCCGAACTTTTATCTCTCATTGAAACAGTACTGTCCGCCAGGTTGATCTCGTAGACGCAATACCCTGCCTGGCTAACCAGCAGACAGGAGGTCGCAAATTTCAGTGGTATAAATAGCGAGGGAAGCCGGAACTCCGGTAGTATTCTTGATTTAATTCGCTTGGCCTCGACACTTGCAAGACCCTCGCCCCCCTTCCAGGTGTAGCAGGCGATATGAGTCTTCGTATGATTGTTTACGAGCAGCATTAGTACTATCCTATCCTCGTCTCCGGCGGCTGGGTGGAGAAAATCCATGGCTATTATGTCGCCATCAGCACGAAAAAACCGTTCCTAGAACAAGGACGGGTCAGCGTATGAAGATTATTCGAAATCAAGCTAGAGCTAGGGATTTAAAAATTGCGTATATCCATACCTCCTGAATTGGATTAACTGGCCCTGCCTCCATCTCTGCGCGGATAACTGATGGAGATTTCAGGGAGAAAATACCGAAAAATTTGTGCGCTGCTGAAACCGCCATTGATCTTGATCTGTGTGCACAGGCGGTTAGCTTCAACAAAACGGCGTCGATGCTAGTAAGGGTACGAACTAACCTGGGATCGATCGCAACATATCTGCCATATTGCTCGAGGGAGCTGACATCTGATGGTAAGGGGCGTCGCACGTGGATGAATTCCGGGCGGCCTGACGGGCCTTCCGCCCCGTACAGAAACAGGAGCTCCCTGCAAGCCAGAACTAGAACAAGGATCTGTCTATGCCAGCAGTCGTCAGGTGATGTATTAGACAATGCACCCAATTCACCCTCCTCTCTAAATTGCGTCCCTGTAACCGCATTTCCCGGGTTCCCGATAACTTTAGCATCGAGGATCTTGGTATCGAAATCTGCCTTTGTAGCAATGTCTTCCAGATGGCCGTTGGGGACAAGTTCCTTGATCTGTATAAAATCATCGCCTACAAAAACGATATCGTGTTTATCACGATGTCTGAGCCGCGCAGGTAGTGCCAGTTGGATCAGAGGGCCGGGCATAATTGTCCGGGAAAGAAGCCCAGTAGGTGGCACGCTCCGTGGCTTGCGCACACCGTCATCATCAGAAGTCCCTTGCCTGCTGGACATGATGTCTCCAATGTTAACTTGCCGAGTTGTCCAGTTGCCATCGGTCAGATAAGTGGTCTGGATGGACATGGTGTAAACCACTGCTTCATGAGAAGCCTCTAGATAACATTAAATTAATGCGCAGAAATATACACCCCTCGAGAGACCTTGGAGGTGTGAACAAAGGTGGGTGCCTGATGCTTCAAAAAAGGTCAGACTTGAAATAATCCGAGAAACACGATGCCTCTGTTCAAGGGGTTGTTGCTGGTAGCTATGTCGAGGATAAACACAAATTTAGGCCGAGGGCGAATAGAATACAATAGGAAAAAGGGGTATTCGATATTGAGATTGAACACCAACTCCTAAGGATCAATACTGATATGCATTACATGAATAGACGAATGGCAATATCTTTGAAGAAAAGGGATGGCTATGATATGGACAAAAAAGAATAACAGACACCGGGTCAAACCCGGCCTCAAAATCAACAACTATGAATTCCCAGCAGGAGCCAACAATTGCGATTCAGGGAGGTAGGCAGATCAGTAGGGAAATTCACAAAAAGTGAGTTGAAGAAGGCAAATCATGACATTGACTTGTGTTACAGACGGAGTACAGAGTATATGGTAGATAGATAGCTGGGTATTTATAGGATAGGAAGTTAGAGTGGAATAGTAGAAACACACTTACATTGCTGCAGCACCCCTCTCTGTATCTTATTGAGCCATTTTAAGGCATTGGCGCCCAGCAACGAGAGGGGGGATTTCGGCCCAACAGACAGATACCACGGGCTGGTGTCCTCAAAATCTGATGGTGACCGGGCTTAAACAGGAGGAACCTGGATTAGTTGAAGTTAGCTGGCAGCTCCAATGGGTAGGGTCAATAGCGGTTATTGGTTTTGACAGCCTAATAGATCCCGCCGTAGTGATTCTATAGAATGTAGCTGTTGTAGCTGTTGTAGCTGGCTGCTGTTTGTCGTTCCTGTAGTTGTAGTTGTAGTTGTAGTTGTAGTTGTAGTTAATGCGCGAATCTTGATAATGCTGGCTGGGAGAGGTGGTGCGTGGACATAAACACCGGCCAGAGGGGCAATACCAGATCCTTAGTCATCATTGGCCGAGCCGCCATCGTTCGAGATCTCTCATCGATCAAAACTTCATCTCCATGCGAGAAACCATCCTCACTCGCATAACGGCCGTATACGACGTTATCCAACCAGTGGCCTGCTATCCGCATCATCCGTTCAGCACGCCAAAACACGATTCGGCCGTTCGTGGCTGTCCCGTTGACTCTTGGTGCGCTGCGAAATTCTAAAACCACCACGCCCTAAGTCTGGCGTGCATCTTGCGCCAGGTACTAACTACAGCCACGGCCTCGATTAGCTATATATTTATTGTCTTTTCTTCAATCAAGGTCAGATTGTTACTCCTGTTACTTAACTGGTCACTTGGACTATCCTATTCACCCTTCTTTGGATATGTTATCTTCCCTTGAAGAAATGGAATGTTTATTTCCGTGATCTTGGTCTTCTCGTCAACCAATGCTGTCACAACTAAAATGTTTCCAAACCGTATCTAACATCTGTTTACAGACACTTCGCTGGTCCACGTATCCCCATGTTCATCAATTGTCCACCTTGGAAAACACATCATCGTCTATCGTTGATACTCTGTTTTGTTTTCGTCTTTGACAGGAATCCTGGTAGATGAGATCATAGTACATGTACAGTACATGCCAATTAGGGCCTGTTGTTAATTCTTATTTTTCGCCGGCTTGGAGGCTTTGAAATATTCAAAATTGTTTTTGTTTAACTCTTCTTATTTCCCCCCACTATCAATACCCCCAGCAACAACATTCTCATCTTCCACGCGTTATTTTTAAACAGCCAGTGGGCTTGAAAAAAGGTTTGCAGGGGCAGGCTCCAGTGTAACCAAACCATATATCCCTGAGCCAAGATATCACCTCTGAAGCTTTCATCCCCTTCCACACCAGTCTACGCTTCCGTGGACATTCCACGAATCCTATGGATAGCGACAAAAATTCGTCGACTGCGGACTACCAAAGAGCGTCGGGGCTGAGCAGTGCTCAATCAGATGACCGAACTAACCCAACATTCAATTGGAAAAAGCGGAAGGAGATCCTTGATGCTTGCGAAGCCAGAGATGCCCATGCATTGGCCTCCCTTTGCTTAACGGAAGGAGGCTTGCTGCAAGATGATCTCCGCCAAGCTGCTTGTAAGATTTGACATGCCAATTCATTCTTTCCATTCTTGATAACCGAAGTTTCTATTTATTCAGAACCTCACATCCCGTGCAATGCAGGGCCTATCCTACTGGGGTACGACCCCAACTCAGATCATTCCACAGAGTCCGAATGGACAAGTCTACCTACACATGGTGATGAGGAGCAGGTGAAGTTGGATGTCAACCGGGCCTTTGTACATTATCCAAATTGTATGAACGAATACGAAAGCCAATGCCCAATCACGTTTAGAAAGGGAGCGAGACACTGACGTGAGTTTGCAGGCCAAACCGAGAAGGAGCTAGATGGGAAAAAGCAACAATTATCAGAACTGATAACCAAAACCCTTAGAAAATACCCCATGTTATGTTATTTCCAAGGCTACCACGACATTGCACAAGTCCTTTTTCTAGTCCTTGGCATCGAGCAAGCCAGTCGCGCCTTTGAGCGAATATCGCTTTTCCGGATAAGGGATTACATGCTCCCAACGCTGGCACCAGCCCTTAAGCACCTCCATCTTATCCCGGCCATCATCCACTCCACCGACCCCAAACTATGCAGCCATTTGTCTGGCACGAAGCCCTTTTTCGCACTTGCAGCAACCCTGACCCTCTATGCCCATGATATCCAAGAATATGCAGACATAGCCAGGTTATATGACTTTATCCTCTCCCATGAACCTGTCGTATCCATATACCTCTTCGCCGCCATAATCCTCTCGCGGAAAAAGGAGCTCTTCGAAATTCCCCTCGACGAGCCTGAAATGATACATTTCACCCTCTCAAAACTACCCCACCCAATCAACCTCGACAGTCTTATCGCCAGTACCATGGAGTTATACTCTACCCATCCACCTGAAAAACTGCCCTTTCGCGCTTGGAAGAACATCCCCCGCTGTAGCGTACTTAAAACATCACGGAATCTTGGCCTGCAGGCCACGCCGGAGGAAGCGATGGAGCTGCTGGGGCAGCAGAAGCGACATTTGCGGCGGGAAGAGCTGCGGGAGAAGGCCGTGAAGGTCATGTGTAAATATAGACGACCTGCAGGTATGATAGGTATGGCTGTTTTTGTGGGTATTCTCTCATACTGGATTATGAGGAACGAGAGCAATACTATGCCCATTTGGCGGCATTGCTTGGGGCGATTTGGGAATGTTTTTCACTGGAGGTAGGCAATGGGCGGGGGATGGGCAAGGTAAAGGAAAAACAAGGAAAGAAAAAAGAGGGAGGTGGTGTATTGTATATTACTTCGCAACGAATTTAGGACTGGGTTATTTATTGATGAATCTGCGGGATATGACAATGCTATGTAATAGAATCCTACTTTTTCCTTTGATCACGAACATTACCGGCGTTTATGTTGCAAATAAGACATACCATACTATGTACTATGTTTGTGCAGCCTGTGCGTGGCAATAGCGATGACGTTGCCCAGCTCGAGCTTGATTCCATATCTGGCAACTGGAAGCATCAACAACCACCACAACCTGCATCAACACTCATGTCTCTGCTGCTGTAGCCCAACCGCGACAATGGCCAACCGGGGTTACGATGTAGTAGTCGACGTCGATGCTGAGGTATGTATTGAATATTCCTAGGTTTCTATTTCTTCTCAACTGACTGAACGCCGCCGCAATAGGGTGACCTTGGCCACACCGACCTTCAAGAAGATCTCGAATTCCACCCGTCCAGTACGCTCCTGCATCCCCAAATAAACAACAAAGTGAGGACTGAAACTCGCTCCATACATCATACGTCTAACATCCGCCCACACACATACAGACTTTGAAGAGAACTCCAACACCGCCAAACCCCACCACGCCGACACAACCCCCTTCCTAGGCTCCTCTCAAGGCGGAGCTTCATCTCGCCTCCGCGGCACCTCCCCCGGCGGCACCCCTTCCAAACACCGCTTCTGGACCCTAACATACTACTCCCAATTCTTCGACGTCGATACCTCCGAAGTCGTCCGCCGCTGCACCGCGACCCTCTACCCACGCACAAACTTCCTCGACGTCCTCGACGGCAACCCAGATCTCTACGGGCCCTTCTGGATCGCCACGACCGTCGTCGTCATCCTGTTCCTCACAGGCACCGTCTCGCAGTATCTAGCGCGCAGGGGCGAAGACCACTTCGAGTACGATTTCAGCCTCCTATCTGGCGCCGCGGGCCTGATTTATGGATACACGGGCATCATACCGATTGCGTTGTGGGGGGCGCTGAGGTGGTTTGCGCGGGCAGGCGGCGGTAGTGGTGAGGACTTGGTGGAGTGCTGGGCGCTGTACGGGTATGCGAATCTGGTGTGGATTGTGGTGGCGTTGGTGAGCTGGAGTCCGTTGACGGTGCTGAATTGGGTGCTGGTCGGTGTCGGGTTTGGGTGGTCGGTATGCTTCATGTTGCGCAATCTGTACCCCGTGATCAGCGCGACGGATGCGAAGACGAGTAAGGTGTTGCTGGTTGCGGTTATTTTGCTACATGCTGGGTTGGCCATTGCCATTAAGATTCTGTTCTTTGCGTGAGTTTTCGCTACTTTCTTTCCTTCTTTTTTTGTTTTTTTGCTTTCTCCCTTGCCGTCTTTTTCTCTTTTCCTCCTCCTTATTGCTCTGGAGTTCACTAACCTTTGGCTCTGCTTAAATAGGCACGGAAGCCCGGCGTCAGACAAGAATAAGAATAAGAATAAGGATGACAAAGGCGATAAGCATGATGGCAAAAACGATAAGATGGCGCGGATGTTTTATGGGATGTGAAAGATATATCAACGTGATTTGATGCGACGCTGAATGGGATGACCACTTATCTACCTCAATTATTTTGCTTCCGTTTGCTTGAAGAACGGCTATGATGGTTTTTATCTATTTGTTTCTTATATCCTGAGTTTTTGTTGTGTTTCTCCTTTATTCGTTTTCACAACACTATCTTGTCTATTCTCATTGATGGTTATTTTTTTATTTTTTTTCATATATATATATCCCACAAGCGGGATCGGGTATTTGTATTTTTAGCAATCTGCCGGATGTCTTCCCCTATTAATCTCCTTATACGTTTGCATCTATAAACAGCCTACATATATGCTATTATGTTTATGTTAGATAGAGAATGGAATGGAACCAACCGCGGGGACAATGAGCTTGGAACTTCCAGTGTCTAAGACACCAGATCTCTGTTTTTGATCTATTTCCAATCGTTTAAGGTATATTTTGTTGATCGCCAAGCTCACGGTTTACTTTCCGGGAATATTTCTACAAAGATAAATTCTCTTTTTCAAAGGACGAACTAGTAATTCAGGAATAACATTTACTCTAAACAGCTTGCCGGGTGCCGCCTGAAGTCATCACCTGTTCTTATCCCTTGAGACCGACATGGCGTTTATTTAGTTTATCCATGGTGTCGATTGGATGTGCTTTGATCATTCGGGGAGCAAAGTAGGGAGAGAAAATCGTATTTCCGAACCTTGTTTGGATTCTTGGAGGACATGTCATGTAGGGACACAATTTCGTATTTTTTTTTATCATCATCCTCCCCAAGCGGGGAATAAAACGCCGCAAGGTACGGTACACGTTACATGTAGGTTCGGGGATCAGTGTTCAGATTCGTCCATCGAAGCCGAACATGTCCACAAACTTCCCCTGTCATCTCGCAACACGGAAGGAAGGGAGCGTGAAGGGAAGCGGGAAAAAAAAAAAAAAAAAGAAGAAAGGACAATCATAATAGAGAGGTAACCAGACAACCGATGATATTGAAAGAAAATAATTAATTAATCTACTTGAGCTTCTTCTTTGGTCGGAGTTGGTTGGTGTGGCCGCACTTCTTCTTTCTGCAGTTGGTGGCACGGGGTGGAAGGCGGGCCTGTGGACGAAATTGAAGACGTTTTCTGTTAGCTATATCTTGTTCTGGAACGGGTTTGGTTTTATCCGCTCTTCTTCTTTTGTTTTTTCCCCCTTAAGTCTGATGGCGGGAAATAAAATGAAGAGGACAAGACGGGGTGGAGAAAAAGAAACATGAGAGAGACGTACATAGCACTTCCGGCAGATCATCTTGTCGCAGTTGTACTTGCTGGCAAGGGCCTTTAGCGAGGGCTCGATGATACCACCACGCAGGCGGAGGACGAGGTGAAGGGTAGATTCCTGCAATTTGCGCATAGAGTTAGAAGACCGTCTCTCTGCTTTTTGCCAAAATATACACATGTGCATATATAATCGGGATCCTCTAAAATTTTCTCAATTCTTCAGATTCCCCGATGAATCGATGTTGACCCCAATTTCATCTGGCGATTCCGATCGCCATCTACTCCAACCATTCACAGTTCCTATCCTCATTTCCCCAGGCGAAAGTTTCGGATCCAAAAGATTGGAATCATCATGCCCTCCCCCAAGCAATCCTCCTCTTCCTATCCCCATTTTCACCACCCGAGTTCAATGTTCCCTAAGATATCCCGAAAGAAACCAAGGAGAGAGGAGCCCCTACCTTCTGAATGTTATAATCACTAAGCGTCCGGCCGTCCTCAAGCTGCTTTCCGGCAAAGATCAACCGCTGCTGGTCGGGTGGGATTCCCTCCTTGTCCTGGATTTTGCTCTTGACATTGTCGATGGTGTCGCTGGACTCGACCTCGAGGGTGATGGTCTTGCCCGTTAGGGTCTTGACGAAGCTGTGTGTTTTTTAAAATATCCTTCAATCAGCATATTCCTTCTTTTTTCCAACAACATTCGTTCTCCCTTTCTCTTTTTCTATTGCATCTAGTCGTCTTGATGTGGTTTAATCTCGGTCGTTTGGTTAGGGTTTTGGGGAGGGCTTACATCTGCACTGTACATGATGAAAAAACACGGTTAGCTTCTCGTTCATTTCATATCCAAAAAAAACACTGGCATACACCGGCGATCATGTCACTTACTGGTTGCTGATACTCGTCGGTTGTTGCTGGATGGGTTTGTCGTCTCTCTCGCGATCTCTGGCGCTGTCTGGATGTCTCGGGGCCAATTTGAAGATTCTCTCGCTTAGCGCGTGGGAGGCGTGACACCGCTGTGCCCTAAGCCCTAATTTACCGTTTTGGGTCAGTGTCCCCATTCCGAACTATGGAATGAGCTTGGAACGATATAAGCTGCTATCTAACCATCTAATTTCAAGTTAATACGAATGACTACTTTTGGGTTAATAAATGAAACACATTTTCCTTGACAGGGTGTTATAAATTGCTTGGGCAATATACATGCTGCCTCCTTTACCACTTAAGGGATATTATGAGTAGCCTTGGCTTGGGATATCTAGTTAAACCAGACCTCCAGGATTTTGTATGTTCAACAAAAAAAGCATCATTAAGTAGTATTAGCTATTTATAATTGTGATTGTAATTATATACCTACTCCCTATTTCTTCGTCCCCATCTCCTTCCACGTCATCGTCATCGTCATCTTCCCCTTCTCTTCTGCTTCCTCCCCCTCTTCACTCTCCTGCCCCATACTATCCTTACCATCCATACCCACCCTCAGCCTCGTCTCCGTTTGATACACCCCAGTAACCACCGTCCTCAACGATACCCCAATAACCCTTGCAGCCGCCTCGTAAAAAGCCCTAGCCCGCTCGTTAAGCTGATCTTCGAAACGGTAGCGCTTATAGAAGCTTCCTGGGCGGGGAACGTTGGCGGCTCTAACAGATGGTTGCGTTTGGGTCCTTTGTTGCTCACCACCATCAGCAGTAGCAGTAGCAGCAGGAGCAGTAGCAGCAGCAGTATTTGCAGGACTGATTGCACGGCGAATGCGCAGCTCGCCGAGGACGTTGTGAAGTTTTGCCGTGAGTAAGTCATCGCCTTCTATCTCCTTTTGCTGTGGATCCCGCTGTTCTTCCTGATCGTGGGTTTCATTGTTGCCGTTATTGTGATTCGTATCCGATGCTCGAGCAGTTGGGAACATGTCCGCGAATGGGTTTGATGCTTGATTCATTGTAAACATGTCGTTAGCATGACAATAATGCAAACAAATGCTCCTCTTTTTCCTCCCCCAAGCAAACCAAAATCCCAAGATCAAAACGAAAAGAAAGGGGGACAATCCATACCCCCTCTTCCACCCCACATGCGCTCATACCAATCCAAATACTCATCAATCTGCCTGCCGTCCATTCCGAAAACATCACCAGCTTGAATCCCAATCTCTCTCCCTTTCACTTTCACCTTTTTAACCTCCTCCCCCTCGTCACTAAACTCCCTCTGAAACCTCATCCACGCTTCCCAATCCATAATCTGCGCTGCAGGCTCACGCCATGAGTACGGGTACCGCTTCACATTGGCCTCCGCCTTCAGTGAAACCTTATGCCTACCCCTGCCCCTACCCTCGTCCTCGCCCTCATCCTCGCCCTCATCCTCAGTCCGGCCTAAGTCACCTAGATTATCGTCGAAGGGATAGAAGAGCTTCACGGCAATGATAAGGAGAGATACAAGCTGGACTTCGGGGAGGTTTATGGACTGGAATTTCCTTCTCTTCCTCCTTCTCGCCGCCCCTGGCTTTCCTTTGATAGGAGTGGCAGCGCTAGAAACAGAGCTGGCGGCTGTGCATAATGAAGGATAATAGGTGAAATTAAACCCTGCGAGGTGTTGTAGACGGTTTAGGATGGCGGGGAAGGGTTCGACTGCAGGGAATGGTTTAAGTATTTTTATTCATCATTTTTGACAATCAGGTAAGAAATGGGAAAAGCTTGGTAGGCCTTACGGGGCAAGGAGAGTTGTTTCATATACGCGAACAACATAAGCGGTGCGTTGAGCGGTGGGATTCGGACGCCGAACTCTTTACGGTAGAACACTGCTAAGCTTGCTATGGCGCGGTGAAGTTGGTCGCCTGTAGGGACGTTCTGCATATACATCGGTACTTGCTGTAAGTAGGCTTTATAATAGGTATATATATATATATCTGTGTTTTTACCATACCTTTGTATCCAACGCGTAATGATACGCCGCCGGCAATCGGTCCTTCATATCCTGCGGTATAAACCGTATAGCTCTGATTAGGGGGATTTCGTCGTTCAGGATCCAACTGCATATCCCCCGACACATATCATTTGTAATCAGCACTTATGGACGCATTCATCTCGCATAAATCTGCAATTCGTCACGACAATAAGTAGACACAACACACACACCTCTCCAACCCCCCAATCCCAAGCGGCACCCTCAACAGCATCAACGCGAGATAACACAGCGCCAGCGAATCAATCAACTTCGGCGATTCTATCAGGCGCCTGCGATGGTATGCATTCTCCTCCTCCTCTTCCTCCACCGTTACAACAGTTTCACCATCCGCATCCGCATCCGCATCTGCATCACTCGGACTCGTGCCAGTAGCAGCAGCAGACGAACCTCCTCCCCTCTGCGAACTGAACACCTGCGGTTGATCTGTGTCATGATCGGATGCATACGCAAGGCGGTCTCCGCTGCGGCTGTACAGCTGCGGCAAGCGGAGGGTCCAGAGGTCCTTGACAAGGGCCTGCGTGTGGAATTAATAGGAGTTTTTCTTTTGGTAATACAACACCATAACTATGGGGTTGGGGGGGGGTTTTGGGGGGGAGGGGGGGTGAGCGGGCATATGTATCTAAATACCTCAAGCTCCACTGGCATCCCTTTCCCATGCACAAACGCATGGCATTGTTTCCAGAGGATGAGTTGGTATGCTTCTAGGAAGAGCTGGTAGGCCTGGGAGCCGTGGTATGCTAGATAACATCATTTTTTGTTGTCCATGTGTCAGACAGATATCGAGTAATCAGAAGTATCCAAAAACAGCGACACCGGATAGTCGCATTCCTTTTCCTATCCTTGGAAGACATGTAGGTGTAGGAAAGTGAAATAGAGGAAAAACAGGCAAGCAAAGGGGTGCACTAATGCGTTTTACAATACTAACTCTTCGACACCCTCTCCGCCTTCACCCTCTTCTGCCGAATAACCCTCCCCTGCTTGCCAAAATCCTCATCGTCGACGATGACTTGGCGGCCCTATATAGATGGACACCCCCATACATCCCATACATTAGCTAGGTGAGCTTTTCCTGATATTCTCTTCCCTATACATAAATATATGTATATCTACACCAAATATCTGTACATTATGCGCTCTATAGATTGTTTACATACCTCCTGCTGATGCCCACCGCCACGACAAAACCACAGGCCGTTTTCGAGAATGTATCGCGTCTCGAGACAGCCGTCTTGGCCGCAAACGCCGCGGGTAACGGATTCTTGCATCCCAGGCCGATTGTGTTCGAGTGAGCCTCGCGCCCCGGCCTACCCCCCTTTTTTACTGCTTTCGCGTTTGGAATTTTAATTTTTCCCGGGAAAAGGGGGATAGATGTTATTTATTGTCCAATCATCTGGCCCTTTTCATTCACTGAGAGGCCCGGTGTGCTGAGGGGCGTTGTAGTGATATATAATATATGTGTTGTTAGGAAATAGTTATGAGGGATGGGATAGAAAATGGGTTGGGTTTGGTCTTGCCACCAGCAAAAATATATTTAACATTATAGAAACTCAGCAATTGAAATTAAAGAAAATAAATCACTGCTCGGTCTACTATTTCAGGCATCTTCAATATTTTTTGTTTCCTTCTTTCAGACTTCTTATTCATCAGAAGGAGCTGCTCTCCAATAAATAACTAGTTATACCAGGAAATGTAAGTAGGAAGCTCGAAAAGCTCTCTCATTTTACCAGCTAGTCACAAGGTGAGTATGTTTTCTCACAAAAAACATTGAAAAGATAACAAAAATATAGTTATGTTTTTTTATATTGATTTTTTTTTAAAAAAAGTTTTCTTTTTTATACTCTCTTTTTTTGGGCCTTTTGATTCTTTTTTCTCATCTCAAGTCAAAAATTAAAAATTAAGAAAACCAAGTTTGTCCCATGTGTATGTAGCATTTTCTTTTTCTTTTTCTTTTTCTTTTTTTTTTTTTTTTCTCTTTTTCTTTCATTATTGGTGTGTTTTTTTCTGCCCTGGCAAAAGGGAAGAAAATGAATAAGAAGAACGAGGGGATCCGCCGGGAGGTGGGGGATAGGATGGGTAAAAAAAAAAAAAAAAAAAAAAAAAAAAAACACAAAAACCAACAATAAAAGCTGAGAGAGATATGATATGGTCTTGAAAAAGCTCTATGTGAGTTTTTCTCTGCTATCCTTTTTCTGCTATATTTTTTTTTTTTGCCCCTTTCTTCCTTTCCCATTTCCCGGCCGCCATCGTCCATATCTTTTTTTATCCCACGTGCCAACAGAAAAGATAAATAAAAAAATGAAAAAAAGAGGTAAAAAAAATGAAACATGTGGGGACGAAATTTTGGATTTCAAATTTCAAACACGCCTTGTAGTAGTAGATAAAGTAAAAACACAAACACATCAACACGTTAAAAAAGGAAACGGAAACATGAACACATTTAGAGACTAAGCTACTTTGTATTGTAAGCTAGATCTAAGAGCGGGGAGCTTCCTTGGCGTCCATGGCAACCTCCTCGCCCATGGCAGTCAAGACGACGACGTCTGTAGTAGGTGGGTTGTTGTTAGTAGGGTGTTGTTGAATTCAAGAGGCCGAGAAGCGAAAGTGGTATAAGAAAGCAATAAAACATACTGGTTTCCTTTTCCTCGGTACGGAAGAGCCTCTCGATCTTCTCACCAACTTCACCCTCAGGCAGCTTGACGTCGTCCTTGAGAGAGCCGTCGTCGGACATGAGGGACAGGAAGTTATCGTCGGTGATGTCGAGCTATCGTAAATTAGCGTATTAGTATTTAGCACATATCACGCCCCTCGGTCCAGTTGGGATATAGAGAAATTCAGTTCATACCAGCTGGTATTCCTTGCGATAGACATTGGGGACCTCCATGTTGTGGGTGGACGGGCAGAGATCCTCGAGCTTCTTGGAGGTGAAGATATCGATGGCGACCAGGTGGACTTTGGCGTGGCCGTGTTTGCCGGTCTTGGAGGTGGACATCTCAACGATCTTGCAGGGGCGGCCCTTGATGACGACGTAGCCGTTCTTTCTCAGGGCCGAGCACTGCATCGGGTAGGTGGTGGAAGCGCCGGCGTCGGCGCTCTCGAAGGTGTGTTCATGCTGTTGAGATGGGATGGTGGTCAGTATGGTTTTCTCTTTTTTTTCTCTCTTTTTTCTCTTTTTTGATGGGGAAGGGGTGGGGGGTAATTGAGTATATGAAAACGAGTCAATGAATCAATTACTTAGGTTAGAAAAAGATAAAGGATGATTTGCCAGGTTCTTTTTCTTTTTTATAAAAATATATATATATATATATATGTGACAATTGGGATGCGGGGAAGAAGGGAAGAAGGGGAGAGGGGGAAAAAAAATAGGTGACAGCAAGGTAGCCCACAAAAAAGCATGGAAGGGAAAGGGAGGGAGGACATACCTGCGCGTCGTCGGCCATGGTGGATTAGATGGGAAAGGGACTGGTTATTACGAGAAAGAGAATGGAGGCCGACAAGCAGAGTGAACAGAGAGACGAGATGGCGTAGATGAGAAGCGACGGAGGAGTGGAGGAGGAGGGGAGAGAGAGAGAAAAGAAGAAGAAGAAGAAGAAGAAGAAGAAGAAGACGAAGAAGACGAAGAATGATAACGGCGAGTTAGCGGGAGAATATTTCAGCCTGCGACCGACCGCCAGAAAGCCTCATTGAAGCCAAGCCCGTCCGTCCGCCCACTCAGAGGTTACCCAGAGCCACTGCTGTTCCAATTATTATTATTATTATTATTATTATTAGTGATTAGTCTGGCTGGCTAATAACAAGGTCTGTAGCCTTTTTTTGCTTCTCTTTTTTTGCCTTTTTTTCTTTGACTTTTGGTGACTTATTTTTTGCTTTTTTCTGTTGGTGCGGGCAACAAAAACGAGGGCGCTGCTTATGTAAGTGGCGGGGCAACCGACAAAGGAGGGGGAGGAAGGACCTCGGATCCGCGCTAGGCTGCTTCGGGGCTGTTTGCACGTGTTTGCTGCTTATGCCAAGATTATTGCGCTTCTGGTTGCTGAGGCTAGCCGGACATGTCTGGCCGCTTCCGAGCTTTGCCGTTTTGGGACATCATCATACATTCATACAATCAAATACTCAATACAACACCTAGCACCTAGTAGTACACATTGTAGACAATTCTTCCTGACACTCACCAGACCATGTCCCACCCTATCTAGATATGTCTGTACGGTAGGTGGTTAGTTACTACTAAATACTATGCAGCTGCAACTGTCTCGCTACGTCCTCCCCTCCTCCCCGCCTAGCTGCCCAACACCACTATGTGGCTGGACCGTTTCTCCGCCCACCCCCCCGCCTCTGGTGCTTCGACCCCCAGCACTCGCGGCTACTCTCCCGCCCGTCGTTCCCAGCACCAGCAACATCTTGCCGCTGCTACCCAGCCAAACCGCCCCGCCTTCAGTCCTCGATCCTCCTCGCTCTCCCTCTCCCTGGCCACTACTCCAAATGCTTCCTCCACCTCCCTCCCCAGTAACCTGCGCCAGGCTAATGGCTCCTCCTCCCTCCACAGACAGAATAGCTCGAAACTCGACCAACATCCTACTGGTTCTGCCGTTGTAGATCCACTCGAGGTGCTGTACAATATCATCGGGAAACGGCCCGAGGCTGAGAGAGATGGATATACAGATACTACCCCAACTATTTCTGTCGTGCATGCTGCGGCTGATGGACCTGCTGCTGGCAAGCCGGAATGCCTAGTCGAGGATATTGATTTTGGAGAGATGGGTTTGGAGGAATTTGTACAGCAGAAGGAGGTCGGGGGGGGAAAGGAGAGAAAGTCCAAAAGACACGTCAACGTCCAGACTATCGAGCAGTGTATGTCCTGTTTGTGCCTTGCTTGATACTGGGTGGTACTCAGTAGTTTGGCTAATATATATTGTATAGATGAAAAGGAAAGGAATAGGTTTCAGGAACTGCACGGCGCAATCAGCGTAAGTTCAACCTCACTCTTTTTTTTTTTTTATCACAATGACAGTACTAAACGCATACTCTGTCCAGGGTTGCGATGACGTTTTGAAATCAGTGGAATCCTACCTGTCCAGATTCCGGACCGACCTGGGGGTAGTCTCTGCGGAAATCGAGTCGCTACAATCTCGATCTGCCCAGCTGAACTCCCAACTAGGAAACAGACGGAATCTTGAACGGCTACTCGGCCCAGCAGTCGAAGAAGTTAGCATATCCCCGAAAGCTGTGCGTCTAATTTCAGAGGGACCCATCAGCCAGGAATGGGTGAAAGCTCTTAATGAGGTTGAGACTAGATCAGCCTATATCGAAGCAAACGCATCCACTGCCAATAATGTCAAGGCTGTCGAGGATATTAAACCGTTATTATCCGATCTCAAGGCGAAGGTGATACTGCCATTAAATATTACGCAAATGAGTATACATTCATTCACTAACACAGATTTTGGATCAAGGCCATTGAACGAATCCGAGATTACTTGGTCGCACAGATAAAAGCGATTCGATCGCCCAACATCAACGCTCAGATTATCCAGCAGCAATCCCTGATTAAATACAAAGACTTGTACGGCTTTTTATCTAGAAACCACCCAGCTCTCGCAGGCGAGATCATCCAAGCCTACATCAACACAATGAGATGGTATTACCTATCCAACTTCACCCGTTACCATCAGGCACTGGAGAAGCTTAAAGTCCATTCTGCGGAGCGCAATGATCTCCTGGGTGGTGACCCGAACGTGCAGAGAGGATGTATGTCACCCTTCCTCGAACAAGTTATTTTTGTAGATAATGTCTAGGAATGAAGCTTATTCGTCTACAGCAAATATATTCCCCGGCGGTCGCAACCCAACCTACGACCCCTTTGCCCTCGGCCGGCGTATGGACGTTTTAAAATCCTCCAACCGCACCGCCCTCCCTTCCTACCTTGCCGAAGAAAACGCCAGCCATGCAACAGCAGCCACAATTACAAACGTCAACCCCAAAACCCAACCGGTAATCCACGGCCTCGAAACCCCCTTTCGAAACTTTAACCTAGCCCTAATCGATAACATCTCCGCCGAATACTCCTTCGTAACCGAAATGTTCGTCACAAAAACGCAGTCGCTACACACCAGTTCTCGGCGCGTAATCGAGATATTCGATCCCGTTTTCGCCATCGGTCACACACTGACAAAACACCTAATTGACTCGTCGACCGATTGCTTGGGTATCCTGCTCTGCGTCCGCCTGAATCAGCACTTCGCCTTCGAGCTACAGCGCCGCAAAGTCCCCGTCGCAGACAACTATATCAACGGGATCAACATGCTCCTCTGGCCCCGTTTCCAGATGGTGATGGATCTAAACACCGAATCCATCAAACGCGTTGCCGCGAATACTGCCGGCAACATCAGCTCCGCCCTCTCCCTCTCCCTCTCAGACGCCACAAACACAAGCAGTACTTCCTCCTCATCCTCATCATCAGCCCCACATTTTCTCACCCAGCGCTTCGGCCAGTTCCTACAGGGCATATTAGCACTAAGCAGCGAGGCAGGCGACGATGAGCCTGTCTCGAATAGCCTGGCGCGGTTACGGGCGGAATTTGATGCGTTGTTAATTAAATTAGCGAGGGCGGCGAATGGTGGGGATGGAAAGGGCCGGGAGAGATTTCTGTCAAGTAATTATTCGTTGATCGGGACTATTATAAGTGATACGAAGGGGAGGTTGGCGGAGGAGGTGAAGGAGGTGAGTTTTTATTGTTGTTTTTATTATTATTATTATTATTATTATTCGGGGTCGTTAATCGATGGTGTGAACTCTTTTGCTAACGGTTTCGAACAGCATTATAATCAGTTGATTAAGAATTCGGCGGGGAGGCGGTGATGGGCCAGTGGGGGACTGTAGATTTCTTGTCCTAAATGGATGACAATGGTGTTGTATTGGTGTTGTTGATTTTTGTTTATTTTTCTTTCCATTTCTTTCTTTCTAATATATCCCATGATAATAAATAGGGTGCGTACTTTTATTTATCCTATGTTCCTGTTTCTTGCTTCTTTTTTCACCTCTATCGCGTTTCTTTACTGTATATCTAGGGCAACTTGTTTTACGGTATGGGACATGTTAAGCCAACTATAGAATGACTCAGTGCGGATGAGGACATAGAGATATAGACAACCACAGAATACATAATAGAATAGTGACTTTTTTCTTTATCTTCGTACTTTTCCCTCCGTCTTGTTAGGGGCGCGTGCCTCAAATTTCCCCGATGCAGAAGATGCCGATGCCGAAAACTAAACCAAATTGGGCTGGGCGCATTGCCGAACTTCTCGGCTCATTCCATCGGCCCCATCCCCATCCCGTACCCGTACCGTGTATAACGCAAACGCACTCCCCACCCATCATCCCCCCATCCCCCCTTTCCTACTTCTCTACAAAAGAAGGAAACTTCAACAAATAACCAACACACAAGGGGACGAGATTGACACTTGTCACATTTCCATTTGTCCTTCATTATACACCCGACGACTCCTGACAGTCATATCATCCGATATTATTATTTTTTGGCAGTCTATCTACCCTCAATGCTCCCCCGTGCACTCGCACCCACAAGGACGAATGCAAGCAGGTATACACAAAAAAATAAGTGGAAACGGGCAAGATCATTCTCGACGAGCACAGCTACCAATACTGATTTCACACACGCGGTCAGCACCCATCATCATCATCATCATCATCATCATCATCATCATCACCATCATCAAACAGCCATAAATCCCAACCGCAATCACAAAACCGCCCTAACTCAAGTAACAATAAACAGGTAATCGGCGGCGGCATAATCGGCCTCTCCATCGCCCGCCACCTCGCCCTCACCCGCCCAAACACAACCACAATCCTCCTCGAACGCCACCCCGCCCTCGGCACAGAAACAACCAGCCGAAACTCAGAAGTCATCCACGCAGGCCTCTACTACCCGCCCGCCTCGCTGAAAACCCAACTCTGCATCCGCGGCAAACACCTCCTCTACAGCCTCTGCGCCAGCCCCTCGCACAACATCCCCCACAAGCGCACGTCGAAGTGGATCCTGGCGCAGGACGCGGAGCAGCGGGAGCGCCTGCAGCGCCTGCATGAGCATGCGGAGCGGCTGGGGGTCCCGACGCGGTTTTTGGGAACGGCGGAGATGGCGAGGCGGGAGCCGGATGTGAGGGCGCGGGCGGGCGTGTTGGAGAGTCCCAGCACGGGCATTGTGGACAGCCATGCGCTTATGGCGCGTTTGCATGGGGAGTTTGAGGAGGGCGGGGGCGATGTTGCATTGTTAACGGCTGTGAGCGGGGTGGAGAAGATGGGGCCTGGTGGGGGGTATAGGATATATACGCGCCCGGCTGGGCCGGGGAGAGAAGCTGAGGTAGCGGGCTGGGTGGAGGGAGCGGACGGGGAAGAAGAGACTACGATTACGGCCGAGACGGTCATCAATGCCGCCGGCCATAACGCCTGCTCTATCTCGAATATGCTCCTCCCTCCCGCCCGCCATGTCCACCCTGCGTACGCGAAGGGGACGTATTTCTCCTACGCCGCATCGAGCCCCAAGCCGCGCACCCTGCTCTACCCGGCGCCCAAGCCGGGGCTGGGCGGGTTGGGTACGCATCTTACGCTGGATATGACGGGCCAGGTACGGTTCGGTCCGGATGTGGAGTGGGTTGATGGGCCGGAGGATCTGGTGCCGAACGTGGGTAGGCTCGAAGAGGCTGTGAGGGAAATTCGTGAGTATTTGCCCGGTGTACGGCCGGAGGCGATTGGGTTGGATTACTGCGGAGTGAGGCCGAAGTTGGCGGGGAAGGAAGGGGAGGATAAGGGTGCGTTTAGGGATTTTGTGATTAGGGAGGAGGAAGGGTTTGAGGGGTTTGTGAATCTGTTGGGGATTGAGAGTCCTGGGCTGACGAGTGCGTTGGCGATTGGGGAGAGGGTTGGGGAGTTGTTGTATGGGTAGATGGCGGTGGATGAAAATGGATTAAAGGGGGTTGTCGATATATTATAGATGGAGAGATGCATTTAGATACCCCTATTTGAATTGCGTATTGAATTGCGTATGGAATAACTAACGCAGCAACTAAGAGGCATTGTTGTGTATGAGAAATTTGGCATTCTTTCCAAATGTTGGATTTATCCTTCTCGTGCATATGTTCATGAGACCGTATCTTAGTAGTGTAGCTATCTACACACGACGAACACTACGCAATCATATAGCTGTACCAAACCGGCAACGGACACCATACCATACCTAGAGGCGCGTAGTAGCATCAGAGGAGGCGGAGTACATTGTGCGAACCAGCTCCGCAACTACAAACACCCTTTACATCAGACATTCCAGCTCAGGACACAAAGAAGGGAATCTTGCACCTACCGCTTTTCAAATCAGGATGTGCCGGATCCCGCAACGCACGAATTGCGATAGCCTCTTCCTCACCAGGCTTGACGTTATACTATGTAGCCAAAACACAGTAAGCCTGCATTCCCCTCTCTCCTCTCAACAACGGCATCCACAAAATTATACCCCAGATGGAAACATTAATGGAGATAACATGGGGAAAGAACAAAACAAAACAAAACATACATCAGCCAACCCAGTCCCCAAGCCCAATTTCACAACCAACCCTTCCACCGCCTCCGCCACCAAAAGTGCATCCTTGACTACATCGCCCGTCCCTCTTAACCCAGGAATAAACGGGACCGCCCTCGCAATCTGCACCGCCTCACCTACCTTCCCAATCCCTGTCTTCTCACCACCACCACCCCCTTCCCTCGCCCTCTCCGCCATAAACCTAATCACCTTCCCCAAGCTGATACACGACGTAATCCCATGCGAAATCCCGTACGTCGAGCCAATCGCATGGCCAATGCCATGGCTAAGACCTAAGGGGCCGGAGAACTGGAAGGGGAAGAGGGCCGCGTAGCCACCGAGGAAGAGGCGTTGGGGGCCATCTGCATCTTGCGGACTGGCGTGGCATTGGGGCAGGAGGGTGAAGAGGTCCGTCAGCGAGGAGAGGGCTAGCCGTTTCGTTGGGACTTCGGGGGGCGGACGGGTTGTAGAGGAGTTCGAGGGCGTGATCGAGGGCGCGGATCTGTGGAATGGGGTTAACATCCTATAAATGTAAATGTAGAGAAGGAAAGGGGGGGGGGGGGGGGGGAAACATGCGGCAGAACTTAGCCATAGCCGGAGGGGTGTATGTAGCGCAATATCCCCGTCATATATCACAGCTAAATTTTTTGTTTATACGTGTGTTAAATTTAATAGTTTTCCAGGCGTGGGAATTTTCTTCTCCATCCTTCCTCCCCACTCGAAGAAGAACGTTGAATGAAGCGCCCCCTCCCCCCCCCAAAAAAAAATAAAAATAAAACAATGCATACAACTAACCCTTCGGCACCAACTCCACGTCCGCAACCGCAACCTTGCTCCCATCTGCACTCGTAAACCCGGCGTTCTTCGTAGTCTCCGCCACGCTCAGCGTGGTCGGCACTGCAATGCTGGGTATCCATTTCGCTTCCGCCTTGCCTTGCCCACCCTTCGCATTTTCTTTGTACAAATGATATGCGACAGCTTTGGCAGCATCGATGGGCGACCCGCCACCGACGGAGAGCAGCACGTCAGCACCGGATTCCCTAACGGCCGCGACAGCGGCCTCGATGTCGGCTACGGGACTATCTGGGGATATTTTGGTTAGTGTTAAAGTATCGTTTGCTTTATCTCCTGCACCAAACAATTATGCATATGAGGCACCAAATAGGTTCGTTGGATTTGAAGGCACGCACGCATGCTCCCGTACCCCGCTATACGTGCCGGCATGATGCGCATCACCCAATATCGCCTCAATAGAGCTGATCACTGGCGTTTTCTCACGTAGAGATTTGCCGGTGATGATGAACGCTTTTGACGCACCGAGATTGGCGATAACGGTTGGAAGAGAGGTGATGCATCCTGTGTTCTCATAATTAGTTTTCTAGTCTGCTTTGTTGCACATATATATATATGTATAGTATGGGCTTATAGATAATGAACGGAAATACAATCGAGATTCACTTGCCTCGACCGTAGAGCATGTACTTGGTTGGGGAGGCGGTATATGCTCCGTGAAGCGTGCTGTCAACGCTACTGCCTTGCATGATGAGGGGAGACATGATGTTTGAATATTTTCAGTTGCTTGTCGTCTTGTGGCGAGCTGGGTTGGATGGAATTAATTATCTAAACTCGAACCTCATTTCCCCGGGTGTTCAAAAGTTCGAGGTTATGTGCCTAAATATACAAAAGCCGAGATCGCGATGAAAGCTTAAAATGTCATGAACGCGAACTTCGGCTCTGTTTTAACAGGTCTACGCAATACTCACAGCTGTGCTGATATTTGACCCTGAATAACAGGGTAAGCATGGGTTCTCTCATGGAAAGAAAGAGAAATGATACAAAAAGGAGGGGTAGAACATGGAAGTAATAAATAAATAAATAAATATATATATATATTCAGATATCTAAATTGAGAGTACACCCTTTCGCAACATACATAAACCGCTCTTTAATGTACAGGACATGAACAAACTAAAGCAAGCATAACATGGATGCAGAGGAGGCATTGAGGATAACAAGTTTTTCTTACCTTCGATTTGGAGAAAAATATAAAAAGACAGGGAAATAAAAGGAAAGAAAGACAAACCTCCCAGGTTGAAGTAGAAAATGGGAGGAAAAGGAAGAGAAGAACAATACTTAGATGTCTGATAATCACGCATTTTAAAATCAAAATCACACTTGAAGAACAAATTTCAGGTACAAGCCAGAGTAACAGTAAAATACTTTTTGCTATCTCTTCTCTTCTTCACAAATCACTTTCCATATTGTCTACTCTTCATAATTCTCCAGTGCCGGGAAAATAAGAGAGTGTGTGTGCAGCGAGAGGGAGTTAAAATAAGATAGGAAATGAGGGAACGCAAGAAACAACTTTTTCCGAGCCTTTGGATATCAATTTAGGTAGGTAAAGAAAATAGAATGAGGAGAGAAGAACAGATGGCGAACCAAGGATGTGGAGTAGTAGGAGAGGACGACGTGAGGGGGGAGTAAAAGGGGAGGACTAAAATAAAAAGAACACGGATGGATGTAGATATCACTGGAGGTGATAAGAAGGCGAGAACGTTGAGGCAGAAGCATGAATGGCGGGGGGATTGGCTCGTAAACGAGATAGCCACGGAGAGGAACTCAGAGTCAGAAAGAGAGAAAGGCATGCGGGATGCCCAATACAAAAAGGTTTAAGATAGACACATACATACCGTCCCATACCATCCGAGGAAAGGGAAATGAAATGAAATGAAATAGTAATAATAATAGAATAAAAAAAAACCATAACATACTCATAAATCACGTAAAAGAAGAATAAAAAATTTCGAACAAAAGTGAGGCAAAAAGACATGAACAAATCAGTCAGGGGGACCGCGGGGGAGTTCTTTATAAAAAGCGGGTGACAAATACATGAAAAAGAAAAACCATTTAAATGGGCAGCTTTTTTGTTGTCGCTAACACCTGCTTAAAACCATCCCGGCCCTCCCAATTTAAACGAGCCATCGAAAGAAAGAAACGTAAAATAGAGAAGAAACATAAGGAAATACATGGGGATTACGACTTCGTCTCTTCTGTCTTGCTATCTTTCACCGCTTCCTTTGGGTGTTTGGATGCGTCCGCAGCTTCACCTTCACCACCTTTGCTCTTCATATATTCGTCATAAACATTGATAGCCTCATCGACCTTGGCGCGGAGTGCAGCCTCATCGTCGACCCTATTATAAGTGGTGATAGCATTAGTATACTGTTCATGCGACATTGATGATGCATAGTCGGGTCGCGAGAAGGGATTGAAACTTACAAACTAAGTAGTTCAGCATTGTCCATTTCCAAAAGCATACCAGTGATCTTGCCAGCCAGCTCAGGTTGTTGGGCTTGGATCTTGGGGTAGATGGCTTCACCAAGCATTTGTTTTTGTTGGGCAGGAGGGGCGGCACTCAAGGCCTGGAGGTTAAGGGTTGGACCGCCGGCAGACTCATCACGGGGTGGCATTCCTTGGGCTGGGCCAGCTCCACGGCCAGCTTGTCCGGGACGGGCAACCCCTTGTTGGGGTGGCATGCCACGACCCTGTGTGAAAGCTTGACCGCCAGCGCGCATGCCTGGTGCATTACCCATACTTGGAGGCATACCCTGCATGCCAGGAGCCTGGCCACGACCGCCGCCGCCCCGTCCGAATGACGCTTGGACTTGAGCAATAGCTTGAGGGTAGCTGAGACCGTTTGGTAGTCCGCCAGGGCCCTGGAGCGCACCCATGGGGAGTCCCTGGGCACCCATGCCAAAGGCATTTGGGGGCAGTTGTTGGTTGGGGTTAATACCGCGTCCGCCTTGCTGTCCTGGGAATCCGCCAGCGAATTGACCAGGGCGACCGCCCGGCATACCGGGAAGGACCATTCCAGGTTGCTGACCAAAGGCCATACCACCGCGTTGTCCAGCGTTGGTAGGAATGAATCCTTGCTGGCCTGGTGGATAGTAGACAGCGGGCTGCATAAACTGTTAAGGACAATCAGAATAAACAGGAACTCGTACAAGCGGTGGTGGTATGAAAAGTCACAAAACTTACTGGCTGGGACATTCCTGCGGCGGCAGCAACCTGCTGTTGTCGGATGGTATTACGAGCTTGAATGCTTGCCTCGAGCTGAACGGGTGATAAACGTTAGCGGATGATAAATGTATATATAGATAAACCAAGAGCGGTTCATAATCTTAAGGTGCGTACCTGGCTTTTGCGCACATCCTTCCGTTGAGCAAGTGCAACGTATAGAGGTTTGCCATTGACCATGCGCTGGTTCATCTCCGTGACAGCCTTGGACGCTTCATCAGGATTGCTGAAGCAGACGAAACCAAAGCCCTTGCTCTTTCCAAGCTTCTTCTCGAGAGTCTTCTTGCTATCGGATTTCTCAGCTTTATCGCTCTTGTCGGAGGATTCTTCTTCAGCGGACTCCTTCTTAGCCTCTTCCTTCACGTTCTCCTTGTTGGAGATCTCCTTTTCCTTCTCAGATTCAGAGCCGGCATCCGCAATAGTGTCACGCATAACTCTAGCAGATGTAATGTTTCCGAAGCCAATAAAGAGGTCCCGGAGTTTCTCATCATCGATGTCGTCGGTCAAGTTCTTGACGTAGAGATTAACACCCTGGTATTTGGATGCTTTTTCGACACGAGCGGCCTCGTGCTGCTTGCGCAGCTCCTCCTCCCGCTCGTGCTTCTTCTGCGCGCGGCCAACGTAGAGTTTTTGGCCCTTGAATTCCTTGTCATTTAGCTCTTCGACAGCGGCGGCAGCGCTCTCATGCTTGACAAAGTTCACGAAACCGAACCCTCTGCTCTTTCCAGTCTCGCTGTCGTGGGTAATTGATGCGGAGGTGATATCGCCGTATTTCCCAAACAGCTCCCGGAACTCTTCATTGGTGACCTTGGTATCCAAGTTCTTGACGTATACGTTGGTGAAGTTGGCTTTCATCTCCTCGAATTTGCTCTGGCGATCCTTCTTGGCGATGTGGTGGCCGACGAAGACCTTCTTCTCGTTCAACAGCATACCGTTAACGTGTTTGATGGCGTTGGTGGCAGCTTCAGCGGTTTCGTAGTGGACGAAGCCATAGCCCTTGGAGTTACCGAACTCGTCCTGGGCGACTTTGCAGCTGAGAATGTTACCGAAAGCGGCGAAGGTGTCGTGAAGAGCCTTGTTGTCAATAGCAGTATCCAAGTTCTTGATGAAGACATTACCCTGGCCGGTCTTGCGCAGGGCAGGATCTCGCTGGGACCACATAATCCGGCAGGGTTTTCCCTTGATCAGCGTGTAGTTGAGGTCTTCGAGAGCACGTTCACCATCGGCGGTGTTGTTGTAGTTGACATAGGCATAGCCCAGAGAACGTCTGGTGACGGCGTCACGGCACACACGAATGGAGGCGACTTGGCCGATGGAGGAGAAGAGTTCGAAAAGCATAGCTTCGGTGACGGAAGAGTCTAATTCTCCGACGTAGAGGGAGGCAGAATGTGGCTGGGTGGTGCTGGGAGCAGCGGAGTTGGGCGTTTCGCTGCCATCTCCGGCAGCGTCGTTTGCAACGTTTGTGTTGACGGTGGTGCCATTGGTCGACGATTCCACGGGGTTGGTCTCTGGGACGGGAGCGGATGATACTTCAGCGGCAGACATGTTGACGATGGAGATGGATGTCCTTTTTTATTTTTATTTTTATTCTTCTTCTGAGATCTAGAGTGTGGGAAGAAGCAATGTGAGCTGATGGACAGAGGTAAATCAGGGCGCAAAGAAAAAAGTTATGACTGGCAAAGGGTTTCTTTGAAGAAGTTGGGAAGGTGAGAGGCGAATGTTTTTGCTTTGTGGGATTTTTTTTGTTTTTTTGTTTTTTTGGAAGGTCTGATCAGCAAAGGAAAGGAGGATGAGGGATGAGGCTGTAGCAAGGACGACAGGCGAAAAACGACGACGTACACTGGCGATATCAGGAGGATTGAGAGTCAAAGGAGCAAGGAAGGATATCGACGGTGCGATCTGCCAAGGCACAAGAGAGAAGATCTGTTAGCACAGTGACTTTCCGTGATAATAATATAGCTGCTTCTGCCGCTGTAGTGTGTTGGGTCTGTGGTTGTTGTGGTGATGGGGAAACCAAAGAAAAAAAAAAAAAAAAAAGCAAAGAAGAGAGAGAACGAAGCCCGAGGGATCACAGCACAGGCTAGGAGGCGCTATTTAGGGCAATAGATGAAGGACTCACCAGATAGATCCCGTGTGAGAGCTTTCTTTTCAGGTGAGGCGGGAGTTTTCAAATTTTTTTTGGCCGGGTACGAGTATTTTCGACAAGGGGAAGGGGGCAGAGAGAGGCAGAGGCAACACTGGATGAGGACACACAGCGGGTTGATGAGAGGGATAGGTTACTGACAGTTGATACAGGACAGAGACGATGCACTGCACTGGCTGGCACGGGAGTGTGTATGTGTGTGTGTGTGTGTGGTGGTGGTTGTCCAGAAGACCAAGGCGGGGAGGGAAGAGGAAGAAAGGAGAGAGAGAGAGATAGACAGACGGTAGATGGCGAGGTTGAAGATAGAAAGATAGAAGAATACGGGGTGGGTTGTTGGAAAAGAAGACCACACAAGTAGCTGTGAAACCTCTGTTTTTGTCCTCTTCTTCTTCTTCTTCTTTTTTTTTTTTTTTTTCGTCGTGTTCCTTTTTTTTTTAATTTTTTTTTGTCGGGATTAAATATTGTGACAGGGAAAAAAGAAAAATTGAAAACTAAAAAATCGAAGTTTGGCCGGAGTGAAAATTTCAGACCGCGAGCCGGGCTAGTCCCAATCGGGAAGCAGCGATTTTCTGAACACGTGACTTGGACATCAGAGCTTGCAACTCTCTCATTTCGAATAAACTTCCTACAAACTTTCCACCGGCGAGGTTCAGGACAGGATAAAGGAAGATATGAGAAACAATCCTGTTTAAAAAGTAAAAATAGGAAATTAGGAAATTAGGAAGGTGCTGTACATTACCTGCGTACCTTTACCGCCATGGCCAGTGGATATTTGTCTTTTGTCGTTCACAGGGCGGAGCGGGGTGGGTGGCAGAGTGTGGGAAAGCCAAGCGCGGAGTGATATGCAGGGGGAGAGCGGAAAGCGAAAAAAAAAAAAAAAAAAAAAAAGGGCGTGGATTGATGAAGAAACGAGGTGATTGACTAATACATCCCGGCGATTAATGCACCACACCCACACCACCCCTCCCGGTCAAGGGCGATATATTGCCAGCAAAAATGACATGAGACCCCCTGGAGAAAGACAACTGCATGCAGATGGAGCTGTTGCAAACACGGGTCTGATGGTATGGATTAAGTGATATCTGCAATACTATTACATAGGGAGCTTTTCCCTAGGTGAATTATTTTTTGAGGCTTGCGTGTGTAGCTGATAACCTCTGGGGGTTCGAAGTCGATTCCGTCTAGCTAATAATATTAAGTACATTTTTTTTTTTTTTTTTTTTTTTTTTTTTTTTTTTTTTTTTTTTTTTTACCGTTGTCCACCTCACATCGATCGATGAAACTCAGTACTTGAGTGGCTAGAATGTAGATAGGTAGCCCCTGAAAGAATTGTTTATCACTCCGCAATCAACCCAGGTTAAAAACGAAGTCCAAATCCTTCTGCAAGTCGCCTAGCACAGCCTTGAGCTCCTTTGTAGGCTTTTCAGTCTGAATCGAAGCCCCAGATTTCCGGGAGATCCATTCCGTCTCAAAGGGGATCAGCTTCTCCTTGAGAACTGTGTCGTTATACTGACTCGCCGGAGTGTCCTTCAGATACTCTAAGAACATGCGCCAGCGCGGAGTATAATATCCCGATACCAAGCCGGCCCATTGTTTCTGCGCATAGTCATCAAGAACCCCAACCTCTGACCCCCAGATAGTGATCTGGTTGCGGGCGTTGTGTTCGAAGAAGTCTGCAGCTTCGGAGTCATCGCCAGCACTAGCCCGGGCGGCTGAGATCCAGCTGGACAGCCAGAAATTCTCGTTCATCGATAGAACGGCATCCAGCGCTTTGAGGATAATGAGGAGCTTGTCACCGATGGGCATGAATACGGAGGCTGGCGCGCCGCCCTTGTATTTCACTTTGAGGTCTTGAAGTACCAATGTGAATGCGTCGGATAGCACTTGGCGAGTGACGTCAACTATATCATATTGGTAGGAGGAATCCCCAAACAGAGCCCCCTTTATCATCAGTCCCCAGGCCTTGAGCATATCGGCGGGATCGTAGAGAAGTCCCTCAATGAACAGCATTGGCATCTTCGCATTGATCGATGGTGATGCAGCGAAGAGAGCATGCGGCAGAAGCGGGGCATCCACCAAGTTGGTGTTATTGTAGGCGGAAAGACGTAGAAGCTGCCAGGCTTCGTACAGCTCATTGGGGACTGTTCTTCCGTGGCTGGAGTAACGGCGGGTAACCCAGTCATGGAAATACTGTTCTGGATCCAGCGCAGTTTTGGACCAGCCTTGGTCGAGCAGCAAGCTAAAGACGATCTCATTTCCGGACTGGCCCTCACCGGCGTTGCCAACTCCAACCATATTTGGATGTTGTGCCATTGCTTGAGCAGGCCCCTCGGTTATGTTCGCAACATGGCCGTATAATCCATGATTTCCACCAAATTCTTGGACCTGGCACCACACAAACGCTTTACCAAAGAAACCTTTGGTCTTCTTCCAAACCGGGAACGACTCTGCGAATAAATCCAAGATCAACATATCACGGAATTTCTTGCCTGCAGACAGATATGCTTCAATTCTTTCGGTTGTCCAGTAATCAGCGAAGATATAAAACAGCCACCCTTGCATTACCCACGTAGCCTCCGGGTCAACAGATTTAATAGCCTCCATTGTGGTCTCAGATACTTTGCGCAGAAACTCGGGGTCTCCGGAGCTCGGGATCATCTCGTTGAACTGGTCTAGAGTGTAGAAGTGCGTGACATTTCCATAAGCTTCGATGCTTTTCGAGATGAAGCTCTTTTGTAGGCGGACGGTATGGGGGTCAAACGGCTGAAGGAATGTCGTATTGGTGTATTTCGGATTGATCTCCGCCCATTGTGAGGCATTGACAACCTGAGCGTCCGGGAGCACGCGGGTGACAGCACGGGGCACATAGCCGGGGAATGCGGGCAAAATAGGTGTCATCCCCAGCTCGGACATCCGAGCAAGGATCTTCTTTTGGAGCTCAAACTGGGCGTCGTACCATTTGAATGGCGTGTTACCGCCTCCCCATGACCCTTGGAGGTTTCCAAAGCGATTCCATGCTAGATACGCCGGGCCGCTGATGAAGCTTCGGATATCGTCGTCTGTGAACCCGGCCTCCTGGAACACGCTTATCAGGATCTTCTCGTACCCCGTCCACGCCAATGGAAGGTTGACACCGCGAATCGCCAACCAGTCCAGCTCGAGCTCCCAATCCTCCCATGTCCACCAGGGAGTTGCATAACTGAAGGTCACTTATATGACATTGTCAATACTAGCATCACTTGTTAGGCTGAGGAGATTATACATACCTGTGTTAAGATGGTATCTCCACGGAATAGAACTCTCGCCCTTCAAGGGCTTATCGAGCTTTGGCAACTTTCGGGGCGCAAGGGAAAGACGATTGCCAATAAACCAGAAAATGTCAACATGGACAACGTCAGACAAATAGCGGTGGAGCCTAAATATAGATATTAGCAAACTTCTAACGACTGTATGCTGTAATAATTGAAGAAAGCGCACTGGATTGGGAGTTACCCTTGGAAGAGACCACTCAGCGAGTTGGCTTGAACATTTATCTTCCCATTGCAGCCAGTAAAAACGGTATATTTATCATTAGTCCAGTCATCTGACGTCCGCATAGGACCAACGAGGGAGAACTTGAAGTCATTGACATGGTTTGGTAGGCGCCTCTCCAGGAAGCGGGTTAATCCATCTGTAGCATGCCTGTCGGCTGCCTCAACGAAAATCGCGCCGAGAAGGATCAAGGGCCCAAGCAATCTCATGGTTTGAACTGATGCCTCTATCGGCGACACCTATTTGTTGAAAATTCAAAATCATTTCCATCGCCCACCGTTGAATTATATACATATGAAATCTCGTAGCGCTTGGAAATCTCGCATGGTGAACTTCCATGGAACGGTGGGACGGAGACAATCAACGCCAGAAGATTGTGGATTGCGTCGTATCGTCCAGAAAGGAACAGTCGCATTTAACTTCTCTGGTTACACCTCAACGCAGCTGTCATCAAATACTTAATTCTCCGAAATTCTCGGCCCGTGACACTAGTACAGGGGTTCAAAACCCGAACTGAGATCCAAGAAGACGGTCAAAAAAGACTGTCCAACAACGCAGGGTTTTCGGGGAGGAAATGGGGAGGAAAATGAAACAAGTCCAAAAGGGGCCGGAGCTATCACATCCGTTATTTCCGCGTCGCCCAAGATCTGATAAGAGAAACAGGAAGTGTCCGACCCGGGGGGAGCCGAATATACAGTGGAGATGGAGCACAGCGAGACCTTGCAAGCGCGAGGCGTCATCGGCGATGAAAATGGGTCCAAATAATAATAATAATAATAATAATAATAATAATAAAACATGTAGGAACCCGATCACCACGGGTCTAACCTGTTCAAGGCATTGGATTGGATTAGAATGGCAGATAGCGCAAGAGCTGCGCGGACTGGTTCTTGATCGAGGGCCTGGGTACTGGACCCAGGGGGGATCGTGTGTCAAGACGGGGGCCCATTCCTGCCTCCCCAACTGCAGATGCCCGCCTCAGTGTCAACTGTAGAAGATGAAGAAGCGACTGAGATAGGAGAGGATGACGAAGCGGATGATCAAGATGGGGAGATGGAAATTCAGGAGAGGCAGACAGGGCCCTCTCTTGTCTGATATGAGCGATCCGGGGTGACACTGGGCTGATCTAGCGGCTCTCCGGGGTCTCAAAAGTTCTTGGGAGGGAGTGGCAGAGGGCTAGAGTTCCTCCTCTAATCTAGTCCAGCGAGGCAAAACCACACTCAGTAACACTGCCCACCGCATGGAACTCCCAGCGAGCTATCAGTAATATGGAGATCGAACGAATTCCCAAGGATATTCTCACAGCTTCTGTGTCCTCGGTCAAACGGGACATCCTCCTCATCTCAAGCCGTGCTGCCCCAGGGAGGGACGACACAGCGGGGATATGCTGTCTCCTGGTGCATTCGATATTCTTAGAGTGGGGAGCAAACTAGTAGAGATGCTTGTCAACACTGACATCAATAAAGGGTTCGGAAGAATGCCGGGGCCTTCTTAAATTCCTTACCCCTTTTCTTAACGTCAGCTCCAGAATCTCGCGTAATCCATTGACCAATAATTAGCCAAGAAGTCCATTTGCTGGGCACCATTACTGATTGTACTCTTCTCGAGCTAGGTATCTGGTGGATGAAAAAAAAAAAAAAAAAAAAAAAAAAAAAAAAAAAAAAAAAAAAAAAAAAAAAAAAAAAAAAAAAGATCGAAAGAGAAGAGAAACACGAAATGTCAAAATGCTAAGAGTCTTGAAGCGGCTGAACCGGGGCCGAGCTCTCCTTTCCCCCACGCCAACCTCTACTCTATGTAACTACTGTACAACGTACGTACATGTACATTACATACATCTCGTCGACCTTAATTGATTTTCCAGTTAACAATAATGGATATCTATCAATCTACTGAATGACAACTCAGCTTGAATACCACCTCAACGAGACATTCTTGTTACAGGATCTACCTTTTTCTGTCTTTTCAAATGCATGCCTGAAGCCGGCCAAATTTTAGTGACGACGTAAATAATGACACTTCTACCATGCCGGATAACTAGATTCTAGAATGATGAATGATACAGTTTGCTAATTATTAACGAAGCTAGGAAAACAAGCTAACTTGTATGATAACCTTGACCATATACATATGTCGCGTGGGTCCATGTGGTAGAAGCGAACAGAGATGTTATGCGAACGGGATTCAGAATGTAATCACAGAACAAAAGGAATGCTAACCTCCATATCTCAGCCGTGCTTTGGAGGGTGAAATCTAGTAGTAGGAAAGACAGTTTGATTCTTAGCAGTGTACGAATCACGGAGTATGAGATCGCTAAACTGCTCGTGCCTTGCGACCCATCCGTAGAATCGCCATAGGGTCCATGTCATTTGATGCACAATCTCAATGGCACTCGTTAGTTATACAAAGGTCTCTCTTTTCTCTCCCCATTCCTTGCCTATAACTATTTTGAAGAATGATGCTCGCTATACCCAGTAGATATACCTACACGGATCCATGGATACATAGTCCTTGCCATGTGGTTATAGCAAAATAGAGTTTAATATCACGTGAGTAAGGAGGCTCAAAGTAAGCGCGGGTGGTGGAGTCATCCTATTGGTTGCTCTCTCCAGAGATGTCAAACTCTCATTGACTCTGTAACTTGGTATGTAGTTAACCCTAATTCTATTAAGTATCACACCCACCACCTGCCTTATGACCCTGCGTTTGTACATGTATGTACTGTACATTTAATAATTTATGTCATCTGTAGCTAGTTTGACGGAAATAGTGGAACACTGGTAGCCCCGGCCTGAAATTTGGAACACCTCAGTCCAAAGGTTAATGGTGTATTGTCCTGGCTGACTTGACCGTTGATGAATTCATTTGAAAAAGGGGGGGAGGAGGGGGAAAGGGGGGAAGCTCAAGAAATAGGAAAATAGTGTACTGTCCGATGCTTGATGTTTGATGTCTGTCTATCAGAACCAGGGGAGAGGAAGTCGCTGTGTGGGGCAGCAAATGCAGGAGAAAATGAAAAGTGGAGGAAGAAAGGTGTTGGGGGTCCCGCGGTTGATCGGCCCTTCTACCAGCAGTGCGCTGGTGGTGATCGAGCTCTTTTGCCCCAGTAGCCTACAGGTTATGAGACTGTTAAGTGTGAGCCCCGCTGTGGTCAACATGCATGGGTTCAATCCCAGAATGGACTTAAAAATTCTCAACAAATACCCTGGACATTTAACAGTGTCAAGAGACATCCCAGGAGTGTGCCCTAGAAGTCCCTTGAGCCCTAGGACTGAGTGAGTCCACTAAGAGGAGCCACTGTGGGGAGCCACTGAAGGGAGCCACTGAGAGGAAGTACTGTACTCTGTGGTAGCTGGTCCGAGGGGGGGTGTTGGGGGTCCCGCGGTTGATCAGCCCTTCTACCAGCAGTGCGCTGGTGGTGATCGAGCTCTTTTGCCCCAGTAGCCTACAAAAGGAATCAGCTCCTCTGTCATCAACTTATAGCGGGGGAAAAAAATTAAATAATTGCTTGCTCAAACAATGTTACGTTTACAAATAGCCGTCAGCAAAATCGCCACTAACTAGTCACTAGTCTCTCGTGCTAGTCTGATGTTCTAATAATGCCGTCAGGGGGAAGGACTAAAAATTGAAATGAAATGAAAGCCCAAACGCACTTCGCAGAACGATTACCCCCAGTATATATGGCGAAAGAAAATGAAAGGAAAGAAAAGTAAAATAGGACCCAAAACTACAACCCTCCACCTCAGTTGTTCAGCTTAACTCAAATCAAACCCAGCCCCCGCATTAATCGCATACATCAGTTTCTCCCTCAATGTATCCCGCCGCGTATACCGCGGTAACTTCAGCAAATTCGCACACGTACTCGTGCTGGGTAAGCGCTCCTCATCCGCGCTCGAATCGCGTATGCTAAACCGCGGATTCAAATGGCTGAATCCCAACAACGGTGCGCGGGGCGTCGACGTCACGAACTTGAGCACCTTCTGCCTGTCTGCGTTCGTCATCGCGTGTAGCACTTCCCAAAATAGTTTGATTGTGGGGTGTTCCTGGTTATCGTCGCCGATCACGTAGACGCCGCTGTAGACGGTGTTACGCCGTAGGTCGGCCACGTCGATCTCCCCCGCGTCTCCGCCGATGAGGGTTTGGAGTTCGGACTGGTTGAACATGGATAGCCAGGAGGGCTGGATGATGGTGCCGAGGCCCTGGAGGAAGGCGTTGGTTTGTAGGTAGGGCTGTGCTTGGAGACGGTGGCGGGCGATGTAGGAGATGTAGACGAGTCGGTTTTGGTTTGTCACAGGGATCTCGGAGCCGTGTGGTTTTAGGTCTCTGGTTATGCTTTCTGTGATTGTCTCGGTGGTGCCGTCAGGTTTTTCAATGGGAATGTCTATAGTATCTGTGAGAGTGAAGTTTAGAGAGAAGTCTTCGACGTCTCCAGGGTAGTTTTTTAGTTGGAGCTGCGGATGAGGAAGGGGGTTGTTAGCAAAGAGGTTCAGTAGTTTCAGTTTCAAAAATGATTCTTCCAGGGAAGCGGTTGGTTAATTGAGGGCAGCTAGAAACACAAACGGACTTACCAGTCCCTGGTACAGGCTTTCGTCGAGATCCCGCACGTCATTGAGATTAGCACGATACGAAGACTCTTTGCGCGCCGAGCTCGTCCCTCCAGTCAGGGCCCATTTCAAAAGAAAGAACCCCGCGAAGCTGACATCCACCAGAATCCCCTCATAAAGACATTTCCCGATGATACGACCTAGAAACTCGTACCGCTTCAATAATTCTTTAACCTCTGCATTCATGGTGACGCTTCTGTCGGGAATTCCCTGTCGCCGAAGCTCAGCCTTTCGCTGTTCTATGAGTGTAGGGTTCGGGTACAATAGGTGCTGATCGTTTTCGATAAAAAGGCTGGAGGCACCCGATGGATTGAAGGCGTCATTAATCACGCTCGTGAGAAATTCCTTGGTGACACCACCACCATCGATTCCTGCTTCTGGCGTGCCAAATTTGTCGATAAATGAAATCTGTATCGGTTCCTTCAAACCGTCCCCTAGCTCGTAGAACTGTTCGAACGCGTCCTGGAACAGCGATTCTCGTCTTATGTTCGCATGATGCTTGTTCAAGATGTCATGTCCCATGGGCCTACCGTCACTGCCCAATCCCATCAGGCTATGAGCAACAGATAAGCGCCAGGAGTCGGGGTCGATATACCCCCTTCTTCTCTGAACTTGGTCTCTAAAGATAAACTCCCGGAATATCTGCACACGGGTGGCGAAAGGTATGAAAAATGGTATGTTCCTCAAAATTTCCAGTCGCGGGGCAACAGCTTCGAGCTCTTTCCTCCGTGCGACTTGCTGTTGTCGCTTTCTAAGCTCTTCGATTCGGCGAAGCTGCTGAGCCCTTCCGGTCCCTATCAAGCCCCGGGAGTGGTCATAATCGTCATCCATTGTGTCATCTGGCGTCTCCTCATTGTCATCATCGTCATCGTCATCATCTTGGAGCTGATTTCTATTTTCCTCCTCAGCGACGACCGTAGGAATGAACCCTTCCATATCTAAGCGGTCGACCATAAGCCAATGGCCGTCAGGCAAAAATTTCCGCCTCGAGCTGGACAGCTAGTTAGTAAAACGTAAGCGAATTTATAGATCAAGACGAGTGAAAACTTACTCTCTTTCGTGTACCATGCGTAACAATCCCGTCACTAATCCTTTGAAATATTCTAGAGGTATGCCAGTAACGCTCATTAATGTTCCGCTCTTGGATTTTAGGGTTGAGGATTCCGGCTCTAGTTTCGTAGAACGGGTACTGAAGTAATTTCGGATGCCGCTGGGGTCAGTGGTATCTACATTCGCAGAGGTCAAATCCGCCGCATTCCAATATAGTGTGAACGCCAAGTTCTTCAAGAAAAGCGTCAAACTCTTAACATCATCAAGTGGTAAAGCACTCTCCTGTGTCCAGGAAGCATTCGAGTTTGTAGTTCTTCCTAGCGAAGGAGTGGCAGAAAAGAATTCTTCATCGTCCAAAACTTTGAGAAGAAAAGTATAAAGCTCAAGAAACAGGAGAATGATTGTCCATTCTTGATCTTGATCGCTGCTTTGTTGGACTGTTGGACTTGCGCCTTGGGAGCTAAGTGCAGAGCCTGCTTGAAGCATTGCCAGGACATCGCGCGGCTTTTGCGTTATATTTAGAAATACCTTTGTTGATCTAGATGCGTTCCAAAAGTACTTGATAGCAGGCAATCGACCAGACGCTGAACCCCCATCTACTCCTGTTTCCATCGCGGAACCTAAGTAAAGCCACATGCGTATTTCGTCACCTCTCTTGGGAAATGCTCTTAAAAGCGTTAGCGCATAGGCTGCTAGGGCCTTTGCATCATCCGACGCCTGTAAGTGTAGCTGAGAAGCTTTGTTAGTTGAAACCCGACTTGATGCTGCCTGGCCTAGAAGGTGTGTGATGCTGTGCTGGTCGACTAGGGTGAGGAGCTGGTTTCGAACGAACGGAGGAAGAAGCCTAGCCTGGGACTTTTCCTCGCCATCAAGCCGACGAGATATGTCACCAGAAACTGGACCGAGTAGGCCGGACACGACCTTAACAAACAAAGTCTCTGGAGCCTGCTTGACCACACCATTACCCTGAGCGTGTCGATGGAAGAAGATGAAATAGGAGAGCAGCCACAATCGTTTGTCCACATCCGTTGACTGGAGAAAGAAATCTGCGAACGGTAGGATATGTGAATCTATCGCGGAAGCCAGAAGTTTATAGTTTATCCCAGTGGCTAGGTCACCTAGCGCTCCAAGATGGCGGTCAAGAGACGGAATTGTTAAGAAGACTCGTCCGAACCACCCATAAGCATCGAGAGTTTCCGATGTGATCGGTTGAAGGAGGGCGAGTACGCTTTTCACCACCATGTCTCTGGTTTGACTAGTATTCAATGGGGAGGACTGGAGGTTGAGAGCTATGGCAGCTAGAGCAGAATAATACTGTTCAGCCTGTCGAGTCATCTGAGTGGGTATCAAGGTAGACAGAAACGATATAAGCTGGAGGAGATCGTTAACCAACGATAGAGATGGTATCGACGAGGGTATTATGGCAAGGAACTGAAGTGCAACTCCTCCGAGGCGGCCAAGTGTGAGCGGCCATTCTCCGTCAGGCTGCAGAACCGGAGCCTCTTCCAGAGTCATTTGGAAAGATTTTGCAAAATATGATAGCCGGGACCAGTCATCCTGATCCTTAATCGAAACAAAACGCAACAGTTTCCTAAGTTGAGACAAGCAATCCGTAGGATTTGTGTAGGGCCGCAGCGAACCCATCCACACTGGGGCTCCTACATCCGAACCGGGGATGACATCGGAGCCTCTATTTCGTTCCACATTATCCCACTCTATTCTCCAAGCATCTTTGATTGCTTTTCGGGCCTTGTATCCTCTCCATGTCCGTTGTAGAATGCGGCTTGCCTGCAAGCGCTCTCTGTCTAGTCGTCGCTGGCGGCGTTCCTGCTGGGCGAGGGCGAGGGTTGCCTGCGGGCCCTGGCCGGCGGAGCCATGACGTCCGGAAGAGTGTGTAGAAGGGATAGTTGGCCTGTTTGAGAGGTTGACCTGCCGTGGTCGTCGCGCCTTTCCAGTAAATGACTGGAACATGGTTGTTGTGAAAGCTGTTGTAGAGGGGAGGAGAGGGGAGAGCAGGAAACCTAGTCGAGAGGAATATATTTAGATGCTGAGTGGTGGCGGGGAATAGCGCAGGACCATGCGGCAAAAGTGACCCATGCTTCAGAGAGTTGGGCCTTAGCTGGACATGTTCATGCTCATAAAGAAAACGGAAATATTTGTGGTGGCGTTGGTCTCGCGGCGATGGGGTTGCAAATTCGAGAATCTCGGATGTTGAAGGTATTTAGTGTGTTGGTCGGAAACGTCATCGGCCTAAATCGTGCATATTTAATCTGCATTTGCTGACAACAACACATATGTCACCCTCTGAAATGTATACAACGCAATGTATTGGTAGGAGAACATAGTGATAGTGAACTTCTATGATATAGATTTGTTGTAAAGGAAAAATTATCTTGGTAGTCCTCGAAGGAGTACAGTTCCAGAACGTAGATTTTCGTTTGCCAGGCTGTAAATCCATCCCCATTGCAACTCAAACTGTCGATAGATTTTTATACATGCTCATTTTCCAGTTTATACTGATATTGTTTGCCTACAGTAAGTACGTAAAAGGCATACCAGCCAAAATCCTCGCGACTATAATAGAGACTGATACCTTGAAATCTTTTCAATCAAAAACGCACAAAGTTGTGCACAGAGCCCCATAAGCATATCCCCAGGGAGATGGGGAAATAGAAATGGAACACTTTCTCCCTTATTTTTCATGTATATAAACCCAGTAGCCCATTTCGCCTGAAACCTCTAACGACAGAAAAATGAACAATGTAAAATGGATATTGTACATGACGCAAACAAAACCAGGATCTTATCTGCAAAGACTGACTGAAAGAAGGGCGAGACCAAGTGAAATGTCCAAATAAATAACCCCCAATATCCCCCCAGTACCCAAGAGCGGGACTAGCGGACCGTCTGCGAATGGTCAATCGTACGGAAGCGAACGAGAGTCGCATGAGGGTTGATGTAGAGACGCCAAACAACAATTAAAGCCGAACAATAAGAGTCTATGGGTCTTGCTTGCTTGGTGGGTGATGCTTGCTATTATCCATGTGTGTGCCTGGATTGGTTTTTTGCTCGGAAGTTGTTTGCTCCGCATGCTGTCCGTCTGACATGGCCGTGTCCTCTTGGCCGGACACCTCTTCTCGCCGAATCCGTTCCATTTCATCAGACTCCAGCTCGTTATTTGCGTACCAGTCATCGAGGTAGTCTTTCCCATTCATCCCCCGTGGCACCTCCACTTCCCGGTCGCCGATCATTATCGTCTGCGTGTAGTGGGTTCTGGTAGGCTCCATTCGTTTCGTCACGAAGGGAGTAAGCTATTGGGGGGGAAACCCAGTGCGAAGAAGGGATTCAAGTTAGCAATCAAGTATCATGAGGCCGCACAAAGCAGGAGATTGGTGCATTGGCGCATCGGTAGGGAGTAGGAAGAAATAGACGGGATGAAGGGGAGGGGAGGGGGTAGGGTAGGAGTGGGCGCAAACGATAGAATCAGACCTTAAATGTATCAAGTCCCTCTGGGACGACATATGTGCGCACTTTCCGCCAGTCGATAAAGTATGTGCCTTTCTTCCTGCCGAAGTAACCAACATTGCCCGTCCGGTTACCCTTGTAATAGCCTCCGCCGACTTGCTTGGTGGTCAACCGCAGCCGCGCATTCAAGCTTCTTGTAGGTTTAAACATGATCAAGACGAGGTGGGAATGGGTCCATCCAAGGTCGAATGACCAAACATAGGCCTCCAATTCGCAAACGGTCGTAATAGCGCGGATGCTGAGATATCGTGTTCCGTTCGGCGGGTGGTTTGTGTTCTTGCCCTCGTCTTTGGCTGTTCCGCGAGAAAGCTTGACTAGCGCCGATTGAGGAACCGAGAAACTTTTTTTTCTTTTGGGATATTTCGAATGCCCCAGTTATTTACGCCAAAATCACAAATAAATTTCACTTTTCCCAACACCGTCTGTTTTTCCGCGTGTTATCCTCTTCTCCCTCGGAGCGGGATTAATCATAGCTATGGCTAGACGATCTAACCAGCTCCGGTCCAAAGAGGAGCCCCGCCGCTCGAAACCGAAAGGAACGAAGAAACCATATACACGGGGCGGTCTGGATGCCTTAACAGTTGCGGAGAAACAATATCCCTCGAACTCTGGGATTCGAAAGCATCGCCTCGGGGTGGAAGAAGATGACGGCTCGAAACGGAAGAGGGGTGGTACTTCTAAATTTGACGATGAGGAGGAGTCGCACGTTCAACCTTCCAAGCGACGGAGGACGGGCGACGATGAAGACTCAGAGTCCAACGATAATTATGGAAGTGATAGCGAGGGGAATGAATGGCAGCTAGGTCGGGTCGATTCTGATGATGACAGTGAAATCGACAGTGACGAAGCCATGGGTGAGAGTGACGAGGAGAATTTCGATGGGCGTAAGGTTGGTGGGAACTCGAAGGCCAAGGCGAAGTCTACTCTGAGAAAACGGGATACCGACGACTTCGATTTATCAGAAGGTGATGGGGAAGAGCTGGATGATGACGATGATCTTGGGGAAGACGCGGTGGATCTTGCTACGGCCTGGGATATGAATGCAGAGGAGTCGGAATCAGACACGAAAGCGAAAACTAAGAAATCCAAAGCGAATTCTAAGTCTAAGATTACGGAAGAAGAAGAAGAAGAAGAAGACGATGATGATATTATTGATATAACTGGCAGCGAGGGTGAGGGGGAAGAGGATGACTCTGACGACTCTAGAGACGATGCGAGCGATGCGTCTGGGCTATCGTTTTCCGACGAAGACGATTTGAACGAGCGTGGCTTGTCAAAATTACAGAAGTTCGTCAAATCTATGGAAAATGGACAGTCCGACGACGGTCAATCGAAGCTGAAGCATCGGGCCATCACTCATGGCGCCCAACCTACGGAGTTCGGTCTCACGCCCACCAGGAAGCTTACTGTTGCCGATCTTATACCAACCATTTCCGACTCTCGCATGAAAGGGTCGCTGAAACATCTGGACGCCGTTGCCTCAACGAAGAAGAGCAAAGCCGGAATACCCGGAAAACTGCAAGCGCCTCTTGCTAAACGCCAGCAGGATCGTATCGACCGTGCGGCAGCCTACGAGAAGAGCAAAGAGACCCTTGATCGATGGATCGAAACCGTTAAAGCCAACCGAAGAGCTGACCATCTGTCATTCCCCCTTCCAGAACCGAACGCCATACAGCAGTCATCCATTACTGATGCAAAACCACTGAATGACCTTGAGAGCACTATTCAAAATATCCTTGTGGAGAGTGGCCTAGCGGATGAGAAGGATAAATCTGGGGAGGCTCGAATTCAAGAATTTGAAGAGTTACAGGCGAAAAAGCTCCCCTTGGAAGAGATACAGGCCCGTCGCGCGGAGCTACGAAAGGCTCGAGAGCTACTTTTCCGCGAGGAGGTGCGGGCTAAGCGGATTAAGAAAATTAAGAGTAAATCTTACCGTCGCGTTCATCGCAAGGAGCGGGAAAAAATGGATCTTAGAGAGCGGGAAGCTCTTATCGCTGCAGGAGTTGATGTCGATGAAGAGGATCGCGAAATGCTTGACCGCCGGAGAGCGGAAGCTCGAATGGGAGCGAAACATAGGGAAAGCAAATGGGCTAAAAGCCTTAAGCAGACTGGAAGGACTGGTTGGGATGACGAAGCACGACTGGAAATGGCGGATCTGGCTAGGCGGGAGGAGGAGCTGCAGAGCAGAATAGAAGGGAAGCGAGTTACTACGGGTCAGGAAGAGTATCTAGACTCGTCAAGTGAAGAATCTGAGAGCGACGATGATGCCGCTGAGGATGGGTTTGGGTCAGACGCTGAGACAGAACGTCTTAAGAAGAAACTCAACGAGCTCGACCAAAACGGAAATGCCACAGAAGAGCCGATGACGGGGCCACATGCAGCTTTACTGTCCATGAAATTTATGCGGAATGCTGAAGCTGCGCGGAAGGCTCAGAACGATGCTGAAATCAAAAAGCTCCGCCGCGAGATGGGCAATGGGGATGATTCACAGTCTGATAATGATATGGCAGAGATGGGCCGTCAGAAATTCGGCCAAAATGCCACCACCAATAAACCTGCTGTTACAGCTCCTCAACGACAGGAATTTGAGGAGCCAGATTCAGAAACGGACGAGAAAGTGCGCGCAATGGAGTCTGATGGAGAAGTTGAGATTAAAGTAGACGACAACAACCGTGCGCCTAAGTCTACGACACGCAACTCGCGTCCCCCTAAGAAGCAATCTAATCAAACCAATGGCCGCGCAACTAAAGATAATGATGCTGATGTCGACAATCCATGGCTCGCGCAGCCCAAGAGGAATTCAAAGAAGCAAAATGACTCATCCGACGGAGCAGCTGACATTAACTTGATCGGCAATGATGCTGTTGAAAGCGGTCCTTCTCAGTCCCTCTTGTCAGCAGAACCCAAACGAGGCAAATCGGCCAAAAAGCAAGTAGCCGTCAAATCACACGGCAAAACTGCCCCTTCTGCTGGTACCGCGGGCAGCGAAGATGAAGATGACGACGACGATAATACACGTGTACCCGTCCTTCTCAAAAATGCAGACCTCGTCAAGAAAGCCTTCGCAGGTGACGAAGTGCTGGTCGACTTTTCCAAGGAGAAACTGCAAACAATCGAGGAGGAGGGTGACCAAGTCATCGACACCACACTGCCCGGATGGGGATCGTGGGCCGGGGCGGGACTGACGAAACGCGAGAAGAAGCAGGCGAAGGCGAGACGCTCCTTCGTGACGGAGGAGGGCGTCAAGGCTGAGAAACGCAAGGATGCGAAGCTTGATCGGGTTATTGTTAATGAGAAGCGGGTGAAGAAGGTATGTAAACAGCATATGCGGACTATTTGTTTTAGCTTTTCTGGAAATATGTGAAATATGTGAAATATGGCTGGCTGGCTGGTTTGCTACAATTACTAACAATACCAAACAACAGAATACCAAATATCTCGCCTCCCAATTACCCCACCCCTTCGAATCAAGGCAGCAGTACGAACGTTCCCTCCGGCTACCCATCGGCCCCGAATGGACGACCAAGGAAACGTTCCAGAACGCCACGAAACCGCGCGTCATGCTCAAGCAGGGTGTTATCAAGCCGTTGCAGAAACCGCTGTTGTGATCTGTGGCTACAGTGCTGCGAATGAGTTTTATAAAGTTTATGTGGATTTTATTTTATTTTATCTTCTTCTTTTGGTTGGTGTTGAAATAGAGAATCTGCCACCTGTTATATACATCGTTGTCTATTTGTAGGAAGGAGTGGTCTTTTTTCTTACATAGTATTTTCATTTCTACTTGGCATATCCGCCGATGAGAATGTCCATGCTACTTATGTGCACAGGGGAAAGAGAAAAGAAATAAATATGATGGGAATATTTAGTAACGACATAAATCGCGATATCCTTTCGATATGCCTTTCATTCCCATTCCCCAACCCCCCCTCCTCTTCTTCCTCAACGCAAGCCCCGATGGCACTAACTTCCAGAGATGGCAGGGAAAAAAAGAAAAAAAAAAAAAGAAAAAAAAAAGCTCACATGGTATGTTTTGTCATTCCCGTTTTAATGAAATGGGAGTACACTTCTCTTTCACCCCGTAGTACGTACGGTATTACTACATACTTTCTACTCACTCCTTTCGGCGAAGGGGTAAAATTGAGATTCACTGGTTTACTGCAACCTAACCGTAACACCTGCCTTGCGCATCGGCCCAAACAACGGAACACATACCCCTGATATAGCCTCCGGACGTTGGTAATTGTACTTGTGAATCTTGGGAAAGGTAAGAGTGGGGAACCGTGGTAGAGAGAGGGCAACGAGAGGGTAGCAAGCGCCTTTGAGTTTTTAGTAATTCCACGGGTAGAAGGCTTTAAGCCGGAAAGGGGAAAAAAATCTTCCACTTGATTTTATATGTGTATATATATATATATTTTGCCCCAAACCTGCTTGGCACAACCTGGGTTATTATCAATCTACCACATCCCATCTATGTTTTTCGAGTGTGTATGGTGATGATATCAGCTGGGACTGCTGGGACAGATATGCAATGGATAGATATGTGCAGTATGCAGAGCTGTGTGTTGTGCATCGGAGTAGCTCTTGAACTTGGTTCAACTATAACCCCGGGTTCCGTACAAGGGATGCTGCCTTACAACGGATTCCTTGGATATGGATGGGATGGAATGGTTGGATGTCGATTCATGGTCGGTTGGTGGCTGGTTTGTTTCAAAAAAACAACCTTGTCTATGGCAGTCTATAGTGACAAATTAATGATACTGATTGTATTAGCAATCAAGATCTCCTCATTGGAGGTTGATTTACTCTGTACTCTCTCATCCATCTCTGTGCTCAGAAGTCTCTATACCAGGGGGCCGCTCTATATCCAGGGGCTCTATACACAGGAGACCTCTACTCAGAGAGTCTCTATACTCAGGAGACTCTATACACCTATATCTATATTATCTGAGGATCTCTATACCCAGAGCAGGAGAGGGCTCTATCTGAGGAGATTCTACAGAATTATACTTACGTACGCAGTATGTTGAGAGATCTGTGGGGTGGAGCTCATAGTCTGAAAGCCAAGACTGACTAAACCATATACAGTAATATACTAACTACATTAGGACTAATGTAATTGATGTGTGACTATAAAATCAGTATTATGTGGAATTAAGCCTCTACAATGAAAAAAACATAAGATCCGGTCGTCGGGCCAACGGCGGGCCAACACTGTAAGCAGAGCAGAGCAGAGCAGAGAACAGTCCAGTGCGCATCAGGGAGTGGCTGAGAAGGGAGGGAGGGGTATGCGATTTGATTCTGGGGGAGAGGGTGTCATAATGTAAGGATCCTTGGAGGGTTGGATCAGTTGGATGTGGTCATGATCTGGTTGTTGTTCTGCATCCCCGATATCACAATATCACATTTGCGGCAGGTGTTCTGTTAGAGTTGGGGGGGACCTGAGTCCAGGTACTGCGTAAACTACGGAGTAAGTAGTTAAGCTTTGAGTTGGTTGGTTACAAAATGGTTAACTACTGCGTATTTAAATAGTTGAAAACGGGAAAATCAAGATTGGTCACCGGATAGCCAGTATGAACGAACATGTAGATGCAGCAACTCTTTTGTTATTCCTGCTATCCAAAGTTTTGCGTGTGTAACTAGACAAATGATATCATATCTGATAATTTAACTTATGTATGTAGTGATGTACAGCATACAGCATCAGTTAAATAGTTACACCAACAGTGGCAATATGCTCAGTTCGACAACAACCCTCAGCCTCACCTTTCTTTTTATTATATACGGGGAAATATAGCTATTAACTAACTGTTTATCTGATCTCCAACCCCCAGCCAGCTGATAATCTCGTCAGAAAGAAACCCGAGAAAGATGATCGATCCTCCGCTTTAATTTTTTAGTTGGTCTCCGGCCCACATTAACTGATTAACCATATGGCCACAGGGCAGGGAGGACCTTGGTTTCAACATCACTCGCCACGAATGATGATTGTCGAATGGATGCTTGATATATATATGCTTCCTTTTGTGATTTCATCATGCCTGCCTCGTGGTGAATGACCCCTCCCCAGTTGATATCGACGAGGGAATATATAAAGCAGGCTGGATATCCCCGATGTATCATCATACTAGCTAGCCTACACCACATATTTAGCTGATTCTGCTCTGGTGTAAACTTGGTGATTGATGAGTGTTGAAAGGTGAGCGACTCCTTTCTCCTTTCCGTTGACAATTAGGCTCATTTCATTTCTTTTGCACCCGCCGCTCTGGCATTTTGACAAATGGCCATTTATCATGACACACCGTCATATATCAAGGCCCGCGGGGCAGTTCGCTATTCTTCCTCCGTACTGTGTCTCTACAGCTTATGCTGTTGAATTTTTTATTTTATTTTTTATTTTATTTTATTTTATTTTATTTTTTTTCATTTTCCTCAGCTGTTTTTAAGCCTGTCTGTATTTGCTTTTTTCTCATCGCAGCGGAAAATGCTCGCGGCGCGGGCCTTCCCGCCTTCCCGCCTTCCGCCTTCCTCGCAGCGGATGGCGTACATCATCACTAACTAAACTACATTATTAGTGTGTGTACATACATTTGTCAATAATAAATAGCAAGGCCTCGTTCTCGCCTTCCGCCCTTGAGCCTCTTTCTGTCGCTCGCTTTGTTTTCTTTGTTTCTTTTTTTTTTTTCTTCATCTCTCTCCTTTTCCTCATCTTCACCCTCGTTTCCTCCAATTCCCTTCTGTCTTGTCCCACCCTCTTTGCGTCCTTCGTTTTTGTCTGTTGTCCAGCCCTTTTCTCGTTTGAGGCTGTTCCGCTCTCTACCACCCACCTGCACATCGGACAACAATCTGATGATTGCTACTTGGAGTGGCTACGGAGGAGGTTCACTGTTGTGTGTTCTGGTTGTCTCAGGTCTACTTTGCCCGGAGTCCTCCATGATAACAACATTCGTTCCCTATATCACCCAATCCTAACTCGTTCTTGTCCGGGCCCAAAACCATTGGCTGTGTCAGAGCTTTCCCCAGGGCCTCAAACCATACTGGCTTTCCTCCATTGAGTCTGTGTCGTCGGAAGATGACACCCTCCATGCCACTATGGCTTGTGGCCATCTTGATAATGGCCATGCTGCACTTCCCTGCAGCCCATGCTCTTCCTTGTCGGTCGAATTATCAATGTGTTGTGGATGTCGACCAAGCTGACAACCTCTCCTTTTCCCCCATAACTCAGGTACCAACAGCAACTGTAGCAGCACACGGCGATACTACCGGGGTGGGTAATCTTTTTTTTTTTTTTTTTTTTTTTTTCCCCACTGTCAACATTCTCTTGGAATATACACCTATTGACTTTGACCCTTAGATATATTTCACCCAAATGGAAAGTGACGTTCGCTCATACAGCCAACCTTTTCCAACAGATATCTCTTACATCGTGTTTGAAGACCATATTGGACTGCTTCATCCAGGCGTTCCGCACCTAGATAGCGTCCCATCTGCAGTTCTCTCGTCCAACTCAAATTGCTATTACAAAGGACATCTGTGTCCAGGCCTTCCTCACGTGGAAGAGACTCGGATCGCAAATTGGCTCCTTTCCCCGAGCACAGCTTCTTTGAACTCAGATATTTCGATCGGTATAACAATACCTCCACCTCCCCCATTCCTGGAGTCTTCTACCGCTGGCTGCTCCCCGCCATACCCGATAACAAGCTCAAAATCAAGTACTCTTGCGCCAATTGTACCTTCCCCGAGTTCCTCAACGCCAACAGCGACACCCTCCCCTAAACCGCCCTCAATGTCAGGCCAGAACATATTCGAGCCGATTAGCAGGGATCAAATCCCGCAGAATATTCCTTCAAGAGATGATCATCCTCTTAAACGGGATAATATCGTAAGTTGTGCAGCGTACCTTCAATTTTGAATTCATATTAATATTCATTTACAGTCAGATACGCCAGGGCCAGTATCTACGAACAAGTTTTATGCAAACTTCTTCATTGGTTCCCAGGCAAACTACGGGTTTGTCCAACCGTACGCAGTCGGGTGGGCTAAGGGAACTGGTTCTGTAAAAAGTTACGGCCTCACTATATCCCATACGGAAGCCAATCAGCTCGCCTTTGGCCCCAAAAACCCAAAGATTCCTGGTGAACCCGTCCAATTCTATATTAATCCAATTGGAATTCAATCCATGATTTTGTCTGCAGCTGAAATAGGAAGCTCTACCGTTTTAACTGTTTCGAAACCTCTGGCGTTCTCGGCAGAAATTATTCTCCGCCCCAACCGTGACTCAGACTCTAACATTACTTTCCCTCTGGTTCAAGGCATGGGATATGTGACTGGTGTCTACAAGGACTTACAGCCCGCGATTCAAAGTAGCGTGTTTTTCCGCCAACTTGAATCTGCACCTTCTCCAAAACTAGGTATATTTAAATATAAGGTCATTTTGGAGGATAACACAAATTGGTTGATATACGTAACGCCAGCAGACGGTGCTGATCCAAGACTGAAGTTGGAAAACAACGGCCTTATCAATGGACCAGCTGGATTCAGCGGTACGATCCAGGTTGCCAAAAATCCCAATGGCGGGCCAGGGGAGACGATTTTTGATGGGTCTGCGGGGGTGTATCCTGTGGCAGGCAATATCACAGGTTCTGTCGTCGCCCAAGACGCGACTGGGACTTACAGGTTAGCCTGGGAGAAGGGTGGGAAGGATGTTGACAGCACCCCGTTGTTAATGTTCGCCTTGCCTCACCACGTTCAATCCTTTGACAGTGAAACCCAAGGCAGGAAGGTAGATCTGGTTCTGCGAACGACCACCAAGGGAATAGCTACGGCTGTTGTAGCAGATTTATGGACTATGGTCGAGACTGATCTTCCTATAGACATGGGATTTGCCCCCTGGAACCCGGCTGGAACTAGCGCTACCCTCTCAAGGCCTGCGAAGCAAATGGTTAAAGATATAGCTCCAAATGAGCTCTCCCAAGACATACATCAGCAAACGAACCTGAATAGTATGTACTTTAGCGGGAAGGCTTTTGGGAAGTTTGCTATGGTGGTGTATGCTGTCCGCGAATTAGCACAGGATGTCCCTCTCTCGGAATCCGCCTTTGACACGTTGAAGGACGCTTTCGCAACGTTTGTTAATAACGAACAGCAATGGCCGCTTGTTTATGATAATGTGTGGAAGGGGATTGTCTCTTCTGGGACTTACGAGACTGGAGACCCGGGGCTCGATTTTGGAAATACTTTTTATAACGACCATCATTTCCACTACGGTTATTTTATCCTCTCTGCTGCCATAATTGGGAGCCTTGATCCGTCCTGGATAGATGCGAATAAGGCCTGGGTAAATGCCCTCGTCCGCGATGCTGCCAATTCAGTGTCAGACGATCCATTGTTTCCGTTTTCCAGAGGATTTGACTGGTATAATGGGCATTCCTGGGCCAAAGGCCTATTTGAGTCTATTGATGGGAAAGATCAAGAGTCTACCTCAGAGGATACTATGTTCGCATACGCCGTCAAGATGTGGGGCAAGGTTGTCAAGGACCCAAGTATGGAAGCCCGTGGCAATATGATGCTGGCCATTCTTGCACGCTCGTTAAACAATTATTTCTTGATGAAGTCCGATAACGTCAATCAACCACCGAATTTCATCGGCAATAAAGTCACTGGAATTGTCAGTATTTACTTATAAAACCCCTTTGCCCTAATATTCATATTTGAATCCTAATAGACCATAGCTTTTTGAGAACAAGGCCGATCATACGACATATTTTGGCCCTAATCTCGAATACATCCAAGGGTGAGTACAGTAACAAATACAGCTCATGTTTGAATCGCGGGCGCTTACGATATTTAGAATTCATATGCTTCCCATCATTCCGAGTTCGGCCTACACCCGCCATAAGGATTTTGTGAGAGAGGAATGGGACGCCATGTTCTCAGATAGGGCCTCTACACCCGCAAGCAAAGTTCAGGGTGGTTGGCAAGGTGTCTTATACTCTAATTTGGCTCTCATTGATCCGGACGCCTCGTGGAATTTCTTCGCGCAGGAACCCTTTGATCTCGGGAAGATTGACGGGGGAGCTTCTCGAACGTGGTATCTCGCATACGCAGCAGGTACGTTCTAAACCGAGTGTTTCTCCTGGGTTGAAATACCTACCGTTCTTTAAGGTTCATAGCTAACGTCTATTTCTAGGTTTGGGAGGCGGTCCACATTAATCAAGTTAATGTGGTGAATTTGAGTCAATCTGCATTTTACCCAGTTCGCAGTCCGTGATACATGGTATCATATTACCGGGCTTAACGATGATTACAGATATAGATATATACCGGTGCAAGTATATTCGATCTTATACTTATACACAGCGTTCATTCGCGGTAAATTTCTCTCATTTTGGCATTTCTGTTGAATTTGATAGGCGGAGCATATATTAGGCGGGTGACAAGCTGTTTGTACATGTACATGTCTCTATATTGGTAGTTTTCCGTACACTCGGACTCATTGATTCCGGATTAGTGCCTGAGCCCGCGCTGCTTTGCCTCCTGCTCACTCAGCCCTGCCTGCCTCACCTGCGACCTCACCATCCTCACCTGCAATCACCCCCTAGTCTCTCCACCAGTCACTTCAACCTCATCTTTCATTATATCTTCTCAATTTCTGCCAAGTCTATGTGATGCAAACACTCAGTGATGAAAACAGTGAGGATGATGATTGCAGATATCTTGTTCTCTTCTCACAGTTTTCTGTCTTCTTCTTTATTCTTCTTATCTGCTGCTGTATTTCTACTGAATTATCTTTTATTGAATTATCTTCTACTGAATTATCTTCTACTGAATTACCTTCTACTGAAGATATCTGCTGCTTATAATCTTTTCACAATTCTCTATTTCTATTATCTTTCTTTTCTCTATTTATAGCATTAATTTTTTTTTCTGTGTGTTATTCAAAGGTGTCTGAGTCACACGCTTCACCACGAACTCGCTCAATTTTTCGAATGAGAAACCGCCGATAGATCCGTCGAATAGCCCTCGATTATACAAGTATTTTGACCCCATCACTCACCTCATACCCCGTGTAGTGGTGGAGTTATTCAATCAAATGTGATTTGAAGCCCTCATGTGAGATTTTCCTCTATTCACCTCTACCATATCACAACCTCAGGTCAAACTGCTATACAAATTGTAAGGTGAAGAGACCTAGTTCTATGCATCAATCTTCTTGATTTTGAAAGATCTCTGGCTTTTGATTGTAGAGATATTTGAAGTAAAATCTCTGTAAAAACTCTGTCTGTTTTTGATATTTTAAATCATTAACATCAAGTCTCTTTCATGTGCTACTTATTTAAATCTAGCATACATTTAGCAGAAAAATACAGAAAAATATCTCAGCAACATTAATCAACACATAATTTATAAATAATTATAAAATCAGTTTAACTTAAAATTTTAGTTAAAAATAAAAATTTTATAATTAATTGATTTAAATCATACTTCTCTTTCAATCTGACTCTGAGATTATTGTATAATGTATAATATATTACAATATATTCAGAATTTTCATTTAAATTTCAGAATAAGCATTTTTTTGAATCAAATCTATTATTAAATTTTTATATATATGTAATATAACAGAACTGAAGCAGTGACTAATCAGTGATATTATGTAGATAGTTATGTAGATCACTAAGATAAAAGAGCTCAGTTATTATCAGTACACTGCTGATAGAAGAGTTAATTAACTCAGAACTCTTAATATCTTCTCTTAGATCAGCTATTACAGAGTATAGTACTTCTCTCAGTAACTTCTCTCAGTAACTTCTCTTAGTAACTTCTCTCAGTGAACTTACTTCTAGAGCTTATTCTTTTAAGAGCTTACTTCTAAAGCATACTTCTAGAATGTCTATTAGCACTGTTCTAAATATTTAAAGTATTTATTTAACATTTTTTTAAGTTCATTCTGAGATTGAACTCATGCATGTTAATCATAGTAAGGCTCATACTTAACAGTCTTATAATTTGTAAACTACTGAGGTAAAAGAGCTCAGTTATTATCAGTACACTACTGATAGAAAAGCTGATTAACTCAGAGCTCTTAACAAGTTATCTAGAGAAGCTGTATAAGTAAACATAACTATCTTGCTTAAATAGTGAGGTCATGAGCTACAGAGTTATTGCAAGAATATCATAGATACAGTACTTAGTATACTAAAAAGATTGTGTGAGAATTTGCAGTAACTCTTGTATATTATTATTATTATTATTATTCTTTCATTATACTTATATACAAGTGAAGCTTATAATGAGTTCTTGCGTGATATTAAATACATATCAAGTGTTAATTATATAGAAGAAAATACATGTGTTGAAATCATACTAAGATAATAAGAACATAGAAAATACAAAGAAGTGATAATTAGATACATATAATAATAACTTCTCATCTCAGAAACATAGAGTAATTTGTTGAAGTAATTTATACATCTCTGTATTTATTAGAAATCTGAGGTGCTTGAGTTCTGAATTCAATGTTATTCTCTGCAGGTTTCAAACTCACATGCCTTGATTTCTCATGCTAAGGTGCTATTAGATGACTGTATTAATTATTCAGTCACTGAGACAGTAACTCTTGTATATATTATCAGCAGAAAAAAAATGAATTACTGACTTCTTTAATGAAGAGTCAGCATCTAGCTATTCTATATAGATAATAAGTGAATATCTTTCTTCTGTTCTATAAGTAAGAATAGCTGAAGTCAGCGTGACTCAGTTGATAAGACTGGTAATCAAGACCGCACACATTAGAGATATATGAGTTCGAATCTCACTGCTGACATCTGTCACTTCTTACTTATAAAAGCTCTCATGTAGTAGAGGCTAAGTCTAATTAGTAAGGCTTAATACAGAGTAGAACTCTCTACTGCAAGCTAAGTCACTAGTTAAGTGAGATTCTGCAAACACTTATCAGAGTCAGTATAAAGTATTAATGTCTCACTATTCTACTATACATCTGTCAAGATTCTAATAATATAGAGTCAAGTCTAACATAGTGATTATATACTACTTAAGTGAGTTTCTAACTAGAGCTGTTATCAGAGCCTAGCTTTCTCTTAAATATAGAGAATGATTTTGAAAATTATCTAACTAGCAGGTCTAGACATGTATCTAAACTCTAGACAGAGTATTCTGATAGACTAGAGTCTGTAAGCTCATTATCAAGCTCTAATACTGATAGGGAAAACTGCAGTTATCAAGTCTATAATTAGTCTCTAACACAGAATAAGATTATAACAGCTGATTGATAGATCTATAAGCATCTAATAAGGCTGAGATTAGTAATTAAAAGCTTGATATGTACATTATCAAGTGAGCAGTGACAGTCACTAACTAATATCTCTGGAAATTAGTGACTGACCTGAGAGAATGAACACAGTGATTGATTAATTATAGAGAGTTAAATGTAATTAGCTTAAGATGCATTCTGCAGATAACTAGCACTTGTAGTTCTCATCTATAATTTAGCTGAAACTAGAACATGGTTATTTCAAATCTTATATATAAAGATTTAATGATAGATTTGATTCAACAGAATACTTATTCTGTAATACAAATGAAAATCCTGAGTATATTATAATGCATTGTGCATTATATAATAGTCTCAGAGTCAGATTGAAAGAGAAGTATAATTTAAATTAATTTAATATGAGATTCTTATTCTTAACTGAGATAGAAATTAAATATCTAATAAACTTTCTATCAGAAACTCAAGCAGCTATAAGAAAACAGCTGAATTCAGAAACATCTGAATATGAAGAGATGAAAATTGATTAGATATAGTCTGTTAAAACAGCTATACACTATCTTTTAATAATTTTGATTTATTATAGTCTCTCTTTACTTTACTTTTTCTTTTCTTTTTTTATTCTTTTCTATCTATCTATTTAATATGTCTATCTTTAAGACTGTGTTCTCTTTTCTTTTATCATGATATTATTAAATGATTTCGAAGTATTAGAAGATGTTAAAATACTGCAATTTGTAAACAGTTTTTATATTCTGAGCTGAAATTTTCTGATTTTGCATATCTGAAATTGATAAATGTATAATAGTTAACTTTATAGATATAGGAAAAACTCTGAGAACTAAAAGTTCTCAGGTAGATGTTATAATCTCTGACTGCATACATCTATAATTGAAGAAGAATAATAATAATAATAAGAATAGTTGAAGTGATACTGTAGTGATATCTTACTAATATAAAAGAAGTAATCTACTGATCTTGTATAGAAGTAGAGTTCTTATATTCATTAATTAAAATATTTTATATTGTATTTAAATAATGTTATAGAGTAATTGAAAACTAATTTAAATATCTACAAAATGAATGAAATCATTTATAGAAAAGTAATAAGCTGTATAAAGTTATTATAAGATCTTAATATAGTTAAAAGTATAATAATACTCTTCTCTTTAAGAGTATAATCTTAATACTCTTAAGATTATGTAAGAGGTCTATGCTGAATAGATTAGTATGATATTTATAGATCTTATAATATAAGAGTGAAAAATATTAGAGAAGGAAAAGAAAGAGAAAGTGTGAAAATCAGTGATTGAAGTGAATATCTATATATAATAATATACATGATGAAGCTTTGAGACAGAAGAATAGAAATTCAGTGAGTTTTTCAGCTGAGAATTGATGACTGAGAATCAGAGCTTTCAGTGAAAATCTATGAAGTGTAATGAAGTAGTCTATATAATTAATTGAGTACAGTCTGTTACATTAGTTCTCTCTTTTCAGAAGTGAGATTATGTGTAGTTTTCATCAGTCAAGAGCTACAGTCTCAGATAACACAGAACTCAGAGTTCAGATCAGACAATTATAGTTAACTTATTTTATAAAATATTATCAGTTACAGTCACAGAGTCTCTTATTAAGAATATCTTCAATCTCTTATTCAAGTTTATTATCTTCTTCTATAATCTCTGACAGCTGTCAGTTAGAAGTCAGTTAAGAGGAGAATAAGTTAGTGATAGCACAGCAGAGTAAGCTTATATAAAAGATATTATGAATCTTTGATAATATGTTAAGACAGTAGTTATAACTGTCTAGAACTTCTATCATCTTATATTTAATATAATAGTAATTCAGTGTATAAGATGAGTATATAATTTATATATTCTTAAGATTCAATTATATCAGATCTTCTATCTTATATTAC